CCGTAAAACCAATACGCTATTGAAACTTTGATTACATTTACAGTACTTGTTCACATGAGGGAGTTAACTTTCTTTCTACCTAAATTTGAGTTGTTACTTATATTGCTACACTATCATAAATTTTCGTGGATAATCCTTTGACTGATACAGCATCTGTTAACGAGAAGTCTCTAATGAAACAGACCTTGGATACCAGTACCGTATCCGAAATTGAAGAGATCCTCCATTTAGTACAACAATATAATATTTCATTAGTCGTAGAATGGCTGATTTTCATTTTTAGTTATTAAAGGCTATAATATCCAGGCAGATCTTCAATGGCTATGTGTAAAAGGAATATCCTACGTGTACATAATCAATTTCAAACGATTCCATGAGAAATATTACTTAATTTATTGGATACTACTTTAACCGATAGGAAAAAGAAAACGGCAAAGCCTTCTGGGATAATTGCTAATAACCTTACTAAGTTTGATGGTTTCAGAAATGAATACTAGTCATTAAGACCAGCGTACCTAGATAATTTATCAACTCCGCCAAGCACTTCTATTTTTTAGAATCCCTGTGCCTGTTATTTCAAACGAAAATATGCTTATATGACTTAGTGAATCAATAATGTTATTAAATCTCATTATAATATCAGATTATTGAGCATACCTATTATGGACGATCTATCATCCTATAATCCCGAATACGTTACTGCAATTATCGCGTGCCAATATTTCTTTTAAATTAATTTCTATCGAAGCTATTCGTAATAAAATTCTCATATATTAAGCTTCTTGTCAAGCGAAATCGTTGTTACCCCTCATGTTTCAATTTATCGATATCTATTCTCAGTTTATGGTCTTGTCATAATTTAAACTCTGCGATATGGAAAAGTGCAGTAAAAGTCTATAAGTAAATACTGACTGAAACGCTCTTTTACTAAATGTTAAGCACACACAGCAAAGTAACATGAAGATAGAACTGTTATTAGCATAGACACATCTACAACTTTTCAAAACTTAACTCAAAATGTTCCTGTTTATACAGGAGCTGTCTAATTTATTATCAACAATAGCATTATTATTATGCCTTGCTAGGAGAGACATCTCCAAATGAGATGTTCCTTATATTACATAGCTTTTCTATCAGTAAATATTTTTAACCTATTATTACTCATTCTTAATCTTAATCCAAGCATTTATATTATCTAGTTCAACTATCATTAGCTAGAACTTGAATCATCTTACTACTATCTATATACACACAATAACAATCAATATCAAATACGTAATAAACTATTACAAATAATATTCACGTAAAAGCATTACTTATCTTACCTAGCACTGCAAGTATGGATATTTTCCATGTTAGCTACTACTGTATTATTAGACCATCATAACGGTAAGGTGATACCGTAACAGTTTTATATCAGCGCAGACAAACCAACGCTAATATCAAGTACAGCCAAGACAAGTAAAATTCTCCGTAAAAATCTACTACAATCGGAAATAACCACATTCTTAACATAATATTTTCTATCAAATGAAATCATCGATAGCTTTTCTAATTTGTTCTAAACTCTAATTGTGATTATCCTTCATTATCATTATGTGGTATCTAGTGCAAGAAGCATGTTTATATGTCAGCGTAAATGGTATCTTATAATGATATTGTGACTAAAGTATACTCGTACATGGAGGATAGAGCACAATAACTGTATTGATATTCAGCGTGGAATATCTAGTCGTATCTAAATAATATTACTTCATGGCAAACGGAATAATAGCTTCACTCTTGACTTACTTTTATAGAAATAGTTTCATTTGTCCTTATTTCTTGTAGTAGGAAATCGGATAACTACTTAGTAACATCAACTGGTATTTTATCTATGCGTATCTTTCATGTCTATTTTTTAAATATTCCTCTATTGTCATCGAAACTAGACTGACTATTTCTGTTTCTACATTTAAAAGAAGATAGGATGATATCATAGCTAATAATATTCCATAATTGACAAATTAATATGTGAATTAAATAGAACTAAACTGTTTTCTTTTTATTTATCTTACTAAATATCTAATAACTGTTTTTCCAATAGTGGGAATAAATTCACCCAGTCAATACTATTACTTGAACATACACTAGCGGTCATAAATTGCTCTTGTAATTAACCATCATTTGATTTAGAAACATATTCACATATTACTATCTGCTTTTTTCAGTTATGCGGTCCATAATACCAAAGTATTCAACAAAGCATGTAGTAAATTCCTCGCATTCTTCTTAATTGATGTTACTTTTGGTGATAATTTTATCCTTTGCAACTATTTTTATTTCATTTTTATCGGAACTTTCGCTTGTTTGCAGATACCGACAGTGTCATAAAGCTTTGAATACTATTTATTAAATAAGTGTTTAATAGCACTTGAATCTTTAACACTCTTTACCCTTTTTCACTGTAACTGAAAGAAATTACAAAAGTTGATGTATCCTCGTATTAATGGCTTCAATGATTGTCTTGTTAGAATTATACGTCTCTGATATTAATCGGACCTATAACGCTTTAAAGTAGATATTAACTCGTATTACCGCGGGATAAGCTTATCGCTGAATATATTACCATGTGTAAGATCATTCCCTTTTAGACGATATAATATACCAGTTAACAATATTAGTATTTATAACCTTAACGTAATCGATCTTAACCAAGGATAAATTTCCATTCTTTCTTTTACATTAATCCGTATTTACTGAATAAGAGTTTATAAAATATTGGCAACGTTTGAGTTAACTGGTAATTTGTACCGTTAATATTTTTAACTCCTTCACTGAGGATTGGTTTCAATTATTTACTCTTACCTAAAAATTGATAACCTATATCTGCGAGATATAGACTTTAACATGTTGGATAAAGTACGTAAATTAACAAGTAATTCTATAAACTTAACTCGATCAATCCCTATCATTTTTGTTACTGCATGAAATTTTATATGTTTATCGATCAAGCATAGAATCATTAAGCTCAATATTTAAGTTAGTAACCAATGTAACGTTTTAAGTTAATCAATTCCATTAGCTAAAGGTCTATATCCTTTCTTTTTGCTTTAAAAGATTTTATCCTCTCATATTGAAGTTATATAGTACGTACATACCTATCTGATTAACCTTTAAGCTTATTGTAATATCACAATGACAAGACTTTATCTATAGCCGGATTATACATAAACTATCGGTCCAATCATCTATACCTTAATATAATTTTTACATTTCTGTTTCATACTAATTCAACGCTAATTAACTTAACATAGGATTTACTTAATTAGGCTTCCCATTATCACTTTTAAATCACATAAATAGTTTCTTTAGTGTAATGCCAATTATTAACGATCAAATTAATTTTATCCATCTAATTTCATTTGCTCCATTATTAATATTAATCAGTTTTGAGATTTCAATCTGTTTAGTGATGTAAATATCTATATATAGAAGATAGGATAAACTCTTTCTAACAGAAATTTCCTTTATAACTAATCACACTTACTACTATGGACTGAGACGTAAGAGCTCGTAACTAAGATTCCCATTCTATTGAATATTTGGTAACTATTATTTGCTATTGTGATGTTGTAATGTTTTGATAAATTCTCGATCAGGTAATGGTATTTCAATAGTCTTCATTAAACAATATTCGAAGCCTTCTTGCTCTACTGCATTGGGAATCACGGACATGTTTCTTAAGTTAACATCCCAAAATATTCACTATTTATTAAGCAAACTAAATTCTATAATTTATGTTATCTCCTCGTTAGCTTTTCATTGACAATTATTATATCTGTAAGCTTGATTACCTGATATAATTTACTTCGATGTTCGCTATCATACGCAATTTTATCACCTTTACTGATAGTATGTGATGGTTGTACCTTTAGAGTTTCCATCAATTTGTTTAAACATAAATTAATTATGAATCAGTTACAAAATCGATGATAAAGATGCTTTATTTGAAGATAATGTCCACCGGTCTTAATTATTATTAAATTCAAAGTAATGTTGTGGCCAAAACATTAATAAAATCCCAGCACCAAGTACTGTGATTTAAATTAATTAAGAGTACCCCTTTGATTAACTAACTTAACTGACAAATTAGATGAAAAAGATGGGATAATCTGATAGCCTTGAGGCTAGATTCAAATTTGACAAACATCATCGTCATGCCACAGATCAATGATAGCAATCTTTCTTTCGACATAAAATCTTCTACGTTATTCTTCATCATATGCTTTCTGCATAAAAACCCTCCCACCGTTCTTATCTTACAGTTTACTATTCATTTTTCTATATAAATATTCTAAAAATCGTAATTCTTTTAAGAAGACCTCTTAATTATAACTTCATAAAGTTTAGTCCACCGTCCCCAATCATTAACTTAAAATCACTATTTTACCCATAAATCTTCTTTTATCCTTTTCACTTGTCGACGAGAAGCATTTTATGTTATTATCACTATAAGTTACCAGCCATTATTTGAATAACCTAAAAAGTACATAAAAGCATTACTTTGCCTATAAAAATCAAAATACCTTAAAGTTATCCATTATAATAAATTCAATGTCTGGTTCAGTGCATACATAACCCAAACCAGCAATTCCTGAAAGGTTCTTCTGGATGTTAAGTTAACATCAATTGAAGAATGGTTTTACGTGTCAAATCATTTATTCTAATTTCAATATCTGCAATCCTAGAAGTTAATTATGAGAAATTTATATAATCTTTACACTTACTGGGAAAATCAAATTTTGGAATATCATCATCTATTTATGTTTATAAAGATCATGGCAAACTAAGAATTTGTTAATATGAGATCTTAGCCACTGTTGCCCTTAGGATTTAAAACGGTATAAAGTAAATATGGGTGTCTGATTTTCATATTTGGTTGACATTTTTCCACTAGTTATAGAAATTTAGCTGAAGAATTTACGAAGCGTTCCACTAGCGTTGATTACTCGTCAAGTATGTCAAATAATTCATTAATCCTTCGTAAGAAAAACAACTCGTCATTATCTATGGCTTCGGATGACAACGACAAAGTATGGAATCGTAATCATACAGAAGAAAAAGCAAGAAATAGTTTAAGCCAATCATCTTCTTTCGATAGCCATGAACACACTAACGTCGATAGTGGTCCTAGCTTAAGCAGCAGTAGTAGCGCAGGGAGCATAAACACTTGTCTTCGTGCTGAAGGAGTTAATGTAACAGGATCAACTAGCGATAATCATAATAGTTGTGTAACCGCTGAAAAAAACAAAGGATCTCAAATTCCAGGTAAGAAATTAACATTGTGTATTCATATTGCATCATAAAATTTACTGGTAGCATACTGGATATATTTGCTATATACATAGATTGGTAGGGATACCATAATAAATGGAACAAATTAGCATATATATAAATATGGTTATCGGTATTGAGAACCAGTTGCAGCAAAAATTATTTATTTATAAAGGATTAAAGTGTTCTAAGTAGTTTAAAACTGATTTGCTATCAGCTATCACATTACAACTGCTACAGTTGAGATTATTCTTAAACGTTTAAACTATTTTTAATTAATTTAAAAATTGATTTACGAACATTTGCAATTGCGTGTGTTACTGTTTATATCTAGAAGTAATTAAAATTAATACACATATTTCAATCTAGATAAAAGTGTGTATGATCATTACAACAACAATATGGGAATTATCGATGGAACTATGTCGTTGCAACGATATCAACGTATAGCCGATATAGGTGTTAACCCAAATTTCTTTTCATCAGATCACTACAGTAAGTTCGTTCTTAGCTCTTAATTCCTATATAAAAGTGGTATATCCTTCTTTATCCATACAAATATATTATAAAATGTTTTGTGATCTTTAATATAATCACTTCGACAAATTGGCTTTAACGATTGTTTGTATGGCTAAATACAGTGCCATCCATAATGCTGAAGTATTATAGTTATATGTCAAGTAAAGAAAGGATATGTAAAACTTACTAAAAACAAATATTCTTATTCTATAGATGTATTATTACATTATACCTTATCATAAAATAAATTTAAATTATTTTTATTAACAGAGAAACTATCAAGAACTACAAGTGGTCAGAGCAGAAAAAGTAGTGGTAGTATAGAAGGACATTATCAACTTGAACAACAAAATACTGAAAGTGATTTCAATCGTCTTCGGCTACAACTTCCTGATATGAAATCTAAACCTGTTGTACCACCTCGATATTCTGATAACAACCAATCTATGGACTACAATTCAGATTCCGATATTGCAGCTCACATGCGTCGCCGAAAATTTGCCATTGATCATCATATTAGTAATAAAAATGATTATCTTCAGCATTTGCCTACTAAACAAGAAGAAAATAACTTCCTTAGGCAACATAGACCGTCACTAAAATTAAAAGAACATCCTAGTCATTATATTGCTGTATCTCGTGACGATGAAATGCTCAATCATGCTACAGCAGGTGCTAAAAAACCTTCGTACGAAGAACATATTCATCAACAAGGTAATTTTAAATCTGATAACATTCAATCGTTTGGCTACTTTTGAAGCGTAAGTGATTCAAAGTATTTTAAGTATTTAACACACTGTAAAGCTTATAGTTGGGATTATTATCACTGTTAAAATGAATAGCAAGGTATAATCCATCTTGTTATGGGTATATTAATACGTAGAATAAATAAAAGTAATACGTGGTGTTATTTACCACTAAATATCTATAATAAATTTAATAGTAAATCGATCTATTCGCAACTATTTTACTTAAATAGGATCTGAAAAATTGCATAAGTCGCACAGCACTAACAAAATGACCTCAAATAATGTCATTTCTCCTAATTCGGGTGGCTATGTTTCCGATAGCGGACCTGCGTATTACGATGATACTAAGAAAAGAGCAAATTCAAGAAAATTGATTACAGAAAAACGGGAAACCGCTAATCAATCCAAACAACAGATAGGATCGGCAAATACTAGCGATTATATCGATCTATTACGACATAGCAGCAAAAATAATCCTCAAAATCATGCAGGTGATCGTCAAGTAAAAGATAAAAGCAATTATATTGATCGGACTTCGCTGCCAGTCAAAAAGTTATCTAAACCGGAAAAATCACCAGTAGCAGTCCCATCGAATAATGATAGCCAAGTTAGTCCGCGGATTAAATTAAAAGGGGACAATGGTAAAAAAAAAGTGATACAGCAAGAAAACGAATCTGGAATCAGCAAGAGGCCTCAAAAATTAATAAAAGACAATAGTCATCCACGGAAAAAATTTAATAAAAAACATGCAGAAATGAATAAATTTTTAAGAAATTTAAACTTAGTCCGTAGTCGACTAATAAGATCAGCTAGTGATAGTACACTTAATAGCCCAATAGTGCTACAAATTACTAAATTTCAATCCAAATCTGACCTTAATGACTCGTTTAAAACGCATTTACATAAAAGTCTTAGTGATAGTGCTCTCTACAATCGCTGTAATAGAAAAAAAAATCACGGTTATACAATCAACTACAAATCGATTCTATCATCGGGTATTCCAGTTAAGACAATATTAAGTCCATATGTAGTGACAAGTAATAAAAAAGCTGCTTCTCATGTTTCACAAACAAGTATTAATTGGTCTCTAGAACCTAACAATCGAAAAGGTGAGTAGATCTGATAAAGTTTAGAAAGTATGTGAACTTAATTAAATTTTATTTTATTTCATCACGTTATCATACGTGACTGAATTACTTATGAGAACTATGAGCTTTCTATCTTATTCAATTTATTTAATATAATTATAAATATCTATGCAAGGAGCTACAACACCAGGAGTAAAATCATTTCTTAACGTAAGTTTACTCTGGATAAAAAGTGTTCTTTAACTACTATAAATATACATTACCGTTAATAATACTCAGGTTAATTTATTTTTAATTAATAATTTTGGCGTAATATGTATTTCAATTGACGGATTTAAAACAGGTAGAAGAAGTCCTAGAGGAATTTAAAAACTCAGAAAGAACAATTTATGAATTGAAGCATAAATTGAATAATAATGTAAGTTTGTCTAGAAACCTTAGATACACATACTACTAAAACATCATAGATAAATTTATTACTCGTAATTACTGTAATGAAGCATCCAATAACGTTGATTTATCAGAATCAATAAAAATTCTGTGACTAGCTGAATACATGTTACGGTGTTACCTTACCGTTAGGATAGTTTAATAGTGCAGTAGTAGTTAACATGGAAAATATCCATACTAGTAGTGTTAGGAGAGATAAGTAATGCCTTAACGTGGATATTATCCGTGATAGTTTACTACATGCTTGATATTGATTGCTATTATGTGTAGATAGTAGTAAGATGATTCAAATTCTAGCTGATGATAGTTGAACTAAACAACATAAATGCTTAGATTAAGTATGAGTAAGTGATTAAAAATATTTACAGATAGAAAAACTATGTTAGGAATATCTTAGTTTAAAATGTCTCTCCTAGTAAGGTGTAATAATAATATTGTTGTTATTTATAAATTAGACGGTTCCTATATAAACGGGAATATTTGAGTTGGATAGTGTAGTAAAAAGTTCTTGATATGTCTATGCGAATAAAAGTTCTATCTTTACGCTACTTTGCTGATGTGTGTTTAACGTTTAGTAAAAGAGCGTTTAAGTCAGTACTTACTCATAGACTTTTACTGTACGTTTCCTTGTCGTAGAGTTTAAATTGTGACAATACATAATATTAAACTATCAACTTGTTGAATTATTAGGTTTATGTTTTTCATGCCTTCCAAGACAATATTACGAAACTAAGTCACGATATAAAAGAATTGCGAGAAAAATTATACGAAAAGGTTCATTTGCAATGGAATCGATACTTATTTTGAAATAATGTTGATGAGTAGGAAGAAGTTTGAAACAATTAATCTTCTCTTAAAGTTATAATCGCTTCGCAAGAATAATTTTCGTTGTAATGTAAACGTAGCAGTATACTCGAATACTACATTTCTAATTTTCTGGATCAAAATAATCGTAACTCAATACATGTGCTGTATACTGTTCAGCAATATCTCACGAAGCAGTTATCTTACTAATTCTTGACATGACAACGTCAAGAACTTTTACAGAAGGTGACTTGCAATTGAAAATCAATGTTACGTTAAATTACAAACTCACCTCTTAAAACTTGGAGATGTATATCAAAACTTTAATTTAAAAGTTCTAGCGTAGAATCTTAATAGCCTCTAATATCTTTCCTCAACATTTATAGATATTATGCTATTTTGAGGAAAACTTATGTGTAACTACGGAATGCAGTTTAACTACTAATTTACTTACTTAATAGTAAATGATAAATCCATTCTTAATCCTCTAACTTCTCTGTTTGTGTTACTCCATTTTAGGATATTAAAATTATTGAGCTACAAGCCGGTTTAAGAGCTTATCAAAGTCAGCATGAAATTAATATTTCCAGTAAAAATTTGCTATCGCGACTTGGTAAAAGGAATACCGGTAGTGCTGGCAGTAACACAGACTCAGGATCTACAAGTATATTGGATGACTGTAATGTTCTCACTTAATAATTTAATGACACAACACACGAGCGTAGATTGTAATATTAGACTATTTTACTAAGAGAGAATAGTTGAATGTGACTTTTATAGAATTCCTTCCAGATGAAGACTTAAGAGAATAGATATTTGCTTATCTTAGGATACAGAGAACTAATTTTTTTAACTTGTCTAACCGTATAGTATTTATACCAAGAATATGTTTTAGTAATTGTAATACATGAGATGTGGTATTACGCGGCAACAATTCCTAGATGTTATCTGTAGATACGCATATACGCGTATACATCATTAGTATACAGCACTTGAGATAACATATGGACTATTCTTAGATTAAATCACAATAGCTGCAATATCTCTTTCTATTTGAGAATATAGCACTAGGATGATTAATACTGTAAATTTGAATATTTAAGCACTGAATAAAGCATTAAAGTTTGACGGGTGAGAATTTAATATCATGCCTTTCATTATTAGTTCAACTTGATCGAAGTGATACTGGTTCAATCGATGCTGGCCAGCTAACAGATGTGACTACTGATGACGAATCTGCCAAGAATAAGAAAAAGAAGAAATCCTGGATCGTAAGTACTCAGTATTTTTGGCTGTTGTGTGCACGAACAAAATATATCTTAAAAGCATAATAGGTGTATCTTGATCAAATATATGCAACAAATCCGATCCAACTTTTATACTTTTAAGCAACTGATATAATTTTCTTGGTTTTGATCTTGAAAATTCATCTTACAGGGTTTTAGATCATCGTTTGCGTCTAGAAAGAAATCTTCAGGTCGTAAAGATGATATATTTAATGCAGATATAGATGTAAGAGCTGATACGGATCCAAATTCGCCAAGAACGGCTACGGTTGGGCGATCTAAATCTACAAGAATGGATACTCCACCTAGTATAATAACTAAAAGTATAACGAACCAGGGGTCAACGGATAAAGAAGACATTCTGTAGGTCTATGTAAAATAATTAATGTAATTTATTATAGAGCTCCGAAATTAAAATAAATCATCTTAAGAAGATAAATATAGAGAAATCAAATCAATCCTAAAATCATTTGTAGTGATTCTTCAACATCGAAAGTAACAGACTTGGAATTAATCGATGAATTACGAACTGTCATCAAAACTAAAGACGTAAGTGTCCATTAATGTATACGCTGTAACTTGAATTAAGGTCATAACAATATTCTCGTTGCAATAATAATAATATCACTAAGGATTAATCATATGTTATTGAGTAATGTACACTTGTCTATTTCTTCTTTCTAAAGTAATAACCTACTGTATTTGCTTTACTTCGTAGATTGTTTGTTATCGCTTCGTTATATAGTCTATCTCATAAGCTCTTTGAATAATGATAGGACAGTAACTTAAAATTATAGTAAATCATACTAAAAAAATCTTCGGTAGCTGCTTTAGTGTCATAAGGTATAATATCTCGATTTCAAATTTTTGAGGATGATGTCTTATTCATCAGACATAACAATCACTGCCCTAGAATAACTAGGGTTTTGTAGTTTTGGTAGTGCATTTTTGCGTATGTATCTGAAATAACTCAATAATTCCTACGAGTAAGTGATCTAGCTCGAATTTACTCTTAATAAATTTAAATTTGTATAACAATGATGTTCTTGCGTTATTGTATTTGTATTACAACGTTTTACAAGAATAATGAAACTTTATTATAATAATTTATAGGAACGGCTCAATCGCTTACAAAGAGAAGCTGTTACTTCAAATTATCAATCACTTCAGTTAACTAAAATAGTGAAGGACTTGCAAGTAAGGCATTATTAAATAAATTAGTATGTGATATATTGAAAGAAATTTTGTATGATGTAGTATAGTATGGATAAATAACCGATTGCACTTTTAGTTTATAAGAGTAATTAGACAAGCCGATGTTTAAATTTATTTAATTAACATAGACTCAAATTCTACAACTACGTCTGGAAAACGAAAAGCTTAACTTTCAAGCTAATCTTTACTCGTTAAAGACGCCTGAAGCAGGCTCAGATGAATCTATCTCGTTCAGAGATGATATTGGCGTAGGACAAAGTATGTAAAGTAGATTCAAAGTAATGGAAACTTAAACTGATACAAGTAAGATGTTAATACTTGATATCTTGATCATATAGATAACAAATTAAACGCCAATGTAAAGTTAAATCAATTAGTGGTCAAGATATATGTTGGAAGTTCACCAGCATTGATACGGCTACTTATAAAGGTAGTGTTAAAATTCACTAGCAACTGTTTTGCGCTATGAAATCGATTTTTAATCCATGGTATTTTGATGTTATGATATTTCCAATTCCTGTGTGATATTATGAATCTTTATAATGCAATATGGGATTTTTAAGTAATTTTAAAATATTGCAGCTGCCACATAAAAATAGGAATGATATCACCATTGGATACCTGCAAATAACATCCAATACTCTATGGAGGAATGTCGATGAGAAATTGACTATTTTATTCAAAGTATGCATTGCTTTATTTCTAAAAGTATATCTTTACTTTATGAAAATTCGTTTACAATACTGAAATACCGAAGAAAATATTTAATTAAGTGCTATTTAGATTAATAATTATGACTTTGTGTACCGAAGTTGGTATACGAGTAAATACTTCATTTAGAAAGTTACAGGGATATTTCAATTCCGATACACTGTAATTTTTTGCTCATTCCTAACATGTAACATAATTACCACGAAAAATTGAACTTTAAGACGTAGTCTGTCCTAGCAATACGATGTCTTATTTACTATAGGTGTAGTAATATCCCTAACTTCCCAGGTAGAAATTATCCGTTCGAGATCTAGATCAATATACGTATTTATAAATACTTAATTATAAGAGAGGATCAAGTTAAAATATCAGTACAACTTGCAAGTTCTGAATAGTATTAATACAATATCTATCTCTTACTAGATTACATTTCATAAAATTATGAGAAATTGATCGAAATGTGTCAGAGTAACATAGATCAAAAATAAGACACTCATATGTAAATCAGAATTTGAAAATATATTTCATGTCGCTCTTCTACGATATATGAGAGCACTACTTATTTTAAGCGATGAATTTATGAATCATGTTCGGAATGATCATAGAAAGATCTTTTGATAAACATATTTACGATACGCATCTTGGTTGATATTGAATTCATAGAGACATTGCAGCCTAATTGATCCCGAGGGAGAGCTCGGTCTTTCAGCATCTAGCATCGAATGCTACGAAATAAATACTGTAAAGCGTTACATAGGTAAGATATGTAAGTTCTTGTAAATGAACAAGTAAAAATTAATGCCATTACTTCCTATGTTCATGATCAACTTAACAAATAGTATGTAGCTATTGCTGTTCTGCAATCGCGCTCTATTGTAGCCCTATTGTAGCTTATCTGAAATACAAAATTACAATAGAATAGTGTATACTGTTAGTGAGTGATTAATAAGTAAAGTGACTTCTTAATCCTATTATAATAATACAGAAAAACTGATTAATTTAATAGGAGATGAAGAGAATAAATCAATAAAACCTTTCCATTGTTCGAAAAAGAAAGACCGCGATATGCCGATGCTGATTTTAATCTATCTAAAAAGTGTTCAACTTGGTTTTACAGACTCTATAGTATATCAAACACTAATACCAAAATTTTATATTCAGGTACAATAGAGAAAATATTGATCGTTATGTTAGGTTAATTTCAGCTGCTGTAGGTCTTTTAACTAATAGAATTCCTTAACGAAATTGCTCTATCTTAGCCATAATAAATGTGTTAAAGAAAATTCGGTATCGACTTATGATAATATCATTAACTAGACGTATATAGTTTAAGTAAAGGCAATTTACTTATTTATCTTTACTAATGCAATAAATTTTATTTCCACATTTGCCCTAAGCGATAAAATAGTTACAGACACGAACAAAAAATCACAAATGCACATTTAGGATAACATGAAATATGAATGATCTGATTTAATTTACTTATTTTGTCTTTAGCGATATTTAGCATTGCTATTAGATAATCGCTTTGTCATAATTGATGGCGCTTCTGGGAGTATAAAAACGTTTCTTGCTTTTAAGCTAGCAGAATATTTAGTCCAAAGGTACGAAGGCAGTAAAATGAACACTTACTGTCTTATCATTTTATTTTGTTTCTTTGTACATACAGTATCACCTTTAAGATCATTAAGAATACGCTTTCAATAAGTGGTTACATTAGCTATTTATACGATTATAAAAAAATAAATGTTATTTTGCTACAGTCTAGAGGATATGCTTAGGTGTAATACAATAATTCTATCCGGCCCCTGATTAAAATTGTTGCATTCTTACGTTATCTTTTACTGATTTGAGTATCACTCTAGTTCGGATAAATTCAATATTCAAAATTTTTAATCTTTACATTGTAAATGTTTAAATTAATTGAATTGTTCGGATTCGATTGTTACACTTTCTAGTCAATTGTCTTCAACAGAGTGATACTTCTTAAAACAATTTATCTTAATATATTCATCTTTGCTCTTATTTTATCATCTTTTCATTGTAAAATATACTTGATAATACTTATATTAATATGACTAAAACCGATATTATCTTGTTATATACTAAAGATGTGACAAATCAGTTGAAAAAGGAATAGGTATCTTCAAAGTTACCAATAACGCTGAGGTAATATGGTATCAATTTGGTAAACGTCTGTTGTCTATAATATCATAATTTCTATTTTGTGTACTTTGTATACTGACTCTTTCTTTACTCCATACGAATGGGTGATAATGATATTCATAGAAATATTCGTATATTTGTTTTCATTTTACTGTCACAAACCAGTTCTATGCAAAGATAATGAAAAGCTAAATCTACAAATCTTCTCCCTAAACCACGTGTGAGCGTTAAAACTTGTCTAGGAAACCCTAGGTAGTACTGTACTCCTCTCTAATTCTACAGATCCTTAGTGATTTGTATACCTTTAACTCGATGTTGAGCACTAAAATTAAGAGCTAGCCTATTATACAGGATGCCGGGCTTATGTATCTTTCTATAGTAGCCAGTTTTGATTAGTATCAGTATTTCCCAAAATTCAGGTAATGAATTTATATCTATTTAACGCCCAATCAGTACGGTAATATTTAAAGACATAGGTATCCGATGACTAATAGAGGACAGTTAGATTACAGTTATTATTTTTTCTCATTTATAAAGTCATTCAAGTCATAATTGTAATTTACTGTAAGCTAATAACGATCACATATTATGCCACAAGGCAACTAAAAAGTATGTACTTTTTCGTAACCTAAATATGGCTATGTCACTAAACATCTCTAACTTTTCTTCTGTGAGGTAACACCTTAAAAAATTCGCTATTTGTTTTCATCAAACTTATGGTATCCTATAGTTATTTCTCCTTGAAGTAGAGATCTGGATAGATTCATTTTATGAACAATGGTCGATATCAGAGAGATCATTTTTATTTTTGACACTGATTAAAGTTCTATGATTTTTATATACAACTCTTGAAAATTGCGATACCTGATTTTATGAAATTGATTGTAGGACTTAATCAGTTACTTGAAGCAGCAACAGAGCAGCGGGTACTAGTCTACGTATTATATTATGAATGCTTTAAAAAATTTAATTGTACATTAATTAAATAGAGCTAGTTATTATAAATTGATTTGACTCGTTGCTATTAATAATAGATCCCGGGTGGTAATCATTTTAGACGAACTTCATCATCTTAATTCATTGGACAGCGTCATTAGTAGTGGAATCTTTTCCCAACCTCAGTGGTAAGATGATCGCTTAATATATGTATATATATAAATACTCGCAACATATAGATATCCAATATTTATATACGTAGATTGTAAATACATGGTAACAAGGTATGCTCAAAATGGTTAGTTTAAAACTATTGTAATATTTTCACTAAACAGTATATAATTTCTTTGTCACGTTCAACGTATGTATAGTCCCTTTATTATTGGCACAATTAATCATAACAAAAGTTCCTATCTGAAAATTCACCAAAACTTCCGGTTAGCTCTATAATATGATTACATTAAATCTTATCGATCCTTCCAAAAGTAAACACAATCGCTCTGGCATTTTTCTACACATAAAATAAAAAAATACATAAATTCTGTTTTATTTTCGGTAAATTTCAATCAGATGGATATTACTATCAAACGATAAGCCACCAATTTCAACGCTATTAGAAAAATATTATGCTATTAGATCAGCAGAATTTAACCCAAAACCGAGGTAATTAAGTAATGTTTATAAATCTGTCTGTAATGACTAAAATTAATTAAAATCTCATTGTTTTGTAATATTTTGAAGCTCTACCAGGCTATCAATGTACTAAGCTTACTATTGCATAATTTTATAATCGTAGGAATGACGCTATACCATCTGTCTGTAAAGTATTTGATAAATTGCCAAAGATGTGGTCAATAATTAATGAATCTATACTTAAATTTGGTTCCTCCCAGTTAATGCTAGGTACTATATGTAAAGCAAATTATGCAATAACTCTGGTATTTACCTAATTGCCATAAAACAGCTTTGCAACAAGATAACGTAATATACGATCAATAAGTCAATTCCTTGAACCACGTATCAAGGAACGATATCTGCACTATCACAAACACTTTTGCTCTACTAGCAGACTACACAAAGACTTAAACGCCTCGTATTTTACGTTAAACATTAAGTTGGACAATTCTTCTTTATTTCACGATATACTGTATTTATATACTATTCCTCAATAGTTCATGAGTCATAGTTAATACAATTAACATTAGAATCATTTACTGAATTAGATATTAATTATAGCTACTGCTCCCTTAATGCAGACAACAGTATTTACGAACATAGACATATAATGACTAATACAGTCTAGTCAGATTACGATATGTCCTATCACGGAACATTTCCATGATAATTTACAGTCTACCATAAGTAAATTACAATCACAATGATTCGAACTGTAAGCAGATGATTTGCATTCCCTATTATAACTATTAATTTCAGTATGTGTATAAGTGTCACTGTCATAAAAAGTCAGTGCTATATTAAAATACAGTATATCCAAATTAGAAGTTAACTAAATAAGGATAGTCTAACAGAATTATCCTAACATAGATATTTCTACTGTAATACAGTATTAAACACTGTAACACTAATAAAGACTGAAATCATTTCTAACTCTCATGAAAGTTCGGTATTACTGAATACTAACTCATGTTACAACGATTAGGTCCAAAGTTATTCATGTCTTGTCCTTCTGACTATCAAAAGTCAGAAATATGGTTTACTGATTTATGGAATTATTCCATTGCTCCATATGTAATGGAACTTGTTCGCTGGAAATTGGAAGTTAGCTTAAGTTGCTTAAGATCTTAAATTATATTTTCATAGCTTAATTTCAAAATCATGATAAAGTTGCACCTTTCAATTTTTTGGCTTAGAAGTATTACCAGTAAATGAAGTAACTTTTGCTTTTTGCTAAATAATATGCTTTTACTCCCGGAATATTAATTTAGAATGCACCCGAAGCAAGTCTAGCAGATTGGAAATCTCCATTACAAACTATATTGAATACTGGTAATTATCCATGGCAAAATAATATTAATCAAGCTAAAGCCAATCTGAGAGATATTACTCCTCACGATATCCAACGTGAGCCAATTCCAATCAAAAATGTTAGCGGTAATGCGTCATTTAGTTATCACTTAGTAATTCTATATATACTGAAATTATTGTCAATTGTTGCAACACTCATTTTATATTAACCAGTTTTTAATGACTGCAGTATGTTCTACCTCTAAAATAACGCCATATACGTATATCTCTATTTAGATACCGAAAAATCTAACACGAATAATTCAGAACAGGATCTAGTGCGTTATAAATGAGTATTATTAATAACAAATTTAAAATCAAATTTATTATGGCCATGTGCGATATTAACCGAGTGTACAGTAATCTACATAAGATATAAACTTTAATTCATTTACATTACTCTGTAGATGGCTCTATTGAAAAGGGTTATGGAAATTAATAGCCCATATGCCTCTAGTGATGAACTGCCACTTGAGTCGAATATTTAAATTGGGTTTGATCAAATCTGAAGTTAGTTTAAGTACCGTTGTTGATTAAATGATCAATTTATATCCTAAAGAGATTTAAATTCATTGATACCGTAAACCTTTCCGCTTTTATGTTATTTATAATCGGCTCGAGTTATCGAACAAATTTAATCTTTAAACTTTATACGAATATGATTTATATTATATAAGTATATATTCCTAGTTGAATATTTAAAAGGAAAACTATCCTGCTATGGTATTGATATGATCAATTATAATTATATTAGATGTAATGATGCTTACTAGAAATTTTAATGTACTTTCCGATAGTCACTTGAATTTCATATTCTCTCTCTATACAGCAGACACCCTACTGTATATGTAAATATAAAAGTAGCAGCATACGTAATTAATAATGAACTTCATCTTATTGACAATTAATCCAACAAATTAAATCTGACAGTTAATATGCTAAAAGCCAGTATTTTGTAACTTATAAATGTTCAATTGTATAGATCTATTCTATGGCCAATATGTTAACTAATCTATCTATGCAAACATATAATCCTATATACATTCACTTTGTAGCCTTTCTATAATACATATATATTACTGTATTACACTCAAACGTTGTTTCAGCTTCGAAATTTGCACGATGATAGTCTAATGCTATTGTAAAAGTTTTTACATCATTGAATTTTGGAAAATTAATATCGCTTTCAATTCTGTAAATGGATCCTTTCAGCTTTGTCTTGATAAGTAGTCGTGTTGATTAATATTTACTGCACTCGTATGCCTTTAAACATCCGGATACGAGTATAAATATCGTATATCCTAGTGCAAAAACCATGTAACATGTGTTATTGATTTAAAATATTATGTGACTTGTAATAATGCAAGATCTGTAGCGGATGTTATTAGGCTGCATATACACTTATGTGAAGTTTTATTAATATCAGATTATCTTTATTGTAGAAAAATAAATTATAAAATCAGAACTATTTTGTGTAATCAGATCTTTTATAGAGTTAAGGTATCTTGGAAGTAATTTTGATTAGCGAAGGCGATCATCAATAGAAGAGCTCAATTCCTCAATACGAAACATTAAAAAAAATCTGTTATATTACTATAACGTAATTTAACTAGAATGTAATCTTGCTCTATTACTATTTACTAGCAAAATTTCTATTCAAATAAACGGAAACATAATCTGCAAAAAGCAATACTGTACATTAGAAGAAAAATTTACTGCTAGATTATCTTAAGATATATACGCTTCCTAAATAAGTACGAATGCTGAATCAAGTCCATAGAATAAATAAATTAGTGTGGAGAGTAAAGATTTACAGTACTGTATATAGCAGTGTACTGCATTAGGGGACAAACATATGACTTTTCCTCTTATGTTATCTATAACTGGTTTAAAAATGGTATTGAGGATACACAGTATTTATTTTGAGTATCCAGGAATGTAGCGTAACAGCATGATACTCAGCTAGCAACAAATTTTTGTTCAATTTGGTACGTTATCAGCCTAAGCATAAGAAAAATTTGATGTAGTTTATATAATTGTAATGGGAGCTTAACTATTCTACGAGTTCCGTGAAAAATACTGATATTACAGCGTATTAAATTACTCTTGATTATAAGGAAAAATTAAAATAAGATTATAATCAATAATAAGTGTCAGTAAACGTTGGCTGTTTTATCAGTTTACGACAAACTTATCAGGATAACGCTATGTAACAACTGGCCATGGGTATTTTAAACTACCTAAAACTTGATTTGTACTGTAAGATCGTTTTCACTGCAGCTAATTCATTAAATTTAGAACCTTTGATGAAGATATAAAGTACTGTGTGATTAAGATATGAATATATAAGTGCACCATTATCTCGGGGTTCTAAGTAAGAGTATAAGGTAAAGTTGATAAAAAAAATACCAAACATCAAGCAATCGTATCAGAAAGCAAATTATGCCTAAGCTATTTTTCAAATCATAGTAAGAGTTGACCATTTTTACTTAGTCCTTCATAAATCCTTTGAGCACCCACATACAAACGAATTTAAAAAATTACAGCTTATTAATAACTGACAAATGATATCAGATATTTCCTGTGCACTCATAAATTGTAGTATACAATATTGGCGGTAAAAATGACCAGCGGCCTGCAAAGAATAGGCTAAAATTTGCGATAATTAGTTACAACTAGTCATCGTATTATTTTCGTCTACTTAAAATTGTAGATTACTTAGTAGGCCAGGTAAGCATAAATAGAATAAATCAATCTTATATTAGGTTTCGTAAAATGAGCTTTCATGTACCAGAGGCATAATTTAGAAATAGTTTTCTTCTGTGGCAAGTTAATTTCTCCATAGGATTATTAAAGACATGAAAAACTTAAATTCATTCTATAATAGCGTAAAGGAAACAATAATATTAAATGAACTAGTAGTGGTAAATAGGCACTGATATACATAGGTAAATTGGATGAGAAGATCAAAGGCAAATTTGATGGGCCAGTAATAGTGAAAGAACATACGTTAACAATTTCATCAGTGTAGATAATAACTGATTATTATCTGCTAAAATATGCTACAAGTGTATCGTCACAATTAATAGTAAAATTGAAGTTCGTAATTTGTCAGCATTAAAATAATACAAGTAAATCTAAAGCCATTAAGCAACCTAATTTAAACAATTGATTCTAGTTTAGGCGGAGACAAATCCATAACTTTACATATCCATCCAGCAATATCTACTACTTCAGCTTCCCATTTCTGGATGAATGGCTTTTTCTGCAGTATCGAATAATAAGTAAAGCAATGAGACCCAGAAGAAATGAAATCGTACTACTTGTTTGTAATCTATAGTTAAACTCACAGATAGTTCATATAAATCTGGTCTTTCTTTAGGATCTTTTTGGAGGCTGTCCCAAATAATAACGGATTAGATAAAACATCGCATAAAGTATTTAAATACGATCATAATATATACGCACCAACAATCAACAAATTCTTGAAACTCCTTAGAGAAGACACCTCCTGATGGAAGTCTTGGAGGCGGCTATCATAAATTCGAGATTTTTTCAAGATTTGAGCACAAAGGAATATATTGGAATTTTTGTTATTCTTGACTGTAACACACTATATGCGTATAATATCTATCCGAGCAAAGGTTACCTGATTGACGATATAATCTAACAGTTCAAAGATGGCCATTGGCTTTGGAGCATCATCACCAGATACCGCTCTCCCAGGCGGTGCAACAGATGCTGGACTAAATCTGTTTATAGTAACGCATTAAAGGCAATTTTAGAATAGTGTGCAGAAATTTTAGGTTCCTTGGAACTCTTATTCTGAAAATAAGCATGTTATACGAACTCATCGTTTGCAATTTCTTGATTTAAACTTTCGTTGTCGGGTGGAGGAATGGGATAACGGCCAATAGCCATCTCCACTAATGACATACCGAAACTCCAGATATCGGAATGTACTGTGTATTGTGACCCAGTTAAACGTTCAGGCTGATAAAAGAGGTGAGACAAAATCAAAATGACTAATAGAACTAACATATCAAAAAAATCAATGTAGTATACATACAGACATATATGATCGTGTGCCGACAAAAGAATTCGCCATTGAGTCAATAAGTTGCCCACTCACACCGAAATCGCACATCTTTATCTCACCTCTTGAGTTGACTAAAATATTGGATGGCTTCACATCTGTAATATTAAAGTAAATTGATAAAATTGTAGTTGTAAAATGTAGTCAAAAATTACGAATTTAGGACATCTGACTGACGTTTTCGTGCTTATGATATCTAATATGGTCACTTGGCTAAGTTTCAAGACCAATATTAACTAGTACAAGCAATCAAATGTACCTCTATGCATTATTTTATGTTTCTCTCTTAAGTACGTGAGACCTTTAATGACCTTTATTTAGACAAGCAAGAATAGTTATTATAATTAAAATCAAAACCCTAGATGGGATAGCATAGATAACTTCATGGACAATGAACATCTTATTTTTCAGTAAATTCATACTTACAGCAATCGCGATTTTTCCTAAAATTGGTTCAGGTATCCTCCTAGCTTTTTTCATAACTTTATCAAGAGATCCTGCATCCTAAATTAGATAGTATACGTAATCATTACCACTTCATTGGTGTTACTTTCATACTGACCTACTCCTGGTAGTCATTTAATCTTATTATCTTTATGCTAACAAGAAAATTCGGACGTTGCTAATTTGCAATACAGCTGCACGAAACAGTGAATGACAGAATTAATGACGATCAATAGTAGATACCGCTTTCGTATTCAGCTGATACAATGAATACGTAATGCAGTAGATATCAAGGGAAAATTTATGAAATTATCAGTTTTAAAAAATATTTGAGAATTTTTAAAATCGTAAAATAAAGATAATAAGTGGGCATTGAGAAGCCGTTGTAGTATTTAAGGATACTATTACGTTGTAGGTTTATAATCGGCACGAAGCAAAGACACGAAAAGGTAAGTAATATCTATACACAAACGTACTACCGGTTAATACGATCTCTAGCATCAAGCATTTATTTAATGCTACCAGAATCTTATATTAATATTTAATATAGTGCAATTCAAGCGAAGAAAAACGTGGTTTATCAACAAAGATTTTAAACTTACGGTATCAAAACTGTTGTATAAATTAATTACAAGTATTCTCTCGTGCAGATGTAAATAATACTATATAACAGATCAAAAACTTTAGACCATAAGATAAGTATAATCCAAGCTATAGAAATAATTTACCGTACCTTAATATTCAAATAAAGGTGTCAAGATAATTTTATGAAAATGATTTTAGATAACAGCGACATAATTATTTTATGGTATAGTAGTGTATATCGTCCTTACCATATGTTCCATGCAAATAGAGATCTCTCCGTCGCTGTAAAAGGCACCATAAAATCCCACAATGTATGGGGAATTGCATTCGTGCAAGATTTTTAATTCGCGAATTATTTGATTTCTTACTGCGGCTTTTATTTCCAGATGGATTAACTGTATGATAAAGAATAATGTTGTCTATAAGTATATCAACGATAATGTTGAAGTATCCGATAAGTTCATTAATACAAAAGTGCTTTTATTTAAGTAATTGGATTACAGGGAGCCACTGAAAAATCTCTGTTTAATTGATTTACTAGCGAAAGTAAAGGGAAATATAGCATCGAGACAACATTCCCTTTACTCTACAAGAAACTGATTTAATGGAATTGACACGCGCATAATCTTTACGTATACTTAGCTACCGTTCTACGGCAGATAGCAGATACCTCCCTAGAAAACTTACATGGGATAATCATTATTGCATGTTAATAGCATTGAATAAAAGATTTTGTTACGTAGTTATGTACTACTGAGTTCAAAAGCAATCAATTATAGAAGCAAATACATACGTCTACTGTCAGAGGCTATGATTGGACAAAGTTAGTGAATCAATTTTGTTTAAAATAATTTGGATAACATTTGTTGCAATAAAAAGTAAGCAGTTTCAATTTTCACTGGTTACGCTTCCCTGATATCAAAAAAATCTGCTTGTCAAGAATGTAGATTACCACGAAGTAGCAAAACACTAAAATTGAGAGGCATAATGTTCTAATAAACTATGAATAGAAACCTTGACTGTCTGCCAATAATGAAAAATCAACGATCATCTTGTATCATACTGGATGATAATACGTGAAAGTATCTAACGTGCAGAGTAAATAATTAATTATTGTACCCTGAGATGGAATTCAGTATGACCGAGAATGGTAATTTGAATAGGAATTGAATATTTGTAAGTCCGAATGAATGCATGTAATTATTGCTGCTACATATTAAAAACCTACTTTTAATAGTTTATTTTAAGTAATTAATTTACGATTGCTATGAAGTTCATTTAGATTAAGTAAGCCATATCTGTAGGCAACTATTACTGCATATAAATTATGACTAGTACATCAAATTCTACCATAGTTTGCGTTATCCCTACTAATAATTCTTCCTTTACAGAATTTGAAGTTACAGTAGCTTCTTAGTGAATTACTGCATTATCATTCAGTTAACTTTAGTATTGCATACCTACATTCAATAAAACCTCATTTTTTACTCGCTACAAAACTTTTGTAGGTGATAACTAGGCTTTATTCTTGTAATTTGAATAATGATCTTGTTTTATGACTCTGATGTGAAAGTGTACAGTAGATTAGGATATTATTGGTGAGATGATGTAATGTAATTGTACAAATGAATAGCAGATTTTTGGGCACGACAAAATATAGCACGTCAGATTATCGTTTACGACCTTTTCTACATTTCGTAACGTCTACTTTCTAAGAAGCAGACGTTGAAAAATTATCATCTATCGCAACAATTACAGAATTTCGCGTAAGATCACAACATATGAATGAAGAAACAAATATAATTAATGATACACAAAAGTAAGTTTACTTATGTGACCTGGTGTTAAATAGCATTGCTACCTTTACAACGGAAATACAAGTAAATTAATTACTGTACTGTACCGTAAAATATTCATTCGATGTACACATTAGTGACAAACGTTATAACCAGGTGCAAAAACTGTGCAAGATTGACATCATGTCTACATTATACGTTATGTCAACTATAACGAAAATACAGGGTATCCCCGACCATGGAGATAGGTTGGCAAAGAATTCAGATACTAATACTAAAAAATTAAGCAAAAAGAGGATTATACAGTTTATACATACAAACTTTGATCTATTCAATTAGAATGGCATAATTTTCTGTGCATGGACTGTTCGGGGATAAAACGTTAGAATGTATTTAAATAGAATAGTAACAGTAGGGACAGGCTATTACCAAACAAGGGATAGAACGGCCATTCATCAACCCTTGATTTCTACATACCAAGTCACTGTTACAGTGGTGCTTCATACTGTATCACTGTATAGTAGAAACACCCGATGTGGTCTTTCAACGTGTATTGCATTACACTGTACACGTATTAGATAGTAATGACAAAATAAAAGTTAACTTATCCCTCGATTACCGGTCTTTTGGCTTATCAAACATAGTTGCAGTACACCTTTTCATACTGCAATCATACTCAAGGCTTAGTATTTTCGTGTATCGAAACGTTAAGCTACTACTATTAACTACTAGCCTTACACGCATACATCTGGAGATCTTATCCGTTCAAGTCCTACATACTGTATACAGTGTAGAGTCTGGATTATATAATTATATACAGTATATAATCAGTCTACGCATTTATGTTGGTTGTTGGTATTACAGCACTATTTTACGATGATGTTTAGGGATTTGGATCATTTTTATTTACAGTTAAAAATCTATCTGTATGCGTACAACAAAGTGACGTTTTGTATTGGTTGAATTATGTAAATTTGCTGTACTTTCTCGGAATGGATAAATATCAACAGACAGTACACTATGCGTGTAAATCGACGAAAGTGTTGAAATTCTAAGTTGTGATGATAAAGAATAAAGATAGAAACATAACGCTAATATGTTGATACGTACAGCACGAGTGCTCTCATATCGTCTCAGTCCTTGGCTAATCACATTCAAAAATATACAGTTGTCCGAACGATACGAAGACGAATACGACTACAGTAGCTACCCCCAATCGTGTATATAGACGGGATACTAAATCCCATTTGACTTGAATTATATTCTAAAGTCCGATAGCAGAAACTAAAGTATTATCAGGTGTACGACTGCATGTATACAGTATTTGTCAAGAATTGGTTGAGACATTCACAATCGTATCCACAAAAAATCATTGATGATAAAATTACAGTAAATACAAGCTCACCGGTTAGCGTACTTTGTCAGAGACGGAACTGGTGTATAAAAACTGGAACAACATTGTGCAATGTTTATGTCGCACAACAAATATCTTGCTATGAAAGTTTTGTAGTAAAATTTTTGTCGTAACTCGTAACGTACTACATTAGGCTTTCAAACTTTAAATTGATTAGGTATAGACAATATTTTCGGTAGGAAATAGTGCAGTTTTGTATATACAGTACAGTATACCCGTAATCCCGTATACACTCAAAGCCTAATATGTTGTACACCAGGATAATATTTTTTGACTGTAGTATGCTAAGCTGGTGTTCACTGGCATTCAAAGGTGCGAATTAGTAAAGATAATTTATGTACGATGAAACTGTACGTTTGATAGTACTGTATGTACGACATTTATCTTCTGTATACTAAACGTCCATACGTGTAAAATTTTGATCGAAATCGCTACTCTTTGGTTAATAATTTTAAGGCATAAGTTACAGTAATTGGCGTCTTTGGGTTTGATTGTATAAATTATACTGTATTATACAAATTTTCGTTATCCTAGTACCTGGAGTAGTTGATTGAAATAAAAATCATATTCGTAGGGGTCTATGCAGAAGATTTTAAGTTATTAATATTATACTGTACTGTACTTTACTGTATTAAGTTTACCGTGGACTACTGGAACACCACGTTAAACGATATCTTGATTAAGGATATGTACAGTACAGTAATATAATCTCAAGTCCAGTAAAGTATACGATGACAGTCGTAAATTAATTAGTCATTGCGCAAGCGAGTATGTATCGTTTGATCGAAAATTTTTAAAATTGAATACGCTATCATAGCTGCTCATTTTTTTACGACTCTATCGGTAATACCTTCCTTGCCATAATCAATCCACTAGGAGTATGTCTAACTTTGGTAACAACACCGCCATTACCAGCTCCTAGCTCACAAAGCGTTTCGAAGTCTTCACCATTTAGTTCCTTAACTCGACTCTTTTGATGCAAGAAAGCTTCCAACCTTCGCCGCTGCTGATCATCAAGGTCTAATCCATCCAATTTTTTGGTTAAATTTATTACTTCATTAACAGGTACGGCACTAGCAGGGAATAAAACAATATTAGATAAAATCAAAAGAGATCAAAAGTATCATTTAAGTGCGTATCATCATGGCCTAAGCTTAAATCAATTATAATTATCACTATTCGCATCAAGTTGAAAATTGATTGGCAAGTGTTGAGTACTTTAGAACTATCTCACACAGTGACTATCATACCTTATATCAAACTATTATAGACATCAATATTACTGTACATTATATTAATGGGTTCAATAAATCGATAAGGTCTCCAAATCCAACTTTGCGTTGTTTTATTTACATTGAAGCTTACGCGTACAAAGCTATGACCCAAAATGAACAGACTACATTGACAGGACAGTACTGAATTTAGCTCAAGTATTGAAATATCATGTAGAAACCGCGATTACAATATCCTTAAAAGAAATTAAATATACTATAGCAGTAATGAAAACTTTAGCTTTAGAACAGGATGTCAAAGATTTGATCGTTTTTATTAGATACAATCTTACTTGCTGGGCGATGGATCGGGAGACTCCGGTTGGGGTAACTGTTGAAGTTTTAAATTCAGCTTGTTCTTAGATTTTGACATCACGGAACAAGGATAACAAAGTATTATGTAGGCAATATACAAATAAACGCTAGATTCTGCAACAATTTTGCAGATTAGATTATAAATTCGTTGTTAATGCGTTGTTAAATTAGTGTGAGCTATAAGGCTTCTGCAGCTACAGACTGCTTTAGCAGAAAACAAATTTTTCTCTTTCCTCGATACACAATAATCAACCTTCAAACTGCTTCAGACTCATAAGAGTTAAGACCATGTTCAGACTATTGTACAGTGTACAGTACTTAGGTCTACTGTACAGTACACTGTACTGTACGTGCACTTACAGTACAGTAATGTGTTGTTGAAGGTTTTTGCTAGCTGCGTTATACTGTACTGTATTGTACTGTACAGTAAGTACTGGTTATACTGTACAGTACAGTATGCGGTAAGTCGGAAACTCATGGGCTTCATCCTGGGCACAGTAATAAAAAGTACTGTACAGTACAGTATGTACTGTACAGTGTACAGTACGGTAGATACTGTATTTTGATTACAGTACAGTGTACAGTTCTCAGTAGTCAGTCAGATTCAGTACCCTGACCTCAGCCCCAAATAGCCACATTGCAAGATCTGTAACTGTTGCACACAGAAATCGCAAACTACAGTACAGTACAGTACTGTACTGTAGAGTAGTTTTAAGACACAAAGCAGCGCGGAGTCTGATCACAGCCAACCAGTTACCGTACTGTGCTGTCAGTATCGATCGACCGTATCGTTCAGCCCACAAAAGCAACAAGTAAATGTTAATCATGGCCACAAGTGCTAGAAAAAAGGTACAGTATAGTACTACCGTGTCTTCAGGTTATTTCTCGATGGAATTCGATTAGCATCTGTATGATTTTTGTGAGCGCAAATTTTACAGCATAATAGTTAGCTATCGTATTAATAAAGTCATCTTTGTATTTTTCTACTGTACTGTACAGTACACTACATCTGCGATAATACCGACACTTCATTCGGTGATCAGCAAATGATTTCATACATTGAAATTAATATTGGTAGGTATTTTATGCATTGAGTACAGTATAGTTGTAAGCAAGATGTACACGAAAGTACTACTATCTTTAGGCCGTTGTATACGGGCAATTGACGTTTCAATCGATTCGTATGCAAAACCATGGCAGTTTAGACTCTTTAGAACTCAATTAATTAAATACGAAGTGAGAAAACGAATGTTGATGCTTACTATTGTGTCCTAATGATACTCTTTTTGCTATGTATCAATAATATATATATGCTGTGTATAAAAGTTGTCAGGTGGTATTGCAACGAAATCTGCCGGAACTCGAATGAATATGAACCGTAAACTATTTATTGGTAGCGAATATGTAGAAACAGAAGATGTAGACACAGTTGATAACATTGGTAAACCCGGAGCTAGAGAAGAAATGTTACAGAAAGAAAATGAGGCAAGTAAATATTTATTGTTACAGTATCGTCTGCTATGTATATTACGATATATTTCCTCTTTGTTGGATATGCATTCCACAACTATGTGTTACCGCCAGTTACACTCGGTCATTATTTTACGTGATATAGGATAATTTCTAGTATGAACGGTATTCAAAGCAGTGTGCATGCATTATGCTGTAATATTTATTTTTTATTTATATTTACAGGTTCTAAAAGAAGAGAATGCCAAGCTAAAAGAAGAGCTTGATGCAGCCAAGTTAGTTAATGTTCGCTTCACAGACATACCTAAAATTTTGCAAGTCATAATTTACTATAAGACCATTATCTGTTTAAAATTCCAGTATATCAACGTCTACCAGCATACTGTTTTTGATTTCTATAATTACAATTACATAACCATTGTTAACGAGTAATGCAGTAATATACGACTAACAGTATCTAATACTGTACGTACTTATACTATAATATTATATTATTAGATCTATCTTCACACAATTACTAGATGAAAGTTCCAGCGAAAAATTTGATGAAAGGCGAGTAAATTTGCTGAAAGCTACTGTAATACAGTTGGAACGTCAGGTGAATACAGTAGCTTGTTTAGTGTGTAAATTTGCTGCAATATTTATTTACTACTTAAAGATGTTGGAACATATTACAAATTGTGCTGTGAACAAAATAGTTGAACGTTATGTTTGAACTCCCAAATTGAAAGCTGAATGACTTTTTAACTTTAAATTTCCGATATGATAGGTTTTCGTACAATCTCAAACTATAGCTAGGAATGCTGAATCCATTGATTTCTTAGCAAGTACAGTAGAAGAAGTCCTTGGTAATGTGAAGTATGTACCTTGCACCCTTATAACGGAATCAATGAATAACTCTATCAATGTAAAAACTCACAAGTTGATACTCTATTATATTTATATTCATGTACCTGTACAACTGTTTACAGATACATTACCATAGTTAATCTGCGATGATATTCTATAATAAAATGCAAAGCATTCATTGATAATAGGATTTTTTGCGTAGTGTTATCTTTTGTAATAAGAGTCCACAGTACCGGTGAATATAAATGAACTAGTCTTACGACTACATTGACAGCATAGCTTTGATATTTACTAATTAAATATTAGATTATTGCACTATTAAAGAGATTTTTCTTACTAGCATACAAATTTATTATCAAAGAGCTTATAATTAATTATTATTACCTATGATATTTCTTATTTCTGCAGATCCGTCATTGCTAGCAATCAGAATACTGATAATGCTAGCCTTCAAATTTCTACGATAACGATCAAGCGTATCAAAAGCGATTTAGAATGTTGTAAACGCCGGCTATGTAAAACCGTTGAGGTAAATAATAATACCTTTAGTCTGATCATCTATACTGTATATTGGTAGTAATAACTGAATCATGAATGGCATATTTACTGATTTAGGAATCGAAGACAGTAAACAGAAATCCAAATACTTTTCTGTTTCCAAATACTTATGTCAACCAGAAGACTCGTGATCAAAATCTGTCATTGCTAGATGTGACCAGCGGAAAATTAGAGTATCTAAATCTAAGTCAAATTGTGAGTTTTAATAAGTTTCATGTCTGCATAAATAACGTAACCTATTTTAATCTACTACACATGATACGTTTAATTACTCTAGATACTACTTGATTACTACCTATTCTTAACATTGCACTCAACAACATTGCTTTAAGATTAGTTATATACGAATATAAAACTAAAAGAGCTATATTATAGCGCTATTTTACTCTATTCTAAAATGATTCTTAGATATATGGTAGTTGGTAAAGTGCCATCATGAGTCCAAACATTTTGCTTATATAAATCAACCAACTTTCTTACATTTATATAACTATTGGTAATTTTATTATAGTTTCTTAAGCATCTGCTTACAAATTTTGATGAAAATGAAATAGCACTATCATTACAGTACTTCTTTAATTGTTTACATTTTTTATAGAGAGATCTGATCTTAATGTTGGTACTTGCACAATAGATTAGCTTAACCATAATTCGTTCTCAACCACTGTTCAGAGATGAAAGCTCTAAAATTGCGGTAAAAATTAAGATTCTAAGAAGATTTAACGAGAAATACTTTGTTTTACAGGCTCAGCTGGAATCCAGTCTTGTAACGCTTTATAAGAAGCTAACGTCATTACGAGTTTCCTTGTCTACCTTACGTTTCAACAAGGACACTGAAAAGTCTTCTTTTTTAAGCGAGCATATTTCCAGAGCGTATGGTGAACATATTAATGAACAATTTGATAGTGCTATAGAATCACTTCATAAGTCTACTCATGATCTTCTTTCACTATCGCTCTTGGTCCCATCTGCTCCATGGGTGAGATTCGTTTCTTAACATAACGCTAAAGTGTAAGAGTGAACATAATCAGATCTTCAAGCTATAATCAATCCTCTGTAAACTTTAGGTTGCTCTAAAGAGAGCATTTCCGGCGAGAATTACGCCAGCCATGGTTATGTCTCATTTGCCTTTTATTCCTAAAAATAAAAAACAAGATGTAACTCATTGTCTGATTGGTTTTGCTTATAAAGGGCTTTTCAATACTATTAAATTGATTTATATATTAATAAAATAATTGAAAGTTTTTTCTGGAATCTATTACTAGGCTATTAGTGTCATTTCTGCTCTCCTTAAGGCCGTCAATTATGAAATTCTTATGAAGTCAATAGAGGTAAATAGATATCTGTTTGCGTTTTTTAACCTGCAACTATTTATGTTCTTTTGCTACGTTTCAGCATAAATCTGTTTTACGAGAAGTTAAATTTCACCAAACAGTTTATCAAATTCAACTAGATTACATCAATTCGATATTTACTAACATCAGGTTAGAATTAATTTTAATTATAGCTAGGTATGGATATCATACTCGTATATTATAAATACTGTATAACAACATGATGTTTTAATTAATTAGAAACGCATATCAGGGTTTTGAGAAACAAGCTATCAATAAGATCGTAATGCCTTTAAAGGAAGTGCTGCATTCTTTCACGGAATTAAGTGATACAGTTTCAGGAGAGGCTTTAAGAAATTTTATTACTACCTTTAAATCGAAAACGAAAGAGGTGATCATTTTTGTAGATATGCATGGTCTAATCAGATGCTATAACCCATTCCATGAAAAATCTTATTGAAGTTGATTGCAATATTTACCTCTAGTTATATGATGTGGCAAAAGCATTTGAGCCGTACAATAATAGTGATGGAATTAGCCCCGGTATACAGAAACAAGATATTTCTAGTTTAATGTACAATAAGTAAACTTAAATTATCTCAACATTTTTATCAACATGACTAATGTAGCACATTTCTATACGGATTAAAAGGAGTCGAGGCCCTGTCTACATACAGTCAACTTTTTAATGAAAATTTGGACGAACTTACGAAGGAAAATGCTCTCAAACGAGATCAATTAGCTAGTGATCTTATTAAAGTGGAAATGGAACGGGATTCTTTTTTAGCGTCGCAATCAATTCAGGATTTACTTACAAATCCCTCTGTGAAAGACGACAAAAGCGACGCTGTCTGCAGAGAAGATCAGCAAGATGGAGGGAAAGCGTTCCGTAAGACTAGCAAACTATTACCGCACGAACAATCTAAAAAGCAGAATTTAGAAGGTCAAAAGAAGACAGTAAACGACCGTGCGCATGGATCATCTAGTACAAAGGGAATAATAGGTACTCGCTCAAACTTTAAATCTCCCAGTAGTTCCGGCGTAATAAAAAAGCAAACTGCTAGTCGGAGCGGGGACCATGAAACAGAATCTAGTATGACTTATTATTCGAAGAGCAATGTCAAGAAACAAAGTGGGACGGCTAAGAGTAAAGATGAGCGCGAGGTAAAGGATAGTAGAATCAAAGAAGCCCTTAACCCAGGAGATGCCAAGATGATCAGCACTAGTAGTGAAAAGCCCAAGAGAATACCACTAGGCAATAGAGAATTATTAAAGCTCAAGCCTCCGACGTCGTACAAGACATGATTGACAATTTCTTCTTAGTTAATTGAGGTTTTGCTAAATTTGATATATACGAGTATAACATTATTGCTTACTAGCAACGGAGTATAAAACAAGTCAGCGAGCCGCGTAGAAAGGGTTAAAAATGCTGCTATGTTGCACAAATTTCCAGTAAAATGTTTTTATTTCATTTTTTCTCGACAATTTATTTACTGGATTCAGCGCTAAGACAGTTGGCATCAGCCAGATTAGCAACATAAAACCCAGTAGAGAAAACGTTGTTTATGCTAAATCACTCTGTAATGCTATAAAAAGTACCGGTATTTGATGATAACGTCTAGTCAGTATTGCCATTGGCTAAGGGCTACTAGAATAAGATTCTTTTTCTAGTTTACGGTATCATATGACAGTATCAATATACAGTACTAATGTTGCGATATACTGTATCAGCCATGCTTTAAATCACTGTGTTTTATGCGTTGTTTTCCTTGATAACCCTGTATACGAGAGCACTGTGAACTGTACACTGTACTTTTACCACGTTGATGCTGATGACGAAATATGATTTATGATACTGAATCATAAATTCTTGTTTGCAGTCATTTTTAACTTATTAACAAAGCCTTTTCTAGCATTAATACAGCCCGTGCAAAGCGCATATGCAGAAGTTTACGCGAATAATAACAGGACCCAATCCCAACGAGGACACTATCGCTTTTATTTTCTTCGAAGAAAAAAAGGGAAAATTTTAACTTGCCATCGGGAAGAGTAGATCTTGTATCCAATATTGTAAAGATTTATGCAGTACTACTTCTCATAGTACTTTTTAAATGTTCTATACTGTACTGAGTTTTGAACTCCATTCTTAATAATATCAATGCATTCATTTAAATGTTTAGCGATTACAAGCTGTTACGCTATCGGCATTTTTACCGACGCAGCTGGTATATTAAAATAAAATTAAAATTATTATTGTTAATTGACCGATCTGAAGGTTAACCCACCCCACGGAAACACTTTTCAGTACAGTACTAAACTGTATATAGCATTACTCTGTACTGTGTATGGTGCAATACAGTATATTATATACTGTTCTGTACTACTAAACTAGAGGCATCAGGCATGGAACGTCAGGCACTTCAAATCCCTGGCAACCTGAAATTGCATGTTTTGTTCGAGATTTAAAACGCAATTTTGGATGTGTAATATACTGCAGACTTGACTGTTAACTTATTGTTGCATTGCAGCTATTGTTGTGATAATTTATTAGCAAAGATACTTTTGTGTTTCTTCAATGTTAACCTCTTGAAGAAATCCTCTTCTATTCTTGTCATAATAAAAAGAAACTATGATATTCACTCATTTGTAGTAGGTCGCGTAACTACAGTATATAACTGACTGCTACTTTAATAGCTTAAAAACGCCCTTGTAATCGTAATATGATCCCGTAGCGAAAATATTAATATATAATAATATCTATATAATATAAATATAATCTATTAGTCAATTCCTTTATTACAGAAATTTATCCAAAATATAGTACTGAGTACAGTCTACTGCTCAAGACCCTCTGACTCTGAATGGTAAGTATCTGCCCATTGAATCTCTTAGTTCATTAATCTTGGGTATTCGTGAGCGGCTCCATATTTATTTTCTTATTTATTTATGCATTGTATGTACACTGTACACTATACACTGTATAGTAAGTGTATTGTAATAATGCATAATGTACGCGTGCTGTACGAAGTATATATAATTTGATAAGCATATGTAGCATAGTGACATGGCATTTGGTTTGTACAAAAATAACTGAACAGAGGATTCACGCGTTCTCTGTACTGTACTGTATATTGCGTACGTACAGTACTGTACAGTATACAGTACAGTATGTATTCTGAAAAGGGGAAACCCATGCAGCACTGTACTGTACTGTACTGTACAGTGTACAGTACAGTACATGGATCGGTTGCAACTTGCAAGCATACTGTACTGTACTGTACTGTAGTTGCATACACACATTATTTAAAGTTTAAAGTTTTTACACACGACCGTACAGTATTGTGCAGTACAGTACTGTACTGTACTCAGTGTACTGTACACTGTAAAGTAATGTGTACTGTACTGTAGTTGCATACTGTACTGTACTGTACTGTACTGTACACACAGTATTTAAAGTTTTTACACACGACCGTATTGTGTAGTACAGTACTGTGCTATATTAGCTTACGAAAGGTCATAGAGGTAAGAAAAAAACTTACCTCTACAGTACACTGTACACTGAGTGTACAGTACGGCGTAGTTAAAACAGTAAATCAGATCTACAGTACAGTACAGTACAGTACTGCACTGGATCCGAGTGCGAATGCTCGAGTGGCTGAAACCTGAAATCTCTTGATACTGTACACTATACGGTCTGTACTGTACTGTACACACTACAGTACAGTACACTAATTGCACTAATGCAGAGTGCAGAATAAGTATCGTACAAGAGCTGTACTGTAACTTTATTCGGATATTTGCGCAGATCGTAATTATACACATACAAGTATATCATATTCATGTAAGACAAGTTCAAGATCTTGCAGTATCGTATTATCTCGTTTTTAGAGAAACTTATTAATTTTATCGTCAATTTTATGGTTTTATACTCTATCTCGGAATTGCTGTAGTATGTCGGCAGTTGGCCGAAGTGACGGTCTCGTTCAGCGCCATACAGGTGCTGCTAAAAGTAATGAAAATAGAGAAACCTCTGCTAATGGGGAGCAGTCCCGGTACGATCAAAATGAAAATTACGACAACGACAAGCAAACCAGACTGACACTTATGGAAGAAGTCCTCTTATTAGGTTTGAAAGATCGTGAGGTAATTAACTCTTTATCTTTCCATCTGAAATTTTGACTGAGAATTTCTCAATTGCCTTAGCAGAACTAGATTTTAATATACTTTATATCGACTAAAAAAGTTACTAACCAATTCTGACAATAAGTACGCAATGCAGTACAGTAAGTTTGACTTCACTGCATGTTTGATATAGTAACTGTAGTGCCCATTGCGCTTACTATCGTATCCTATCAAGTAGATTCGGTCATTTTAACTTTACTAAGGACCGGAATGAGGTAACCGCCGGACTAACTATGTACAGTATCGGCTTTGCCAATCCTCTGTTATATAGTAGTGAAGGTACATTATAACAGTATAGTTGAATGAACTACGTGTATAAGGCACTGGAATGGCCGTTGAGATGTTTGACGGCCTTCGATTGAAAATGCATTGCGACCTATATGAGATATATTTCTAAAATATTAATTTGTATTATCACTTATACTTTCTCTACCAAGTGTACAGGCATGTCAAATCAGTACATGATCGACTTTCACCTGAAAAAATAGAAAATCTTGCCTAAATATGACTGTAGTGCTGTTACCCTAATTTTAGTTAAACAGCAACACACCGTCAACGTAAAGTCGTACAGTACAGTAGACTGTACAGTACTGTACTTTGTGTCCTGAGCACTCTGTACTGTACAAAGTACAGTACAGTACAACATATTGCTTACATAATCACATAGACATACAGTACTTACTACTGATCCATTATGCTATAGTACTGTACTGTAAGAATGAGCACCGTGGACCACTCATTGCCTAAAAGTTTATAGTAGTGTTATTCGTAAAATTTTAAGGTTAATAAACTTTTGATGAGAATACTGTAGCTTAGTATAAGTATAAATTTAAGACTACTGCAGAAACTACTGTAATCATATTATAATAACCTTTAAAATCGGAATCGTTCGTTTACTATTAGATACTGTATACTATACAGTATACGACCCAACTATACGCTGCAAAGCTTCACAATCCATTTAATTAAGGGACTATAAAAATATATCTACAAATCTGTCATTCCAGGGCTACACATCATTCTGGAATGACTGTATTTCGTCTGGTTTACGTGGTTGTATGATAATAGAGCTAGGCCTACGAGGGAGAATTCAATTAGAGAAGACAGGTTTGAGAAAAAGGAGTCTTGGTTCTCGAAAGATTATTTGTGTTAATGATGAACCAACTGGCGATGTCCTTTTGGACGAAGCTTTACGGCATATAAAAGATACTCAACCTGGTGAAAATGTTCAAACTTGGGTTGAATTACTGAGTGGTAAGGCAATATTTTAATATTCAAACGGTTTACAAATAGATCTTTCGTATTTTTTCATTTTTTGTACTAATCTTTGTAACTATTGTTAGTCAGACTTGCCTATAATTTGCATAGATGTACTGTATCTAACTAATGTTGCATTGAGATTTAATGTATACCGTATTTTAAGGAGCAAGTTAGAATCGAAATTACCCTATAGATTAACGAATAATAATCTTGAGATATAGGCTACCAAGGTTATACCTATTCAATAGATATAATCGTATATATTTTGTAGGCGAAACCTGGAATCCATTGAAATTACATTATCAGTTACGCCATGTACGAGAACGAATTGCTAAGAATCTTGTGGAAAAAGGCGTCTTAACTACCGAAAAGCAGAATTTCTTGTTGTTTGATATGACAACACATCCTTTAGTCAATTTACCGGCTAAACAGCGCTTAATTAAAAGGATTCAGGATTCCTTATTAACTCGTTGGATTAACGATGCCTCTAGAATGGATCCGTTTATGCTATCGCTAATTTGTCTAGCTCATGCGTCAGACGTATTAGAAAATTCCTTCACCTCACTGATGGATGATGATTATGAATTAGCTATGAAACGAGTGCATGAATTATTAGAATTAGATCCTGAATTAGAAGCTCAAAAGCCTAATGCGAACGAAGTGATGTGGAGTGCCATCTCAGCATTCGTAAAGTAGTCGTCATTATCGAGATTTTTATTCTCTTTGTGTCCGTGACAGGCGATGGACATGATTGAATAATGCAAGCTGATAGAAAAGAATGATTAACATCATTTCTAATCTTGGACAGAAAGTCCGGGTATAGAACGAAGTTCATAAAAAGAAGATTTGTATATCACTTTTACGTAGCAACGGATTGATAAACAACTGCGATAGTTTATTTTTTATTCAGTACATAATAATAATAGTGTTTAATAGCCGCGGTACTCTTATGTAGCTGTTTTAATGAAATCTACTGTAATCATTGGTAGCTTAGATATTTATTGTAGCAGATGAGTAAGTAAGAAATTTGCAATCGTTAACCGTGCTATATATATATATATATATATATGTAGTGTTACTTAAACCAATGCTCATCTGATTAAGAGAAAATTTATCTGTCATGCAAATGAATTGGTTTTTGCTAATCGAAGCGTCTATCATAAATTTGTTTAAATGTTTGTAAGAGATAATCATAAGATATAATAGAATATCATCAGTTGCAAACATTGATCACATTCTGTAATATCTTTCTCTGATAATTGCAGTAAAATTTGGATGATTATCCTATATTTGGATTCAATAACACAATCGTCATTATCTGGATTGTAATTAAATTAGGGTCAATAAACTGTATTATGTTATAGTAAATATAGTTAGCAATTCTTGATACTAGTCAGTTATAGAACATGAGAATTCTATTAGACGCTCTGACAGTTTAAGGATGAATGTGTAGAGAAATGAGAAGGAATTTGTGAAGAGAACAATAAAGATTTAGACTGGTATGTAAGATGATGGCATAATAGAAAGAGTAGAGAGTCAGTATGATAACTGAAACAGAAGTGTATTGATCTCGACTAATTAATAATAGTAATTGCATGTTTGAAATTATAATAGGAATATGAAGTGAACCTATGTGCTATAGAATAAACGGTTGTGCTCGATAAAATAATTATAGATTATAGCTAGTGTGACATACTAGAGGCGAACACTATTCTAAACTACTCAAATTTTTGAGTTAGTAGATTGTGAACCTTAAGCTTAAAAATCTATTCATTTAGTGCAAGAAAAGAAGAGAGTTTACGCTATATAGTAGCAGAATGCATAATCTGAACTTTACTTAGTGTTACATTCTATGATATGTTCAGCAAAAGCTTTTAATACATATACACAGGTTGAACTTTCTTACTGTTGTATATGCACAGCATTATTCGTCATTAGCTAATTGATCCCCTTGATATTAAGGAAAGAGTACTGTAAAAAGTCGTTGAGGAATGAATTCATATGATCTTGTTAGAATGCCCGACTATAATGGCATCACAGTATCGCAAGCTCTGAGTTCAGAGTTTGCCTGCTTGTTTAACAATCATTCCAACCGAATCCCTAATTCATGAAACTCAGTGAGAGGATCATGTCACAGAAATCTTGTTGTAGCAGTATGTAAAACTTTAAATTTTAAATTTGGGATAATATTGAGGATTGTAGTATCTACTTGCATCATAAAGAAGCTGCACGTACTGCGTTACACATCGATATGTAGGATCGCTGTGGTTGGTTTAGTATGTAAGCAACACTTGAAATGAATAGGGCTAGAAGTAGGGATACTCGGATAAAGAATTGCGTTTGAATTCAATCCTAATCGAAACTTAGCATAGGTTTGTTCTATACTCATATCAGTGACGGAAATAAAATGTTTTATTGGTACGTAAATATTTTAAAATATAATTCCAATTCAGTTACTGTAATGTCTGATAAGATTTTCTACTTGACCAACAGACAGTAAATAATGGACGTTTAACAGAAGTAAATAGTTTTTGAATAAATTTAGAATTATCTGCGATGTAAAATTTAGGAAAGCGCGTAGTAATTACTTCACTACCCAACTGATGGTGTCGAAAATAGAATATTCTCAAAAGATGAATTAAATAAATCTACCAAAAGTATAAAGTTTAAAGTATAATAAATTCACGAATTGTCTTGAAATTATCCTTTCTGAATTCATAAAGAAACCCTATTTGGAATCACTGCTGCCAAAACGTATAAAATTGTCATTTTATCGTCTTTTAAAAAGAGAAATGTAGTAAAGTAATATCTTACTACAATATGAAAACAACGTTCACTATTACATGATCGAATAGGGTAGTGATAAAAAATATATTATTTAATAGAGAGAAAAGAAACAGGTTTTACGTTTAGTGATACAAGATATCATAGCGTGGCAATGAGAAAATTCCGCGGTATTAAATTTAAAATTTAATAAAATTTTAAGATAATTTCAAAGATTTAAACGAATTTATCATCATGTTAATACATATACAGTAATATATGGCTTACTACTTGTTAAATTGCTTCATTATTTGTATGCCTAATTTTTAGCACTACTACACCAGGCGGTGTAGATTTCAATACATTGGTGACTTCATTATATGGGAGGCCTTGCATTGGAAGGCCATTAACTTCGAGTAAGTCATCACCAGATTCAATATTGCCTGATTGGCTAGCAGCACCATAAGGTAGTATAGATTTAATAACGACCGTGCTATCGCAACCTTTGCCAATTACACCAACGCTAAATCCTAGCCCAGCCGCTGTCTTATTGATTTTAACCACCTTACAATGGCTTAAAGTATCTATCTGCGGAACTGAAGCAACGGAGTTTGGGTTACTTAAAGAAATCTGCTGGTCTACCTGAGGGTTTGTGACTGCTGATTCTACATTATTTAATAATTTTTGCTTATCTCTTTCCTGAGGTGTAACAATTGAGCGAGAAATTGAATTGTTCAGTGCTTTTTGTCCATCTGGTTTTAATTCTATACTTCCTGTGTAGCTATTGCCTGACGATTTCCGCCTGCGTGATTGTGAAATTGCAAAAGACGAACTGCTTGAAGCTTTATGTCCAGTCATTGCCGGCCGAGCGATGTGTAATTCGACTGCTTTAGTTGAACTTTTTAATATTTGAACAGTTTGATCAGAGCCTTCTGTAATTTTGATACCATCAACCGCTAGAATTCTATCACCAAATTTAACATTGCCAGTTTGATCAAGCAAGCTACCTGGAGTTACCTTCCTTACCTATTCCAAGTAAACCATTTCAGTATCAAGTTATACCAATTAAGAAATATTTTTTATTATTATTTATAAATTGTTATAAACACGTTTTCCGAGAGCTATTAATCGAATTTATTGTATGAAATAATATAAATTAACTTACAATAACGGCTCTATCCGATATTCTACTGGCTACACTAAATCCATAGGTATTTCCTTCACGGCGAATTTTAACACGATGATAAGTATCTCCCGGATTCAGCAGTGATTTAAAGCCATCAGGTTTGGTTTCCTCGTCTTTAGATTGATCGTTATGTGATTGTGCGTGCTGTAATGCCTGTTGCATAGATTCTTGGACGTTAATATTACCATCGGGAGAGTCCTTTTGTTCTAATTGAATATCTTCTACTTTAATTACATCGCGAGATATACCTGTACCTGCACTATCGGTTATTGACTTACTACGGGGTAATCTGTGGATGACCATGTCGATAATACCTGATGAAGATGCTAAAATTACTTCAGCTTCTTCTGCTGAAACTCCTACTGTGGATTGATTATTAATTGAAATGATACGATCGCCAAGGAGAAATTTATTAGAACATCCAGCTGGTGAACCTGGCTCGATGTCTTTAATATAAATATAAGACGTATCCATATGATAGCCCTCTTCCACAGTAACACCAAAAATAGCAGCATCGCTCTTATCGATCTAAAAATATTCGTAGGATAGTCAATTCGCTAGAAAACGGTAATTAAGACATGAAAGTTTTTATCAAGGTGTTTCTAATATAACAATAGCAGCTTTCAGAGAGAATATTAAGAGAGGCCCCTTACAGTTCCGTCTGCTACAAATCAACGAGTGCATTAGAATCCAATAATTTAATTTGTATTCTATTGAATTATATGGAGTATCATGCATACAACTGCTGTGCTTATCCTACTCTGGATGACATTTTATATAGTAATATGATAATAATTTTTAACCCTAAGATGGTAGCGATAATCTATAGATTGATTATAGTTTATAATTGTTAGATGATCCTATGCAGTTGCGAATTACGCTAATTTTGTTACTGAATAAAAATTTATTTTATTCTTTAACTCATAAAATAGCATTCAATCTGCTTACTTGTTAACCGGAGTTATTAAGGGATGCAATTATGGTATTGCATTGCTATTAAAACTAATTTTACTTAAAATTTATTTTAATAGCAATAGATATGAGATACAAATCTTATTACAAGGGTGAAATAATTAAAGATCACAGCAGATATACGGTACTGTATATCAACATTACTGTAAGCAATTACCTGTACTGATAAAACTGTCAGTTCTTCAGATCCTGATTTAGGAGTTTCTATAGCAGACGATGAAGGCGCATTGAGCATTGAAGTGCTTAACCTCATTAAATCAGCAGCTCTCTTAGCCCAACTGTGTGCAGTTTCAGCAACAATAGTAACCGGTCCGTAGGGTAGCGATTTGAGTATACGTTCGATTTCAGATGACGTTTTACCTACTAGGTTTTGATTATTGATATTCAAAGCAAGATCGCCCACACTGCGGAAATTTAAAATAGAATAACACAATTACCATTAAATAATTGCAATTGTTTATTGAGCTTTGATTTTGAAGGAAAATCTTTTCATAATTGAATTATTTCGTTAACGTAAGTTATGAATTAATTCTACAGCAACGATTAACTAGTAATGCTATTACAATAATAGGATGGAGAAGCAATCCAGAACGCAATATTCATATATGATAATCCCGGCAACTATGAACTCAATAGGATATATCACCATCGAAATGCGCTTTAATTACTTCTAAAGCAGATTTTCTGTAATCAACTAGCGTGCAGAGCATACTGAATTAATAGATGATTGACCTCGCTTAAAATTGAAAGTATTGGATTATGTCACATGCAATTTATAAATTTTGTTAAAGAGTATACATTTATTTCTTTAATTAATTATTCACTTACGTTAAATCCTCTTTCTTATTGATCGTACCAGTTGAGCGATATTTTACTATTTTAAAAGACTGAGACGCAAGATCTAACTCTAACTTCAATCCAAGCCCCTTAGATCGAGTTTTTTGCAAAATAATATGATAGGGTTCATCAATTTTGCGTCCTCGAGGAATACTAGATAATAGCCGATATTGATCATTTCCTATAAAAATGGATACATCTTCGTTATCTACTGAAACTTTAATATCTGCGGCAGATTTCCTTCTCCAAAATTTTCCTTTACGTTTCTTTTTAGTTTCCGCACCGGTACTAGTAGACAGTGCTCCAGGTGTTGCTATTGCAGGAATCAGGTTTTATTAATTAGTAACAACACAATTATGTTTCACTGTGATCAGTAAAGGCAACAACTGCTACTTTAGAGATGACATTGTGATTATAATACATTAACTTTGATAGATTTACATTACCTTGATTATTTAAAAGTTGATCATCTGATTGATGATCTCTACCAGGTGAAATAGCTTTGTCATTAATTACTTGCTCAAGTAATCCGTTCCTTACTGGATCTGATATTAGTTGACTATCAGCCCTTTCGTTATGTTCTTGTCCAGTAATCATGTCGAGATTATCATCATATCTGGATCCAAGCGTCCCATCAAGGATAACTGATGAGGGGGAGGCTGTAGAATCGTCATTATGGCTTTGTATATGATCTGGAGTAGTTAAATCAGTTACTTGTGAAACCTCCTCCAAGCTTTCTATTACATTAGGAATATTAATACTCGATGATCCCCTAGTTCTATTTGTACCAGAATCAGACAGCTGTAATTGGCCATCGTCGAAAATCATACTGTTACGATTAGGCTTTTCTGGTGGTTTTACAGATCTTCTCAGTGGATCCTGTTTGTTAGATAACGCTAACATTCGTTTGATTTTCATACTAACAACGGACGGCATCTCACGAAATGTCGCTTGTAAGCTCTCAGGTGATAAATCTTTTAATACCTTACCATCTACTTCTAAAATTTCATCATCAGCACGTAAACTACCTGAGCCGCCTATTGCACGTGCTGCTGCTCCGTCTTTAGCCACCGAGGCAATAAATACACGGTTATACGTTTTAACAACCGATTCTCCATCAGCATTAAAGGTGTTAACACTTTCATTTCTAACATGTAGCTGCATTCCAATGGTTTCGGCAACATCATTACGAAGTTGAACTACTTCGATTAGATGATCTTTAGAGCTCTCGCTATTGACTAATAGTGTATCAACGTCTGGACTTGATATTTCGTTGGAATTTAATGGCTCTAGAGGCTTCGGTCGAAGAAAATTTTTCGCTATTGCAACTGGACTCCGAGAGACTATAGATAATGTATGTGTCTATACGATATCAATAATTGAATATGATAGCCTGGTTAGTCTGCTTCTAGTACTACTTGGTAAATATTGCTTTAGAATTATAAATTCCATCTTGGATAAAATTGATATTATACAGTGTGTACTGTATTAACATTATTACCTTATATATTGTAATACTGTATATCAATGTTACGTTAAAAAATTTTGATATACAGATAGCTTAAATTACCCTCGATCTACTTTGAGGCTCATCAGCGTCCGTATTTGAAACATCTCGATACGAGGATGACCTAAATGTTTTTTTATTAAGGTATCAAATCATGGTTGTTTTTATTTTTAATACAAACAGATGTATATTATGTAAATGTACAACATATATTATTTACAATGTACTGTAGAAATTTAATATACTCGCATACGAGCATTTCATTAAGAATATTTCTAAAAGGCTAAAAATAAGTCACCTGTTAAGACGGTGAGGTTCTTTCTCGTCTTCGCTTAATCTCCATCCGCTTTTACCCTTACTTTCTAAAGCTTTTAAAGTTTTATCCATAAATTGCTCAGATATTTTTGGATCTTGATGATGTCTCGTAATCATGACAACATTGCCCGGCTTTAACTGGCCTAGAATGCCGTATGCTTGACTTAGAGTAACGCCGATTAAACTTGTTCCATTGACCTCTACTATTTGATCACCACGGCTATAAAAGAAATATCCGTTTAGAGATTGAGATGGTGACTGTCAATGGAGTAAAAATATTATTGTCGACTTCTTGCGTCAGTCATGAATCTACTCTATACGTGCGTATTAATATTATTATTACATGGAGTACGGTACCGTAAGCTTATCATCCACTTTAATAATGTAATATACTGGCAGTTTTTTGTTTGTAAAAAATTTTTTCGTGTAGTGTGCGATAGATGTAGAGTAACGTAATCATTACAAATTATGATTTATCGTACACTTCACTATTTCGATGTTTATACTTTCAATTGATTATATTTATTATGACTCAAAGTGATAATTACAATACAGTATCTAATATGAGCGTATAAAGGCTTAATTCTAAGTCAAACTTGATTAATGGTTCTAAAATAATAAGTTTTAGGCAAGTATTCAGTTCTATCTGCTGTACTATCTTGGCGGAGTCGACGCTAATTAAGCAATAGCATCGTTAATTAAACGAGAGGTAATTTCTAAGTAATACAGTAACTTTCATATGTAGGTAGTTTAAAGACATTGAGTCTCATACTTTTCACACAATAAAATTAGAAATGGGCTATTTTAATTACAGTCACTCCGAAAGTACCGGTAATATATTATTAATTGATTAAGCTTACTGTAGCTTGCCACATTCCATTCCTTGCGATCCTTTCTTGAGATGCTGTATAAATATACCTTGATTATATTTTCCTTTCTCATTTGCGTCAAGATCAGCTAATAATCCAACACCAATTCCCAAGCTAACATTTTCCACTATAGTACCGTCATGAAGATAGAGTGATATTGTATAGATGTTTTATAATTCTTGTGGAAATGCTATTATTTCAAATCAAATCAGTAACAATATTTGTTTACCTTTTTGTAGTATAACCTCTTCGATTACATACTCGGCATCATCAATTATTTCCTTTTGATCGCCAATTTGATCTTGTATAGGTGAAATACTTGGAATTGCTTCCAAATCTGATGAACTAGTTATTATTTGAACTGGGACTTGTGGCATATCATCTTGGTTGCCGGCTTGAATATTACTAGGTTCAGTGCTGTCATTACCATCACTAGCAGCGGAATTAGCATTTTGGATTTCACTAGATTGAGTTTGAAATGAATCTTGAATAACTTCTAGGGCAAATGTTGGAAGTTGGCCGATAGAAGTATCATCATTAATGTCGTTGTTATGGTATATATAGTCATCTTGGTCTACATTAATCGTTTCATTTAAAATGTTTTCATTATGTAATAGTGAGGGTTTTTGCTTATCAGGTAGGACAATCCGACCATTTTTAACGTTAGCGTACGGTTCTTCGTCGATTACGGTCTAGTATTAATTGTATTTGAAAGCTTAATCAATCTCTAAGCATTATAGTCTGTTATTTGTTAATAATATTCTAAATTACGATAGTATATTATTGGATTATACGCTGAGATTTGATTGGTTTGACGTTATATGTGATAATTATAATAGATGCTATTAATAAATAAATATTATTTAGCCTCCTTATTTCGAATTTGAAGAGTGGCTATGTAATAGATTGAAGGTACAATACCGTATACTAATATATAATTGAAAAGTTATAAGGATAAACAAAAGATCTACAATATAATCAATGCACTATATACTTTAAGAGATTATTATAACTAAAGTACAATTAAAAATTAGAAACCTGATATATAACGACAACGAAGCGTAGTTACTTACTTACTACGGTATAAGAATGCCGAAGCTTTTTTATTATAACAAGATTAAACTAAAGGCTATTAGATATGTATTTGTTCTCATCTTAAAATAATTTATCTAAATTAAATAATACCTTCTGAGAAGCAATAATTAACTGCATTACTGAACCATTATTTTCTTGTGCACCCTGTTGTACACATGCATGTGCTTCATCATGCGTTAACGCAAGTAAACATTTGCCGTTAATTGCCAAAAGTCGATCATGTTCTTTCAATCTTCCATCCCTATTCAATTGATAGTGTTTTGTATACATAATTAAAACAGGATGAGTACGAGTATTACGTTAAGCCTGAATATTATTAGACAAAGTTTAGGTAAATTCTTCGTCATAGTTACAATATATAACAACCACATAAACAGTTTAAACTGTCGATATGAACTTACTTAGCAGCAGCTCCTTGTATTGTAGCAATATATATTCCGGGTCTTATGTCATCCGTATATAAAGTTATCCCAAGTCCATCTGAATCAACCATAATATGCATTTTCTCTATTGACCACTATTTTAAAAATTTAAAAATTGATATTTAAGATATGGGTTAAAATTATACTTTAGATTGTAAAATCGATAAACTCCTTGTAAGTCACCGTATATGTATGTAACTTGCTCTGCCTTAAATTATAATTGTATCATACATTAGGATACATTTTTGCAAGTGCTATGCAATGATTTTATTTTTACGTTAAGATAAACCGAAATGTTGCGATAGTATCATGTCATCTTTATATACAAAAGTTATCGAAATTCTGTGCTACCAGAAATAATTTTAGCTTTAGGACTGTAAAGGATAACTTGAAATGGAAGCGATAGAAGCGATAGTACGGTAATATTTTTGTAACTACTTGAACGCAAATAGTTTTACCGTAGTTTTGGTTTTCACAGAAGATTGTGATAACAGTTCTTCTTGAAGGCGACCAATACAAGAATTTAAGCTGTTGCTGTGTACAATGGAGTATGCTAAGCCTACCATTGTGTCTAAGTTTGTTTGGATAGAATTAGCGGAAAAAGGACGAGCGACTGTTAAAGTCGTTATGCCATATCTTAGGCTATTATTGATAAACCATCTGAAATTGATAAATTCAATAAGTTAGTGTAATTAAATCTTTTATTTTGGAAACATTTAGGAATTTTATTGTAATGCTACCAGTTTAGTAAAATCTTTAGATAAATAAAAACGATTAAACTAAGTAAAGACCGGTCAATATGTAATTGGATTTTAAATAAATTTAACGCAAAAATTTCGATTTATCTACAAACAATACAGCATTCTATTTTTGAAATTATGTATACTATAACAGAGTTTAAAGAAATCGAAACTTTGTTAATATTTTATAGTTTACTGCATTAATGGTATAAAATGAAGAAGCTACTGCAGTTTAGATATTTCGTTAATGAATTTATGACAAATCGATCGGAAAGAAACTGAGAATATATTTAGCCTGATCTTTAGATAGACTTTAATTTCATTGCATGATGGCTAGTAGCTATTGCTACATACGTTTTTAGCTCTCATGAATCTGTCTATTAGTTGTCGTAGAACTAAGGTTTGTACTGTAATTGTTATACAACATCCGAAATATTGATGAAGATTTCTTACTAATGCAGTTTCTTAGCTATTCGCATACAGCGATAATATAGTACCGTAAAATGAGCCAATTAAGGCATTATACGTTCGAGATCAGAAACTACTTTCAACTGTTGGAATAGATTACGTATCAGCAAGAATGTCTTAAAAGAGGTGATCACTAGCCCACACCACCTTACATAAAGTTCTTAGAATACTCAGTAGAACAGTTTCAGCTAAATATTCTAAGAACTTTATGTAAGGTGGCGTGGCTAGTGATCACATTGTAATAATTTTACTAGGTCTAATTGAGGGTAGGAGTTTGAAAATGCTTTTAAGCGAAACTCAAATCTAGAATCAAAATTAGTATACTCGTAATCCAATAATTAAAGATTAAACAAATACGGAATTTAATGCTATCTTATTAATATAATATCATACAGTATAAAATGAATCTTTACAGCGAGTAGTAATTATTGTACTCGTACTACCTGTTTAAGCCAAAATCATATGGTTTTCTGATGTTTAGCAAATAAAAATTTTACTAAAGATTGCACTTCTAACACTAAGATTTGAAGGTCTTGCTGTGTTATTTCTTGCGTCATCAAATAATTGTTAAAGCGATAGTATGATTAAGCAACTGTACTGTAGGATCACTCAAGTTAGGTAAGTTTATTGCACTGGTAACATTTTAAGTGATGAAAAGAATACAATCTTCAAAAACTATATTAATTAAACTAAAGCTCATAATCACATTTTATTCAGTAGAACTAGTAGCTTTCTAGTTTGTTTAAAAACAGAAACAGGATATAAGTAATATTTATGACAAGGAAAGCTATAAATAACAGCGTAACGACTATACAACCTATACTAACATTATCGTCAACTTTTCTTATAAAATTAAGTTTGGATAAATGCTTATATTAACTATTTAAATTAATAATTAATAGATTGAATTAGCATCTCTTCAAATTATACTAAGAACTGCATTATTGTTTTTGGGTGATTGAAGGGTTATACTATATGTCTCTGATACTTGATGAATTTTACTATGAAAGCCATAAATACTGTGTGATTTTAAAGCTAATTTTTGTACGAGGGTAGTAGGATACAGTAGTTTATAGCTTTATTAAGTTACTCAATTCACATACCCTATTTTGCGATAAGCACAATTTAAATTAAGTACTGTGCGTAAATAGATAAAGAATACTGGAACATCATCAACAAATTGATTTAAAGGAAGCGATACAGTGAAGCTTTTTCTCAGAGAACCATGCTAGAATATAATTCAAAGAGATAGCATTCGCGCGACTAGATTAATGACGGAGTTACATGTACGAGTATATCAACAAAATATTAGTGGGACGCATAGTGTCGTTGAATGAAAGAATTTAGCCGATTTTATTTATAGATTTACGTGTGTGTCATAAAATGTTAAGGTTGACACTAGAATTATCTACATACCGTTACTGCCAATTAATTTTAGCTTTCTTGTGTTATTGCGGTTATTTATTAATAACTTAAACCATTATTTTGATATGACTTACATTGCTTTACTTGGTAAAATATGGCAAATTGCATGACCATTGATTGCTAAAACTTCATCTTCCAAATATAATTGCCCTTGTAAATTAATATCATTGATCTGCTTAACGTAATATTTCCTTGTAATTCCATCAACAGATGTCTCTGGAGTGCAAGCTAGATTGAACGGTTGGATTAGATGATGTTGACATTTTTGTATATAGACAATTGCAATATCGACAGCGAAGTCGAGATCTGATAATTTGGGTATCTTAGTTGGTAAAAAACCGTAGGTAATTAATCTATTATAATCTAATTGATCTTTTTGGTTGAATCCGATAGATTGGAGATAAGATGCTAATGATTTAATGCTAATATCGACATTATCCAGGTAATCAGTACCGTACGATTGTAAATTTTCAGCTACTACAGGTCGAAGTTGCGCTAAAAGAAATAGCGTGATTTGAGCTCGATCAGAACTCAGGGCCATTACTAATTCTCCTAATAATCAAATTACTAAAGTTGACGTAGGATATTACTGAGGTCGCAATCGATGTGGGTAACACTATCTTTTAAGATCGATAGAGTGAATACGTATATAAAGTAGGTGTGATTCAATCGAAAAAGTTAGGATGCATAACTGATTCTTTAGAGTTACATAGTTTTCTTAATTCGAAATAATTAAATTCAGTTTTCATAACAGGCATCTTTCCATCGTGTGTATCTGAACCGAGACTAACGCTGATCATTTGAATAACAATCAAGAAGGGGAGTTTAATTGTCATGGTAACTATAATTAACTTATTGTTTTTGAGGCGAAAACCAATAAAATTATCATAAATAGCGTAGCTGTAGAATTGATCCATTTTGATAAAAGTGATTATATTAGAACGATGGCCTATAATGTTACTGCAATACATGATAAACAAGATAGTTGCTCCATGAATAGTATTAATATGAATAAATACGAGTAATGGTAACAATTGTGACTGTTAATCTTTAGAGGTATCATGCTGGCGCAGCATTATAGCAACTACTAATCATCTATGCATTCGCCCGCTAACCGTATCAAGTAGACATACCATATATCCGCTATCCAGTAAACGAACTGCTTAGTTCTATAGCGAAAATAATTACTGTGTATAGCGATTTAGATAACATGTCAGTACTACGTTCTACAAAAAGCAGGTAAGTAGCAATTGATAGCTCGAGCTCAGTTCATTTATTGAACTTTGATTTAGTTTTGCATAGTATCTGTTTACAAGTTGCAACAATTACAAAGTGAATCGTAAAAATAAAAGTAAATAGCGAAAATTCTAATGTCGTACCGCGAATGTCTACACTATCGATATTATATTTTTCAATAAATCAGACTAGAAATATAAGGATTACAATAGATTAGAAGTTAATTAGGAGGGATCATCTGTATATTATTTTAAGTTACAAATAAAAAATATAATTAGTTAAAAAAGGTGATAAAGTTTCAGTACACATCGCGTTGAAATGGCTTCCATTCAAATTATACAAATACCGTAGCGGAGACTTGATGTTAAATGTATGACACCGAAAACAGACTACATGCTGGTTAGTTTTTACTCGAAGATTTAACCTACAGTCAAATGTAGAATATCCTGTAAACATCGTGAACGTGAGTTGATTCTTCGTTAGTATATCTAAAAAAAGCCCCTATGTGAAGCTAGTTTATAAAATCGTATGGAAAGGTAACGTATAGAAAAATGAATTACCCTACTGTAATCTTAGATAGTAAGTAGGCAATCCGATTTCGAAACATAGTGCTTCAGCTACAATTACACTTTCAGACAGTGCTTATCAATCTTTAAACTACGATGCGATTACGAAGTAATTTTTGCCTCGCATGTCTTGGTAGAAAGATTAACAGCAATAAGAGGAATACATACTGAATAACAGAATTTTACTAAAATATATCATATTTTTGCCGACACAAAAGCTGAAAATATGATCACAAGCTGTTCACCTAAAATGAATTTATAGAACTTTATTCACGTTGGACGTAGAATAGGATATAAGCCTTGCACTTGATAACATGCTCTTCCATAGCTACGCTTACAGTACTATCGTTAAAGTGATACCATCCATCTGAAATAGGTTATTAAAATACTTTATTGCTTAGAGAAATTTTGTGGTGCATAGAATGTATAATTTTTCTTACCTTTGTAAGCATAGGCAGTATAGTGTCCACTGCCATATCTAATTAGGAATCAAATAGTTTCATATATGAGTTGCTTAACTCTATACTAACTGCGATATAAATAAGATATGCAAACCCTGATCCATGATGTTCGACCACCGCAATCAAATCATACATCGAGCGACCGTTACTAGTTTGCTTTGCTTTCTGTGCATAATTAGCATCACGAGCACAGTTAGTGCAGTTGAAAGTTTTTCATTCCATAAACTAAATCCCAACCCTATACCGTATACTACAGTACTAACCTTTAGTGTTAAATAAGGCTTCATATCTAATCCAATCATAGGAAATTCAACATATATATCCAACTTTTTTCTAATGCACGACGACCACCTAAATCTCTTCAAATGCAAGCAGAGTACCTACAAGATGGTACACAATATTCAATTACGGTGCCACAGATCAAGTTATAATTAATGAAGTCGTTATAAATCAAAAGTCCCATTAGTTTCATACGTACTCTCGGTAAGGTTTTTATTCTTAGTTGCTTCGTTGATAGCTGCTTCTTTGTGCAACTACTACAATAATACAATTCGCTATCTTCTAGTTTTTCTAATTCGGTAAAGCTAGATAAGCAATCTAGAAGTTACGAATAAGTAGTATTTAGTATTGTTTATAAGAAACATAATGCTATAGGTACTTACAATAAACGGCATTTATATTACGTACCGGTTAATTTGCATATAGATATATCGTTATCGCCTATAGATTTATTTCGTCTACTGATAAATTCCGATGGAATGTCAAGAGAAAGATCTAAGATTAGCAGAAACTTCAAATTAGTATATCAATTCAATATCAATAACAGGCTAAATATGTAGCATTAAAGCTGTAACTTAATTGTTTTACCCAGAAATGAATCAGTCTTTCGAGAGTTAATATCACAGACAAGACAGTTGACCTCATTCAGCAATGATCCCCTAAATAACGTGGTTACTATTGTGTTTGAGACTTGCTTATTTCCATAATAAGGAGCACGCATCCTGCCTAATTCCGTATGAAGGCGATCCAGTAAGTACCGCATAAATTCGTGAGCATCTTGCTGATGATAACCCCTGTTTAAACATCGAAGCAACCTGTCATGTCTAGTCTTGCTTTTAAAACAGGTCATCGGATCTATATAATTGGACATATCCATTCTAAAAGCTAATACGGGGTACTAAATAGGAATTCCAGTTCTATAATCTCATTAAATCATTCAAATGGTGAGCAAAATATAACTCAATCTGTGCCTTTGAGTTAATTCATACTATCTCTTTTTGTAACTGGATAGTGGTTTAGCGATTTTACTAAACCAAAGCCGTTCAAAGAGATATAATTTACTAACAATTAGGTAAAAACAATATTATAGTATACAATACCTAAATCTCGGTATAAGTTTACAAATTGCAGTTAAGAAGGAATTTGGAGAGTAATATGATGAACTACTAATCTCTCCTAAGCCATCAAGAACTTTTCGTAATTCATCTACGATGCATCTGTTAAGGAAAACAAAGGAATTTTAGTTAGCGTGTATCAGGATTGATTTTACTTAATAATGACTATAACCTACAGTAGTTAACATGTCTGGTAGCTTCACTGATTAATTTAACTTACCCAAGTAACAATATAGTGAAATTTCTAAGTCATATTATAAAGTACAGTCTTATGTGATATATAAATAACAATTAGAGGGCATTAATTACAGGGTCTACGTAGATCAGTTCCGAAAATCTTACACATTATCACCCTGAGCTCTAGTATTATGAGCATGCTTCTCTTTACGGGGATCCGAATCTGTTAAGGATCTGAACGTCTTAAAGTAGCGACAGAAGGGATCTATATTGCTAGTAATTTCAAAAGTAATTACATTGAATTTATGAACGGCTATTGAGTATACATTGTTAGCAAAATTTCTGATATAGTTACCTAAGTGATTGTAAGATTGCATTTAAGTAGCACGTATTACCAAGATTTTTTAATCCCAAAATTTGATATGCCGACGTCGATCTCCTTTCTCCGTCGACCTGATCAATAAATAATATTTCGTGCTTAAGTTCAATAATTTATAATAGGCAAGTTGGCATTATTCTTGATTGATGGAATTTATTACAAGCATTCCTTAAGGCTGTATTCGCAGTACTGTATAGTTAGTCCAAGCAATTAGTTACAATTTCTAAATACGAAATTTACTGCAGTATGATCTGTGAAACCGTAAACCAATAAGTATTGTTTTGTATACATTCGCGATGGGTGTTGCTTTTTACCATCTAATTCTATTTACCTATCTATCTAAACATTATACGTGTATATACGCTATATTCCTGCATAATGAAACAGAACTAAGATTGTAAAATAACGCAGCGATTACTATAATAGTGTCTTTAATTTCATCCACGCTGAATCTTTATGTAGTTTATTCTCCTATAGGTAATTACAATAGCTACGGCTATCAGTTCATTTAAATACATGAAATGCACGGTGCATGGATTACTAACCCTGATAGTTTTCCTTAATGGTTCGATGCAAATAAGTTCACACGATCGCTTGCTATTATTTCCATCAGTTTGACTGGAAATAAAGATTGCGTCATTTAATATTGTTATAAAATAGTGACAAAATATAATAATAAGAACATTGCTAATGTAGTTCAATCAGAGCTTTTTACTTTGTGATGGAAGAACCACACATAACTACTGATATTTGACCGAAATATATAGACGAGCTAAAGTAGTATCTAGTAGAGTAGCATATCCAAACAACCTCTTAGATTACCCGTAATATTTGTGCAATGCAAGACACAATTATAAATAAAACGCTAGGTACAATTTTTAAGCTAGAAATATTCTTTGCATAGCGCTTGGCGTCAATTTTGTTCAATCTAATCATCTATGAGTTCTACCAATTCCACTATCTTCCTGATTACAAGTTGCACGTCTCAGAAATGCTTAGTATACTAGTAATAAAACGAACATGAATATAATACTTTCTAATAATAAAAGAGATACCTACTGATACGCTAGAAAAATTATAATATATTAAAAAACTACAGTACAACAGTCGTGAACCTTTAGATCATTCCTACCTTTCGAGATTAGATTGCAATTGATCGCGGATCTTCTGAATTTTATTGTCTTCGCTATCGTTAATTATGTATTCATCGCACGAGTAACTGACAAAAACGTAAAATTTCTGATTACAAAATGGAATAAATTCGTGACAAACAATAGCTGAAAGTTAACAGTTAACCGGTATGCGCTAAAGCACATCGTAAGCTAATTTCTTCGATTAGTGCATATCATAATACTAGGTTCCAATCCATTTTGAAGATACATGACTTCATAAATATACTTCATTTCATCAAATCACTTTTCTTACCAATAAACAGCAAAAGCTGGATCCAAGCATAAACAGTGCTGATTCAGGTCCTCGTAGTGTTTCTTTGCATGTCCTTTAACGTATCTAATGAGCAGATGAAGTTATAAACAGATTTACAAGGATTACGATCAAATATGACAGCCAAATTAAAACGGTGGTATTTCTGATATTGTAGGAGTATTGTAACTTTTGAACTATATATATATTATATATAAGCCAACAACTGTACCGTAATGACCATGAAAAGAACTAAACTAGCTGACCGACACGTATTATCCGCTAATTGCAGTGTTAAGCTTGGCGCACAACAAGAATAATTATACAGTACTTTAAAGCACAACACAAACATCGCATAACCACATGCGTAATAAACGAACTATAATTTAATAAATCGTACTTGATCAATCTCGCCTTGAAATGCAATAATAAACAACTCACCTGCCACAACTGATATTACCACATGACAAACATATCCAGGGACTCTCTTTAGTTTCGCATTCTATAAAACAAAATCGTTTTTAATGTCCGGCTAGATATATCCATGTAGTGTTACTTATTATGATTTAAATTTAATGATAACAGCTACATGGCTCGAATCGTACACCAATACGTACCAGAGGCTTTCTGATAATGTTATGAGAAATGAAAAATGCGTAACTTGCAACATTTTACAGTCACTTTCAGTTCAAATGATAAGTGCTGAATATTATCATTCCATACGGTATCACTCAAATGTACCGTACCATACATACTGTACTGTAAGGTACAGTACAGTACATTGTACTGACTACAAATTACAGGTTGTCGGGCGTGGCGAGTTTGTAGTGTACAGTATTATAAATCAATTTTTCTTATGTTAGGTCATTTATTCATATGAATTATCGCAACAGTAATATTTACTGAACCTTCATCTACCAGCACATATAATATTAAGTTATCTTTATTGCAATAAAGGAAGTCAATTTTTTACATCGAAATTCTAAAACGAAGGTAAACATGCTCTGTACAGTGAACGACCGTTTCCTGTCTCTTTCTTTCCCTTTAGTAGCCGTGGTCATGGACTGCTAAATAACTCCATTAATACAGTATTTAGTAGTACAGTACTACAGTGAGTGTACTGTACGCTCTACAGTACAGTGTACAGTAAAAGTGGGTGGGAATAGGGACTCGAGTACTACAGTATAATGTACTGTACAATGTGTACAGTACTGTATGATAGTGACTACTTGTGAGTTGTGATTAATGTCATGCCAGACCTCTCTATACACAGTACTGTAAAGTACTGTATAATATAATACAGTATATAATTTATAACAGTACTGTAGTGTACTGTACTGTACTTCGATTGAAAATTTGTACAATGTACTGTACTGTACAGTGCAGAACTACGAATAAGAAAAATTAATGCGGATGTTCCTTGGGCCTTGGCTAAGTTTGGGCTTTTGTACCGTTGAGATCACTAATAAATAACCTGTTGAAAGTTTTGACGACTTGGGATTGCCTGTTATCATTCGCTTACTTAATGATAATAAAATAGTTTAGTCTAACTTAAGTTACAGAAAAAAGAAAGTAAAGACCCGGCTACTTATTTATTTTATTAACAACTAAAACTTTACGGCATTGCGATGTTACACGTATTCTATTCGCGTAAATCTGGTAGTCCATGGCAGACCCTCCGAGCAAATGCTGACTGAAGTCAAACTGAAGCTTCAGGACAGAGTACAAAGATGCAAACACGCATGTAAACATAAAATGTAGCTTAGAGTACAGTATGCGCGTATGTAAGATCACTATGCTTTGGTGCAACTGAAAAGCGAGCATGCCGAATTAGCTACGTTACACTGTACAAATGAATTGAGAATCAGGTACACTAACGTAAAGCCTACAATGCGTACGTGAAACATTAAGAGACATCTACGACAAAAAAAGATCGCTTCATTCATGGTACTGTACTGTCTTACATTAACGTAAATACTAAATACTGTCCAATTACTGTATCTTACCTCTATTTGTACTGTACGGTGCTGTACTATTGCTATCATATAAAAATTCGCAAGGGAACATATTGCATACTAGTGGCACAACAATTTTGACCTTGTACGAAGTCGTGACTATCACATTTAAAATGTGAGCACAGCAACAAGTCTAAGTCTACTCAATTTATCACTACAACACTAGTTATTCAAGATCGCACGCATATACGCATATGTTATTATTTAGATGTAATAATACATCAGCAAACGAGGCTGTAGATAACGCTACATAATGACATATTTTTTTATTTCTAGGGTATTCAGTTAGCTTTCCAGAGTTGGACATTCAGTCGGAACATTCATTACAATACCGTCGATATACTGTTTGCAAGTTTATAACTTTATGTCTACTTAGGCTAGGAATCTGAATGATGCACACGAAGTAAGAATTAGGTCTGTAGGTCCAGTTTCTTTAATGATCATGTATAAGATAGTCCGTGGATCATGCAGTACGCGTGCTGTACAAAATACGAGAAGTCAATAACACACACACGTTGTGTGCTTCGATGCTTTCGCATCCTAATTCTTAAGTGACAGAATTTAGTCATTAACTATAAGTCAGATTTGGCGCGGATTATCTTGTACGCCAAGATAATAATAATAAAAATAATAAAACTTCGCTTACAGAATAACTGTATTGTTGTGTGGATGTATAACCGTATAAACTATAAATATTAAGGTATAAATATATTATTATTGCTAATAATTTAATGATAATTGTCTTAGCAAGGTTATGAAACCTTTGCAACAAATGAATCTACGTGTAGGTGGTGTTGATAGTGTAGTGTATGTAGACTAATGTAGACCGTATAGTTATACAGAATATCGCTGCGCATCTTACCTTCACAGGTCCAAAGAGAACAATTTGAGTTTTTCAGATCTGCCGGTGTTAACTTAACACTCTCCTCTATATGAGGACATTCCATAACGATAATTATTATTTGGTCGATTTATGTAATGTACATGAACGAACGGCTTGCCAGGGTTATTTAGTATACAGATTACAGAGTATACACACTAAGTTAGTAATACAGTAAGCTAAAAGCCAGAATGGAACGTACGATTGGTGTAAGCGCGATCTTATTTCGACATCGAGTTCAATACAATACTAACTCACAATGTACTGTAGTGTACAGTATTGCTAATTAGTGGTGTCACTGGTGTGTATCGTAAAAACTTAAACATACTCGTACAGTAACTGGGCAAGTTTGTTTTTTTACTGCACTACCTACCTCAGCTTCTAGTACTGTAGTCGTAGGGTGTACTGTATCAGCCACATGTCTGTTTCAGCTTTACGCTTTTTACGGTACAGTACTGTACACTACAATACTGTACAGTGGAGAACTTAAAAGGGTGGTGTTAAATCCGTGGACGTTGAACTCTACCGTACGCGGTACAATAAATTATACTGTAACCGATAGACATACTGTACTGTACACTGTACTGTACAGTACTGTACACCCTAACCCTAACCCTGTACACTGAAGTGTACTGTACAGTACGGTGGTACAGTACAGTATTTCTGTATTTCTTATTACGGAACACCAGCAAGTGACCTTTCTACAGTACAGTACAAGGTCTCTTTCTACTGTACGGTACTGTATGGTCGTGCACAGTACCGTACTGTACCAGTGACTTCTAAAAATACAGTGCTGTACTGTACAGTGTACAGTACGGCACAGTGATACAGAAAAGTACTGTACTGTACAGTACTGTACACTGAGTGTACAGTACAGTACACATGTTTTCGGGGGGATTCACTTCCATTTGAACCTTTACGAACCTGGTCCGGTCCGGTCCTGGTCAAGTCAAACGATTGGTAATCCCGTGGTCCCGTGGCAAGTTGGCTAATTTGCGTAACAATAGATCATCAAATATATAAAAGATACAATTTTGCGCAGATAAAGTTATGTATCTCGCCTTTCATAATTACTCTTGGAGCGACAGCGCTTCGATTAGCATGGAGACTACCGACGATACCACCAGTAAAAATGATCATGATAGTAACGTAGTTCAGGTTGAAGAAAATAACGATAGTTTAAACAACACATTTCCCGACGTTAATGAAGATGCAGGTAAAGTACTGGGTGAAGATGATATAGCGGAGCAAGATCAAAAAGACACTGAAAGTATTTTACAGCAGAATGGTTCCGGTAATGATAGTATTCAAGGATACAACGACAACGGCCATGATACATTTGATGAATCGGAATCATTAGCTAAAATTACTGGATTGGAAGCAATCGATAGCTCTATCGTGCAAGAAACTGCTGAAATAGACTATAACACTTTCGATGGTCAATTAGACGGAGACGAGATCGAAGGACAAAATACAACTAATTTTACCAGCGATATTGATCGTACAGAAGAAATTAAAGGTAATACCGTACTGCTACACTGTAAGTACTACAGTAGATCCTCCGTATGTCATACAGTATGCGTACACTTCATATATTACTATACTGAAACGTGAACTATGTATAGAGCAGCGATGTATACCGATTCATATGTACATATCGAACTCATTTCAGATTTCTAAATCATAATTTACTAATAATTAATGATAATTAGAAAAAATCAATGATATTCTCCGTAAGCATTCAATATACAGCAGCAATCTAGATTATTATATCTATTCTTTATGTTTTACTGTGATGTACAGCAAAATACAGTAAAGTACTGTGCATACAAGCGTACGATAGGTAAGAAGGTACGCTAGCAATCACAATTGTTCTGAATTTCGGAAATAATTATAATTATTGGTGAAATCCGACTTAAGTTACACCAATGACAGTTCATTAATTTTACTTAACGTAAATTTACAGGTGATGAAACCAAGGATGATACTGGTAGTATTAGCGAATTAGATGATAGCAATGATATCAGAGAAGACACGCACATCGGCAATAGGATATCAGACGCCTTGGGAATTAATGAAGAAGCTGCAAGTACAGATGAATCGGCTAGTGAACGGAATGATAGTAAGAGCGACTCCGTGAAGGAATCGCTTCGGGATGAAAGTGAAGGATCTAAGATTTGTTCAGGTAGCGATCAAACAGGGGAACGCACTATGCAAGATTCGATCAATGAATTTTCTAGCTCAGAAGATACACTCAAGGTTAAAACAGCAGGTAGGAGCTACATGAAGACATAGAGCATGTCGCTATAATACTCGTATTAAGGGATAAAAAAAGAAAATAGCATTAAATTACAGTATCTTAACCAACTATAAAAAGCGTACTTGATTGACTATATTATATCATAAAAATTAGATGTAGGCATATAAATGCTTATTTTGTGAAATGGATTTTTACCACTTTATCAGTAAAAGTAATTTTACCGATTTCATACGTCTAGAAATAACTTCTCGAGCAGAGAATATCGAAATGAAAGACGAAGAAGCGATAACGGTTGAAACGGTTGATGTCGATAAGAGTGATGGTCTCAATTGGGTAGATGTGGTTGGATCTGGTCAGTTAAAAAAAGCTGTAAGTTGGAAATGATAAAGACTACTAGAAATGAATCTTTGGCTGTTATATCTTACAGCATACGTGATTTGCGGTATATTTTTAACGTAATAGACTTTAGTAGCTGGCAGCGGTGTTGCACCCAAGAAGGGACAACTAGTAACAATTAAGTATTCGATGCATTTATCGAATGCAATCGTGGTGCTACATGACATGGAATCTCAATTTATATTAGGCGAAGGCGAAGTTATTCCTGGTAAGCCTATAGGAATAAGTAGACAATTAACTATAAATAAGATAAATTTAAGTTTTACAGTCATTAGATGAAGTTCTATATTGCATATCGAATCACTGAATATTTGACTGTCATAATGCAACTATTTACAGCACTTGATCTGGTGGTTGCATTAATGAATGTCGGAGAAACTGTATGCGTATTCGCAAACTCACGATATGGTTATGCCCAGTACGGCAGGTAAACAATCGAAATTATTGCTCAGCATAGATTTACGATAAATAAAATCGCCATAAGGGCGTGAGATAAATTATTACGCTATATCAAAGGCTATTTTCGATATTGCTTTAGTTCAAAGCACAATGTACCTCAAGATGCAGACTTAGAATTTGAAGTTACATTGATTGACGTTTCGGACGGACCTAATATAACTAACATGACTGAAGATGAGAGAATTGGTCTTGGGTAAAATTATTTTCATTATAACGTTAGGATGAAACGGTCGCGATATTCGTTATCACGGGTCATTCAATTTTTGCTACTTGTGTTATGTGATGATGTAAATTGCTATTCGACATTACTAATTTGCTATGATGACGTATTAATGGATAGAAACTATGGCTGTATATTAGCAGTAAATGTAACCCTTAAACTTAAAAGAGAGTGACAGTGTCTATTTAAATTCAGGCATAGAAGGCGACAGTACGGAAATGAGCTATTTCAAGATAAAAATTATTTTGCCGCTATATCTTGTTATACGAAAGCATTAAATGTGATCGAACCCCCTATAGCTATTGCTAATCCTTCTGATGAACTTCAATCGATTCGTGCGAAGTGTTGGAATAATCTAGCTGCCGCTCAGCTAAAGGTAAACGTTAAAATATTTGTTAAGAAAGAAATGTAAATATACTGCTAAATTCAATAATTTAATATATTTTTCATTGACTTAAGATTGAAGCTTACGATGCTGCAGCTAAATCATGTAAAAACGTCCTTTTAGTAGAAGAAAACAATGTTAAGGCTTGGTTTCGTCAAGCGAAGGTATCCGAGTCTTTCGTTAATTAACGATTTGATTGATCATATACTGTAAAGCATGTCTTTGACGACTTGCGCAAGTGAGCAACAGAGCATTATTTGCAGATCCCCTCTGTTATGATTTATATTAAAACTAGAGATTTTTAAGCAAAATTTTTGATTGTTATGTTTTTATCAATAGATCTACGCAGCGAAAGGAGATCTAGAAACGGCATTGGATTCTATGAAAAAAGCTTACTCCTTAGATCCTTCAAGCAAGGTATTGTAATAACATTGCGATTTTAAATATGAGTCTATAGCTAATAGCCTGCAAAGGTTATAGAGTGTAGTTTAATGGAAAGTAAATTGAAATAATGTTCGTATTCTTGAAATTAAGACCAATTTCGTCATGTAACGGCAAAGCATTTATTGTATAGTTAATATCTGATGAATACGCTGCATTGAAACAAAGAGTAACATGCGATCGAAAGAAGGAAAGAGAAATATATAGACGCATGGTGGGTGGAACAAAGAAGCTGACAAAGCAAGAAGATACTCTATTATCAAATGTTCTGGTAAGACGATGTCGTTTTTATTTGGTATAAAGACGGCGGTGGGACTAATTATATTTATATCATATTTTATCAACGTAGTCTTCGCCATGGAAAATAGCCATTGGAGCATCTGTTGTCGCTGTAACAGGAATACTTGCGGCATATTTACTATCCAGACGATAAAAATCTCTAAAGGAAGCAAATTTACTGACTAGGATCGCACAGTAAATGAATGTGAGGATTGTAATTATAATATCAAAATTAACGATTTACTGAACCCTCATCACCAATGTCGAGATTCATACGATTGTGCTAATTATTTCTATACGATTACATTATAGTTATATTGTAACTGCTGATGATGTGGACTTAATTTTACTAAGTTACAGTAGTATTGCGCACTGATATCTCTACGAGCTGAAATGCGATTAAATTTAGGCATTGGCTACGAATTTACGTATAAATGTACTTGTTCTCAAGTATGAAGCTCACTGTTGCTTACAATTTCTGCGATACGCCAGCTTAAATTTATAGGATTATCCATTATTTTATTTGTTACACAAGTGGAATCGATTAAATGTAATAAATACGTACATCTAATATTTCATACTGCATTCCTAGTATTATAGGTGTGTATTCATATTATTTGATCAGTTAACTATTACAGTAACATAAGTGTATGTATAAGTAAAAATGTTATACTAAATACCCTAAACATTACATGAGATAAACGACTTCATACGTGTTAAAAGATAATATATTGATCTCATTTATGAACAATCAGTAATCCCAGCTAACAGTTCCTTCTCTCTAGACATGTTTGATATTATGTTCACGAAATCCCACCTTAAAATTAGCTAACAACATCCTGGCATCATGGTTAAATCAGTAAAGTTCGTCAAATTTAATAAAGGCATCTAACTTAAGATTTTGTTATACAATAGCATAGCTACAGACACGGAATCGCTCCGTTTTGCATTAGAATGCTAATTACGACAAAACCTACGTACAAAATTAAAAATAGAAAGCCTAGTGATTTATTTAGTCGCCACCTGAATAAAGCTATTGTCATTATAACAAATACCACCATTGACAGCAATAAAATGACCGAACAGGCTAAACCTCGACTTTCCACGGATACAGGAAACCCGAAAATAATACTGTACAACAGCCAAGGGAATGGTAATCTAATTCAATATAAATACGAAATAAGTACTTAAGATACGGAGTTTATCAATTGTAAACATGGGATGACATTTATACCATATAGCAATACTAAGCAGCTTCATATAGCTTGATGTGATGACTTACCCTAATGTAACATCGAAGAGATTACTGCCAACAGAACTTGAAACAGCCATATCACCAAATCCCTTTCGTGCAACAATTACACTTGTTATTAAATCAGGGATACTAGTTCCAGCAGCCAGTATGGTGAGGCCCATAATCTAGATACATATGATAACATATAGATTATACTATACACAGAGACCCTTTCTAAAGTAAATTTGCTAATTTCCCTACTTAGGATCTTTGGCAATGAAACTAATTCCTGATACAGTTTATTAGTTGTCAATTTCAACAAGTGGCTACTTAATTAAAATGAACCGTAAATCCTAAGCTTTTAAGTAACTAGTATGTCATAGATATTAAAAATACGGTAACAGGTAATAAAATAACTTTCTACACCCTAGCATAGAAACAACTCATCCCAAGTTAAAGTTAAAAGTTTATTTTAGATAGTGCTTTATGAGATGAGTAGATTCATTTGCTTATAAAATTGCGGGCATCGTTTCTTTACCTCTGGTGGGATTCCAATAGTAATACCTATTTCATTAGACCACCAAACCATAAAGTAGGAGTAAACTGCAATCCATACAATGCTGCCAATAAATCCAACTAAGTAATATCGCTTGCCTCTCTATGTACATTCCGTATAATGAAAGATCGAATTTTATGTTAGGTAATCAAACCAATAACATATTGATTCCAGGAAAATTTATCGAGCCTTACTATTTAGTAAAGAGCTCTTTGCTTAAATTTTAAACTCGTATTATGATTACATACCGGTCTTGCGACATTTGGTAACGTGTAGTACAAGAGAAAGGAAATGGGTAGTACGATGATATAAATAGCTCTCCGTTTAAATGATTTAGGCCATGAAAGACTGAAACCTTCATTTTCATATTCCTCTTCTAATTCAATATCCACTTTCTTTTGTTAATAAGTGTATAATAAAATACTGTTCGTTACTTTGTTACGAATGCTAAAGATTTATAGTATATTTGCAGACAAGATGAATTTCATAACAAAACTATCGTATAATAATAACCGTTAGACAAATATAAAAGTAAGTAACTAGAGTATTCTACCTTCCCGTTTTCGCATTCTTCAATTGTAGAATTTCTTGCGTTATCAGAAGACCCGGTAACTGATCTATCCTCTATGGTAAAATTCGAAGTTAAGGTCGCCTTACTACTTTCTTCAGCTTGATTGCCAGTTGGCAATTGATCACTTGAAGGAGTAGTCGATAAGTTTTCCGGTAATGTAGTTTTACGGAGAGATTCTAGGTTTTTTTCTACCTCAATAGGTGAAAGGTCATGACCACTACCTTTAGCATCATCTATGGTGTCGACAGTGTTCACAGGTATAGGTGGTTCGTATACAATAGGAGTAGTTGATAGTCTTGGAACTGCTAGATTGATTGCTTCATTTCCTTTAGTATCAGTTTGAGGCGTTGTAGCTACGTCATAGCGAACCAGTTTAACATCCGTATCCAATGATGATCTCATAACGCTGTCGACATGTGTTAAAGAAATGGGAGATTTTCGGCATAGATCCTCATTACTCTCAATTTGCCGATTAGATCTGGACTTAATAGTATCCGGAGATATACTATTTTCGAGCGTAGTTTGCAAATGATTAGCGATCCGTAAAGGATTATCTAATAATAAGTTAAATCATAGACAATTACAGTTTAGCCCTTTTGGTACATTCAATTAGCTGCTGTTGAATTTGTATAAAACAAAGAAAAATATATATTCTTAGCAATGTAAGATTTTAAATTCTAGGATAAGAACTCTGCTCCAATGATAATTGTTATTGATTGTTTCCCTATTTGTATTGTAACGATATTATTAACCATCAGTATGTAAAAATTCGATATTACGGGCCAGATTGAGGTAATTTAAGTATTAAAAGATAACAAAGAATTTTTAACCTCCTTGAAATACACCGTTTAGTAGGTCTCTGGTAAACTTATAAAGATCTTACTACGAAGAGAAAACTTGCAATGTGATTGGCTATTACTCGTACAGCTTATCACTGTCCATTGGCTGATTAAATCTGTATTAGACTTTTAAATCCGCATACTATTGACATAAAATTAGCGTTTTCATGACTTTTCTATTAAACAATGATGAAAGATGGTTATTATATAAACATAGCATCCAATTAACTGATAACTACGTAAAAATAGCTGCCTATGTATACGGTATGTACATCGGTTATTACAGTTGTGGAACAGAAAAGGCAAATTACACACGGATATTAATTAGAAATAAGGCCATATCTATCGGCAGCAAGTTTAAATGATAAATTTTTATGAAATTTAAAAAATTTTAAAATGTTTATTATTCATAACTGCAGTAACTATATATATCACTATTTTGCCTAAAAAATTGTAAGGTCTCAGTAGTCCCAGTCATTCGTGTATCGAACTCGTTCACGAGTTCTTAGCATTTAACTGGGGCCACTGCAGTTATAATAGTATTATGATATTTTGACAAACAGAAAATGTAGTCAACATCACACTATCATTCTTGCACACTTGCACATAAATAAGAGGATTCATATAGAACGATAGCTACGAAATCACCAACTAAAAAATTGTGTATAAGGGAGAAGTTAGAATAGGCACTGTCAGGTTGTACACTATATTTCTGTTAGTGTATCACGCTATCTATGCTTTTTATACGGTTATTGTTTCACAAGGGATTATAATATGCTTGTGTTTATATACTTGAGTAAAATTTAGATATTATAAGCCAAATCATAAAATTCATAAAAATATAACAAAAATTGCGATTATCGCTAATATGTATAGACAATACTACTAAATTATAAGATAAAAAGGACGTTTAAGCTGAATGTTAATGTTGCATTACTTGCATACAAATAAATTTTAATTTCATAAACATGTAAGCAATCTAAATTACCTCTTTACACTCAGTAATTTACGGAAAACAATTGAAATGTTCTTGAAATGGCTTATCAATTGTAATTTCAATATTGCTCATGCTGTAGTATTGTACATGATTTTGGCGTTTGAAACAAAAAAGGGCTTTCTATTTATATTTAACGTTTATTTATTGATTCATTTTCTTCAGATATTAACTTATAAATCGTGATTTATTTTTGTAAACTGTAATGCCAAATGCGTTATACTGTACGGGTATATACTCGTATGTCGGTGTTTACTATGTCACAGTATACATATACAGTTAGCTTTTTGACAAGATTACAATCAATGATCAATCATAAATACTTTGGTGTTACAGCTAATATACCATACCTTCACCAATTGGATCCAATGTAAACAGCAACAATTTCATGGGGCCATTACGAAATCCTTGATTTTTTAGCTTGACTAATTCTTTGTACTAATAATGTGTTAAAAGTTGTAATAGGAGTAAAATTGAAAAAAAATTTATTAAGCGAAAAACGATAGCAAATGGAATAAATTGATTATGCAATATCTTATTAAACTGGAAATTATTTTCTGACAGTGGTAAAAAATTAACTGCAATAACACAAAGGATTATGTTATAAAGAGACCATTATCATGACAACGTTTATTGTCAGTAATTCTAAGATTTTCATATAATTTATTTTGTAAATTGAGTTTTCCGCCTCAGTACTATGAGAATAAATGACGGAAAAGGATAACGATTTAAAATTTGCTACGAGAATGGAAGTTCTTTAAATAAATTACGCAATTTTGATAGTTCTATAAAGGATAATTTATTTGCATCATGTGCGTCGCTGTAATAAGAATTGCTCAAGATTAGTTCATCGTACCTTTTGATTATTGTTTGGCGTGTCAGTATCATCATTACACTGAGAGACTGGAGTCGCTGTAATTATTCTCCATCTAATAAGCTGTTTTTTTACCGTAACTTCTATGACCGCATTATATTTCATGAAGGTGCAATAGATTATATAGAAAAGAATCAGTAATAAGGATTCATACCAGTAAACTTCAGAATCTGTGAAGGCAATTACTAGCGCGCAAAGAGCCAATAAATAAAATATACAATCTCTAAACAATGGCCACCAAGTAACTTGAAGCACTTGCTTTGATAATATTGCACACATGCCAATAACGAATAAAATATTAAAAACAGCTGAACCGATGATTGTGCCAAATCCAACGTTAGAACGTGCGATAAAGGTACCAATTAAAGATGTGAATAACTCAGGTGCACTACCACCAGCAGCCATAAATGTTGCCCCAGCTACGTCTTCTGAAATACTCCATTTTACTACAATAACTTCTAAAGTAGGCACAAAATAATTATCGCATACGATAGATAAAGCAACAAACATATAAATAACACCGATAAAATGTAAAACAATTGCTCCATTTGATTTTTGACTTTGCGTAAACACATCCTGGGGAAAAAGGCTACCATTTCGATTAGGCGGACCAACCGGCCGAATAGGATCATCTAATAAACGTCGATTTGTCCATGACTGGGAATGTCTAACTCCAGAAGCTATGTCATCTTGAGCTATCATATCGTTTGAGAAAAAAGTGTACATTATAATTAAAGATGTCATCGGTAAAAGGATTCGTATCGTCATTGATTTCAAAGACTTAGCCATGTTGCCAAATATTAATTAAGAATGATTGACTGAAAATGCGTCGTATCCTATGACGGTGCTAGTTTCGTTCAGTTTCAATCGCAAAGTGGAGAAAAAAATTATCATAAGTAATGATATACCAACTTGTATGTATGTACAGTATACTGTATAGTATCAACCAGGAGTTATTTCAAATGAATGCTGTTAATACGATTTCAAAAGGAATGATAGGAACTGTTGTAATACAAACTATAGTATGGAACAGTTAAAATTGATATACGTTGCCAATAGAGCATACAATACGTTGTAATTCATTGCAAATAAATCATGTATCAGTATAATAGTCGGTATAAAGAGCTGGCAATAGCTTTAAAGATTCCCACATTCACAAACTTTGGCCACGATAGACGATAAGCTGTTACAATAGCTCGTACGTGATTGCTAGTGTAGATAGACACCGCGATAAAAATAAAAATATTTCTTCCAGCTTTATTCAATTTTAGTTTCTGTCCGTGTCTATCAGTGATCTACGACAATAACAAAAAAATTAAACTATTAATAAATTTGGATAAGCAACAGTCACAATGTTCCTCTCTCTCAGTTATGCTGTAAAGGAAGACGGCACGGCACTACTTGCAGGTATCTAGTATACTATACCCGTACGTATACAAGTATATATGTATGTAAGGCGTATGCTAATTTTACCGTTCCATATACGCGTAGTTAAATTAGTAATTAATTACTCACTGAAAGCAAAGACGGGTGGGTGTATGAAGAGAAGTTAAAACAATCTGCTGTACACGGGCCTGATTATTCACTAGTAAAATCATTCAATAAAGTAATCATAAATCATTTTAATTAACGGAAAGTAGATGATAATCAATTTGATGAGGACTATTATAATTTATTTAATCTGCAATATAAGGTACTGTACTATAGGAGAATTACGAATTTTACGATACCACTGCAGTGCATTACGTACAGTACAGTACATATATTTAATTAACTAAAAGCAAGGCAATTCGAAAAAGATTTTACAGGGGATTAGTCGCTATTTTTTCTTGGTTTCATACGATATTAATCTTAATTAATTAAACTGTAAAGTCTTTTGCTACTGTACAGTATAATACTGTACAGTATGTACGGTACAGTCCTAGTCACGTTGATTACAGTACTGTACAGTACTGTTCGCTGATACTACAGTAATACAGTGCACTGTACGTAAACATGAGTGGGTTGAAAAAGTTACAAGCTACATACTGTACACTACACGCCTGTACGCGATATCATGCTTCATTGAATTAAATAAAGGACATACGCAATTACGCATATGATACTGTGCTATACTGTGCTTGCGATAAATGTACGATGAGTGCTTTATGAAAAATTTACAACGAATAAAATCGATTATTACTACAGTACATCCCCTTTTTCTATTATTTCTATGCTATAACACAGTAAAATAACACCCTCTAAAAAGTAGAAAGTATTAGTAACCACTGCAAAATGACTTTTGAAACTTTAATTAATCAAATTCACTAGGCTATGTGTCATTGAAATGCCCTAATTATAACAATTATAAACAAAATTTATTAACTAATAATTGGAAGGCGTCTTATAACGTATAAAAATAACTAGTGTACAGTAGATACTAGTGTTAAACGATTTAGATTAAGAAAGTTATTGAGTACTTTGGGAATGATTCAACTACAATATACGCGTAACTACTGTAAACTATACCTTAAACTCCTTGTACCGTATAAATAACAATTCAAAGCCCAACAATTTGATTAGACGTTACCTCGTTACATTAAAGCGTTTCGATTCTATTTTGTAGGGTACGGTAATGGCGGTATAAAAATTTAGATGGCAGTCAACATTGGTAATAGATAGACATCAATAAAAATGAATGCTCTTGTAAAATTGATGATCATCATCAAAGGTCACCAACTGGCTGATCGATGTAGTGTTATGATGATTTTAATGGCTGTTATACGCGCATAGTACTGTACAGTATGTACAGTATGATCTAATTCTGTACAATATACTGTACTGTATTATTGCATTGCGGTCATGAACAGTGATACTCTTCGTATCTGGTGTCATGAGCACATTGTCGAACTTGCATTGTATATTTATTGTTTCACCGACGTCTACGTAAGTGTAGATATTGTATGCATGTCTCTTCATTTGCTGAAGTCTGTATACATTACCAAATTGTTTTGTTTTTATACCTGCTTGGTGTATTTATTGTACATTAAACACTGACGTATAACGGTATAGAAGAGCTTATTATCCGGAATAAATGCAGAATACAATTGTGCCATATTTCGCATTATGCTTTTATCATCGAACAATTCGTCTTTTAGATACTCATTTAATGTATGATACTGTACATAACCGGAATATAACTACAGCATAATGCTGTATTATGTAGCATCAGTAGTCCACACGTCATTATAGTCTCACTATTTTGATTACAATTTGAAAGAGAAATATACTGTATAGCCAGTATGATTAAGTGTACTGTAACGTAAAAAGTACAAGCACGTACAGCACAATAAGAGGGTGGGTTCCACTAGTATAATTAATGGCACAGAAAAGCGAGCACGTAATGATACTGGCCATTCAGATACTGCAGTTACTTAACAATTCGTAAATAAATAAAAAAATAAGAAAATAAATATTAGCTTGACTTGTATTTCGACATTTTTAATTTACAGTACTGTATGATGTTATGGTACAAACCAAGTCTAATGGTTGTATACTGTAGTGTAAGAAGAGATTATATATTTATCTTAACATACTTCATAAAGCTGATTGCGAATATATTATATTATATTATAATAGAGTGTTGCCTTCCCTCTAGAATGTACTAGTAAGTGCCAGTAGTACGGTTTACGAAGGGATACTACTGTACTGTATATTTCTATAAATGGGAACTAAAAATTATGGCATTATACTGTACAGTATTGTATTTACAGTATTTACAGTATTCGTATTCGACCAGGGTAACAATTTACTAACAAATACGGAGGCTATCACTGTAAATCTGTGCTAATACAGTACAAGTAGGGTAAAAATCACACGTATACTGTAGGCTTGTAGACTGCTTGGTAAATTATAATTACTAGTGCAAACTCCCGTCGCTTTGCTGACGGTTTACGATAATGTGCTCATTTAACAGATAGTATTACCATTTGATAGACCTGTCAGAGGTTCAGTGACTTTATACCGAGTAGGCAACATTTATGTAGTAATAAGCCAAAATAATATCGAATCACCGAAAGTAAGCGGTTATATTACTGACTGTCGATTGCTGTAGATTGCTCAAATTACAGTCATCGTTAATTGCGTCTACTTCCTTCCTCGACCCTTATGAGACATTAAAACAGCATTTCTTCTGTCCTTACTGTTAATGTATAATTACAAATGTACACGCAGTCATGGACTTCTAGATATTCCATGGCACAGTAGTACTATAGGCTACGTACTGTACAATGTATGTACAGGGTGGGCCCGAAAGATTTGAATGGGCTTAGAAATTTCAATTTTAAAATGTTAAGAAAAGCTACATGAAATTTATATCATTTTATAGACCAAGAGTTGCCCCTTGTAAATCTACAATTACAATCTTCGAATAAAGTAGGGAAAATGCAATACTTGACTTAGAGAAAGTGTATTATTGAGAACAATTTTGACTCTAAGATATTATGAAGTAACACTTTTTCCGTTAGTTAGATGGAAGTTTTGGCAATAATTACATAAAAACTACTAGATGCACCTTAAACTTATTAGTCAATGCCTTGCCTGGATTAGACTAATCGCTCTCCTCGGACGGATGGACATTCCATCCTAGATGTGGCCGAAATGTCTGTCCACCCAAGAAGTAACAAGATTTTCTCAGAGGTGTTGTACTAATAAAATCATTGCGTCAAACCAGAGACTACTCATCAAAAATTTTCCCTCAGCTGCTTTCTGAGAACTTCTGATTTTCACTTACTAAAAAGGTTTGCGTAAAAACGTGACTTCAGAATAGGAATGGTAGTCTACATGTAGTGTATGACTTGGGCCACACTGAGGGCTGCGTGGCGCGGACAGCGGGAGAACAGCATGTACCCATTCTGTACCACGGATCAGTAAATATCGTACATCCCGGGCGTGTCCCGGGATGTACACACTGTACTGTACTGTATTTAGTAGTCTATGACTGCACGCTGTGTACAGTACTGTAGTCAAACAAAAGTCGTCTGGTTTCGATCTGTACTGTACTGTACTGAAAACCCGTGCATGTACTGTACACTGTACAGTACAGTTATACTTCAGTATAACTTCCAAAGCAAATTAAAACTGTAGTATATATAGGGCGGCACGATAAAATAAGTGATAAAACTCTACTCGTTAAATGAGCTAAATTTACTTGGAAGTACGTGGCCGTGAAGGATAGATTTCAGTACATTACAGTAGTCACTTTTTACGCATATTTTACATTATGGGGTAAGTATGCACTACCGATATCTTTGCTCTTTAATATCGGAATATATCTGTAAAAATAAATAGATGATGGCTAATTCATGATACAGTATTAGTAGTCAACACATCACAAATACTTAAAAATACACGATACACACAAGTTTTCTGCTCCCTTTAATGCAGGAAAGCAGAAGAATGATAACGAGATTAGCAACTGATGCCATTGAACTAGAATAAGGAATACTATAAAATGTTAACTCTAGTATATATTCATGACATGCGAATTCGTTTTTGTTTACGTAATAGTAATCGTTTACTCTCTTAAAATATTATGGTGGCGTAGTTAATAAGTCACGCTGGTCAACCCCAAGTGCGACTGTACGAGTAAATACACGAGTCAGTGATTACTGTAGATATATACAAACGGACTAAATTGCTTCCTATCCTTTCCTATCCGTAATCTTAGAATTATAAAATCGACATTAAGATGCCACCTATTGGTAGCATTATATAATTATATAATTATTATCATTTTTAACTTCCAGAGAACAACCTCTATTCACCACTTCTGCTCATGTCTTCGAGATCGATCCAGAAACGAAAAAGTCATGGCTGCCTTCTTCCAAGCTAGCAGTACCAGTATCGTTTTATTGCGACCCAATGCGTAGTCATCACAGAATAATTTCCGTCGACGGTACCAAGGTATGCAGTATAAAAACATCAATGCTGTATCTACTATCACTTTGATAGTGCAGTATAGTAGATCGTCGATGCATCACTACTTGTACCTACATACGATATTTAAAAGTTAGCTTCGATACTCGTAATACAAGGACAATAATAATAAAATTCTTTCTTATAAATTAATCGGGCTTTATGCTGTATTTTGCGTAAAAGACATGTAGTTTCAGTACAACTTTTGGATTATACGATGTTGAGTGATATATTACATATAATAATAGCCATAGATAGCATAGGAGTATATTTGATCACTGCAGCTAAAGAATACCATGAACTAATCAACTGCTGATATAGTGTACTGTACTGTACTTGTAAAGTAGTAGGCTACTCGTATGTGCATATCTTAACATATAGATGTACGTGCATATTCTAGAGTAATATGCGTAATCCTTGGTTTCTCTGTTCGCTAATAATTATAATAAACGCTGATCGCAGACATAATATAACGCAAGCCTACAATAGCATTTAAGTATACGGTACTTGCTAAGGAATTGGGATTAGGACTATTGATCCTTTTATCGACAAGTAATTATAATTATCAGACATGCAGTCACGGAGCACTAAAAGAATGCAGTGAAGGCAGTGAACAGCAATATACAACCAAGCATCAGTTTTTTAACTTTTTGTTAATTGCTCTATTTGACCATGATCACGCAATCTAATAAAAGATATTTTCGGCTTCGCCTACGGTACCGTTATTATGGGGCGGAAGTATAAATAAAGTATTAGTACAGTACTGTGACCCATAGACTGTAGTTATAAAAACAAATACTGCTGGGTTTTGCCTTAATGCCTAAAGTGTAATTTTCTTCCCTTACTTATACAACATACACCTAGTTCAAACGTTCACTGTTAATTATAATTAGATACGAGTATGACGATAAAATCTAGTTGAAATGACTTTAATAGTCTGGATTTTACATGGTTGCTTGAGTTAAAGTAACAAAAGTTAAGTCGATACACTGCCTATTAACTAGTTTTCTTTATTACCAGGAAGTAAAAATAGTTATATTTTAATTGTTGGTGTTGTATACTAGCATGATTAGCAATTGTTTACTACAATTTTACTATTTCGCCGTTTCGTACAATCAGCCGTCATCTTTACTATTTAGGATTTGGACAGTCAGTTACTTAGCACTGAATCTGAGATTAAACGGCGATAGTCATTAATTTTTTGGTATCATTTTGATAGTATTGTACTAAATAATAGTCGCCTATGACAATAATTTTTTTATCAAACATAGAACAATGTTGTAAGAAGTAAAAATTCTTCATGCCGGATATTGAAATTACTTTGACAGAAACAACACTAAAAATTAATAGAGATTTACATAAGTATTAACAACACGATTACGATGATCTTACTTTGTTACAATACTGTACTCGTAAATCGACGCAATACAATGTAGACGCGTACATTACAATTATACGCGCGTTGTAATTTTCACAACTCATTTATAGACTACTTGGCAAATCAGAAAATTCAGTAGTTTAAAATATGATATAATTTTTACGTCAAAAAATTAACATTTGATCTTACTATAATAATCTTAGTTCCATATTGATACTGTAATAAAGATCTATCTTTACAACATGATTCAGCTAATTTCTTTCACTTAGCTTCATGCGTATTCTTATGTCCCATTCCGGCTCATGGGATGATATGCGAATCCGGTATACGGCTCATATGATGGTATACGAGTAGTCAATCAACTGGATAATTACGAATAATTGTAATTTGTTAGTTTCAATTGATTTGCATCATTGTGCTTAACTCAAAAAGTCGAAAAGTGCCCAACGCTCGATAACGTGAACGATAGTTACTTCACTAATCTATGCATACCAATCTTTCACAACAATTTCAAATTCACGCCTTTGTATTACGCCTATATGTACGAGATTATTTTACCGAATTTCTCTACGAATTAAATCTTTCCATTTCTAATGATTACTTTCTTTCTTTCATTTAGGTCATTGTAAATAGCAGTATAACACAGAATATGCATTTCATGAAAACATCGGCCAAATTTGGACAATGGTCAGATGCTAGAGCTAATACTGTCTATGGATTAGGATTCTCCTCCGAAAGCGATTTAAATAAGGTAAGTTAAAGAGGACAGTAGTAATTAAACGTTATGATAATTTAAGGTGTTTGTGTTGCAATTTTTGTAGAATTTATTATTTTTAAGTTCCTCAATCCCTGCACAATGCTTTACTAACTCCTAGAATGTATGAATTAGGGCACAGTTTCTAGCTTTATCAATACTATTGCTGCTAGTAGATCCTTTTACCTTCATCTAATATAGTATCACTTATAACTGTTTCTTCGCACTATCATTATTTCCATAGTTTATAAGATATACATTTATATAAAAGTATCATTATATTGTACATTAAATTTTTTAGTCATTTATTCATTTCTCTGTTAATGGATCTTAGATATATCTATTATAATATGGTCTTACTCGTCGGACGTAGTCAGTTTAAAGGGTATTTTAAAAAGTAACTGGTATATAGATTCAATTTGAACAAATTATTAGCTACGACCTATACCGCCCGAATCAGAAATTAAACTACTACATTTATGCATTACGAAGCCTACTTAAGATAATTTACAATGCATGGTTGTAGTACAATTATAGATCGTCAATAGAATAGGATAGAGATCTATCAATATTATCTAGCTCTCTGTTAATTATGAAACCTAGCATCCTTTTTCTATCATCATCAGAATACTATATCTTATATTTCATATGTTTAGTTTCTTGTGATCATGTTCTGTTTAAACAAAAAGACATACTTCGTAATGATTCTTTTTCAAAAATCTTTACATCCTTCGTTTTCGTACAAATAGCGATACATTAAGCTAAATATAACGAAAAGACGTCTAATCGTTTATATGATATTATTAACATGTCTTTATACTATACAGTATATTAAATCTGCCTAAATAATGTGATGTAACACAGACTACTATCGAAGGATGAAGATGTGAAGTGATTCATGTTTATTTTTTTCTCTTTGTATTACCAAACAAACAGACTTTAAGTATTTAAAGATACATATTTAATATACTTTATAGAGTCTTATTATGCGGGTTTGTACAAGTAATTATGTGCTATATGATTAAGTAATTATTACTAACGAAACAAAGTGACCATAAGGTAAATTTTGACAATAAGAATCAAGGAGATATACTTATATTGCGCTTCCTATCTTGGATGATAATTAGCGAAGTATAACCTTTCTCTGTTATATATTGTAATAATCATACACATAAAACATTGAAATATGGATATCGACACAATTGTGAGAGTACACTACTTATCTACTGATAATTACAGAAGATTATAAGTAATATAGAAATCTATCAGCTTTCCTTTTACATAACTTTATTCAAAATTTATAATATCCTTTGTAATGTTATAAATTATGATTATACATAATCTGGCAAAAAGAAAGATGGTATATATGTCTATATAAGAGTACTGTATGCATCATGAAAGCAGAAGATGAGTGGTTACATAATTGTTTATTTTTATAATTGAGAAGATGGCGTGATATGATACAATACATTTTCAATTAAACACCACGATGACGTGAATTTTCCTTTATTGCAATATGTTACCATCAATTTGGTTTAACTGCCTATTTGACAATGGTCTAGTAATAGTTTAAATTGAAACTATTTGCTATTCAAGATGTTAAAAAAGCTAATATTCGCGTACTGTAAATACTAAATTACTTATTGTTATAACAATTCCGTATCAGTTCTTGAGTACCAGGTATGTACGACCACGATGAATATTAATTTACGATATTGCACGCAGTATACTGTACAGTGTACACTGTATACTGTATGTACAGTGTACATATACACATATGTTATACGATAGTATTGTCATTATCGAAGGGTTTCTTAGTTATAAGATCAATTAAAGAAAAAACTCAATATAAGACTATATCTTAAATTGAGACCGGTTTAGTAAAAATTAACTTTGCAATTTTACATATATTTTAAAATAACTAAAATAATCAGACGACAGATTGCATCCCTAATCAGACTGTTTTTTCTACGATAAGGGCAGACTCCGATGATGCTGCGAGTTAGTATAGATAAAGATATTGTGTACTTTTGTGTCCATTTCTCCACTTTTTGATTTAGCCTTCCGTTGTTGATCTGTTTAATTTTATTACAGTACGTACATTACAGTAACTGTAATAACAATACATCCACGGTATACACGTAATACAACATAATGTATAACATTGTTTTATCATGTACTCGTAAATTTGATACTCCTAATTTTTTAACAATGTAGTTCGCCGAAAAATTTAACGAAATGACAGCCAGTATTACCGCTAAATCTCAGCAACAAAATTCGGGAACAGAGACTAATGGATATAACAAAGATTCAACTGAGAATAAAAAAGTAAGTTATCAAGAAAAAACGTTATGTAAATTCGGCTAATTGTAAAATTAAAATTTAAGTTGTTCAATGTACGATTTGTACTTTCTTATTTCACTATAATTATTTAGGTAAATTAAACCACTTTCAGTTGGTCACAGATATTTATATTGTGTTTATTGATACTGATGAAGAAGATATTTTAAGTAATTTAAACGAAGATCCCATTATTTTTTTGATAGGATCTTGCCAGTCCATTATTGGATAATTCCAAATTACAATGGTAAATACCTTCATAGGGATATAATATACATTATTTAGTCTCAATTCACTTGAAAAATAAGAAGCGCCGTAAAAATATCCTTTTTTACTCGAAGGAGATTGGATGGTGAAATATCAAATCTAAAAAGTAGGAATGAAGAACTATCGTCATTATTGCAAAATTACAGAGACGAGAATGAGCAATTAAAGATTAAAATTCAACTACTAGAAGAACAAAAGAATGCTTTAACAACTGAAGTATGCAAAAATTGTTTCCTTAAATTTCATTTTCTGTGAATTGATTTCTGTTATAAAATATTACTTTCATCATGATATTTATAATCAACTATCTTAAAAGTTAAACCAGAAAGATTTACGTAATAAGAAAATAACTACGCTAGAGGAACAACAACAAATTAATATTCAGGTTAAAATAATATCGAAATTGTATTAAAATTTTTGTTTTGTACGCGCATTTTAAGAATAAACGAATTAACTAATAGAGTTGATAATTTCCGGCCTGTAATAGACTATTGAAAGATTACAAAAAGAATTACAAGGACATGAAATCCTTGAAGAAGAGAATGAACGGCTAACGAGCCAATGTCAGGTAAATTTAGTGAACCAGAACTACAAAATATCGAGCATGAAATTTCTGAATCAAGGTACTAAATGCAATTTTACGAATGAATTTTCGTAGGATCTAATCAGAGAAAATAAGACGTTGAAAGAACAGATCAATTCTCTGCCTTCGGGTGTTGATGAAGAACTTTCGGATATGAAATTATTGCTGAAGTTAAAAACGCTACAGGTTACCTTAGGAAGTCGGATTGGCGAATTACAAAGCGTACACGCGGAAATATCTTCCTTATTAAATCCACAGGAATATAGCTGCTAGTTAAAATCTGTTCTTCATATTTTCGATTACAGTCGTTGCTATTTATACACCATGTTAAATTTTATTACACTGATAAAATTTATTCTAGTTACATTGCCTAAGGAGTTAAGTAATCATTTCACAACTGGAAATCTGTTATAGGTTGAAATTTTTTTCTATTCTTTAGTCCATAATTTAGCTAAAAACATTACTATTATTAATTAGCTTAGTTATTGACAGAATAATTCTTTATGCTAGTCTATGACAGTTTAGATTACCCTTAAACATCTATCGATGCTTGTATAGTAATGATTAATTAATCGAGATATCTGAGCTGAAAATGAACAAGGATGTTTGGAAGGCCTCGTTAATAAGTAAGAAAATCTTGTCAATTATAAATCTACTTGTACTTTCTTATTGATTAATTATTTACTATAGCTATATTTATCGTATTTCGATCGTGAAAGTACATAACCAAAATTATTGTAATAGTAGATTACTTCAATCCTCACCACGTTGAAATTAACTTAAGAATATGGTTCTATTTTTTGATAAAGATTTACTATATATATTCTATATGATGACTAATACAAATACTAACAATTGTATACGGCATGATTGCGCAGCATAACGAATTACGTTCATGAGTGTTAGTGATAGGACCTTACTATATTTACGAATGCATATGCGGTTGTAATTGATTTGTTATAATGTTCATATCTATAATATCAAGAGATACAAGGAGACATGGGCTATCACTTTTAGTACGAGAAAATTTAAGAAACTGTTAGCGTGTGATATGTCTTATCCTACCTTGGTTTTACTTAACGTACAGTGTAGTAATGTCAATAATTTTTTTCAATTTTATGCTATTTTATTGATGTAAATAAATGATTCCGCTATTATAGTTTCATTTTGGTATATATTTGTATATTGTTCGACAAGATTACTTTCTCACCCTTTCCTGTTAATATTTCAATTTATGCATGTATTTTCTATATACTATAAATTGTAACGACGTAATATTCGATATATGTGAAGAAAATATGATAGATTAAGCATTTGCACATATCATCAAATTGATGATAGAAGTGTAAAATTAGATAATAAAGATGGTTAGGCAAAGTACAGTAGTATTAATTAACAACTCATGCTATACCATCTCATGAATAGGTACTACTAATTGCCCAAAAGCCTTGATAATTCAGAATGAATATATCTGTAAATAACACTGTATGAAATAGTATCCAAAAAAGTCTAATCATAAATAATATCTACTAAAGATTTATAGATCAGTGTAAGATTAGAGCAAAATCGGTTCTCTAGTATATAATTCTTTGCAATGGTTAAATTTTACCAGACACAATCTTTTCGTGTTAAAGTAAAAGCATTTGGTGTAAACCTCCATACAAATTTTATCAGCTATTAATAAATTCTTACAGTTACGATAGTAATTGGCATTTTCAATATCCGCGATAAACTACAGTTGTGCAGATTGCTCATTTTTGTAATAATCAGACGAACATCTAATCTTATAAAATATAGTTTATTGAAAAAGAGCTTAGGCAATTAAATTAAATCTACACTTTTCGTTATCTGTTATAGCGTTTCTGTTTTGAAACAAATGTTGTATAAATACCTCTAGCCACTATACAAATAAAACCTTTAATTATTATTCCACTCATAAAACATCAATCTTTATTTAAGCTAATTTTATCATAACTGCTTCACGAAAGATCTTATGTAGCTTTAGGTAGTAGCGGGCCCTTTGGAAAGTAAATATCTAAATCAGAACTTTACCTCCTCTCAGAATGCTACATTTCTAATTAACTCACAGATACAGTGCGACTGTACGAACATTAGAGTCAACAGTATATACGGTTTTGCTGACGATGTCAATATAACATAACGGGCTTACAAGTGTGACCACTTTTCTGTCATCAATACAAAATTTGTAGCTTGTTGACTATAGCAGCTTGATAGCACCTTAAAATTGAGTCAACTTATACTTAAAAGTCGCCTTAGGCACTGACATCGTATCAGCGAAGGTTTTAGCTTCGTTCAAATTATTGTGATTTTATTTCTAGTATTATATAGAATTGCTTGCATAACCTTAGACAAGGTTACTTAGTAGAATAGTATAAAACATCTACATTTTTTACAGATACCGTAGATGCGCACCATTGACAAATAATAGATTCACCGTTGAGTAATAAATACCACAGAAGTGCTATTTTTAGTATCAACTGCCCTTGATATTTAAAAACAGCAATATAATACTATCACCGTTTCATATTTTACTATTATAACAATATTTAATAATTAATTCGTCTGTACATACGAAATTTATAATAAGTAATAGTTATCTAATTAATAAGCCTATCCAATTTCTTTTCTATTTGATCAGATCACTTAAGTTACTTTAAAATTACCTAAGGAATGGCATATTTTGCATTTTACTAATTTTTCTACTATCGAAATAATTATTTAATAACTTTCCAATGCATTTTAGAATTTTACACTTTACCTGATAAACATTTATATGTACTATAACTTAATAGGTAACGGTGGCGATTTATCCTAAAAACAATTTTATGGAAATTCTACTGACAAGGCAGCACTAACAACTTAGGTACGCGATAAAAAGGACACAAAATACAATACAGATAAAATTTATGATGATATGAGCTATTTTGAGTTAAGTATCAAAAACAGGGAATAATCATGAATCGAGTATAAAGTTTTACCTATGGTAACATGACTCATTTATCAATACCATCTAGGCCGGCATATTACAAACGGTAACTCGGAGTTTAAATATCGTTAGCTAGAATAATAAAAGGGCTGCTGATGTTCCTTTAAGTTTTATATAGCACACATCAGAGTACCTAAGTTGTGTTGGCAAATGTTTACCTCACAGCATAAATCTACAAATTTTACTTCGGTTGAAGAAACGTGAAGATAAAACAGATATTTTCTATACGAGCTTTTTGGTATTTACATAATAAAGCAGGAATTATACAAAAAATTTACAAATTTCAATTTCCAATGAAACCGAATTTTAAATGTAGATTATAGTGTATACTCGTAACTTTACTCTTGAAATAATTCATCAAGAAATTGTATCATCTCCGAACAATCCTGGGAATTATCAAGTAATGGTATGTCAGACTGTTGAGGTGTCGGACTAGAATTCTGACTGAATACCATCGCTCGATTGTTGAGCCCATGAGAGTTATTGGATGTTTCTTTAGATTGGCTCATTATAGAATGGTCAAATCCAGATTGCCGACATTCAGCACCGTCTGCAGATGGTGAGCATTGTTGTGAAGGATATCTTTGAGTCTTTAAGCGAGGATACCTATTTGCCTCCATACGTTTGCTTTGGTTTACTGTCTGAGTAGCAAAGTTGACTTGGTTATGTTTCTTCCACAATTGTGATTTAGTGTCTGGGCCTTCAAAATTTCTATCGCAATCAGCATTCCACTGTGAACTTAAGTGCACGTTATTACTATCAACGCCATCGGTTATTCCATGAAAACTATTGTCATTTAAAATATTCGCATTTCTACTTCCTACAGTACAATTTGAAGCGAACTTCGAACTACCATTTCGATTTTCTTGTTGTATTTTCATTGGTTCCACGTAATTTCCTAATTGTTGAATCAATGGAGAAGTATGTAAAGGCGAATTCTGAGTTAGGGATTGCCGTTGCATATTCATTGAGGACTTACTGCTATTATTATTAAATATACGCATTTGATTATTCGATTCTCGTAGATTAACCATATCTCGAATATATTCATCACGATTAGGCACAAATACATGGCGTGTTTGACAATTTGAATAGGTTGAAGTCATCTGTGATGGTGTTATGCTCGATAAAGGCATGGATGTGTCTGCAATAGTTGCAGGGTATGGGTTATTAAGAATATCTGAGTTACGATATCTTTTATTATCTGAATTTGGAAAGGATGGACCATTCCGGTTGACAGCCTCACGCTGAATATTCGAATTTCCAAATTTGTAGACATCCGGATTTACTTTGGTATAATTGGCCAAACCTTGCGAAGTTGTTGGTGACGTCTCTTGGCTGTCTAAATCCAAAGTTGTTGTTTCAGTACTTGCCACTCTATACACAAATTGTAATAATCATACAATAAATTAATTTCCGGACAAACTTAAAATGAGGCGACATATGCAACCTTCATTAATACAATGCTTACTTATTCAATTGATGGTCACAGACGATATATTCAACTTGTCCTGAGCACGGATTTAAGAAACTGTAACACGTATTGTGCAGCCATATCCAATTATTATTAACGGTACGAAATCTGTAATTGATGCGAAGTTTCTGATTTTTCATTGTCAGCACTGCAGAGATGAGTAGAAAATGGAAGTATTTATTAATAGTTAAAAATAAAATTTCGCTATAGTTGTAGGTACGCATACTATGTTTTGATATCTGCTGACCTTGTTTAAAACTTTCTTCTAGCAATTCTCGGTCACTAGGGTGACAATAATTTACGATGTTTTTACCTAGTAGATCTTTCGGTAGAAATCCTGTCACCGATGTAATTCTAAAGATTATCACGTATTTACATTTTTATTAATAATACAGATAAAAGGTGTATATCTAAATCTTCATTAATAGTACTAAAAGTTACAATTGTGATTTTCTATTACCTTTGATCAATAAAAGTGAAAGTACCATTAATATCATGCCTTGAAACAAAAGTTGTGCCTTCTTCATCTGCAACCGTAGGGGCAGTCGCAAGCAGTAGCTTACCAATTGCTACCAAGCAAGTTCCAATACCGTTTTCGCTCCCAAAGCTAGAAAAAGAACTTTCTGATGAGTCATCATCTGTAATTCCAGTTGGTGGCCAGGATCGTATATATCCTGATTGAGTGATTGAAATGAAACCAAATGTAACAATTATAAGCTATATCGCTATTCCATAAGCATTAACAAGTATTTAACCTGCACAATGGACAACTTTGTATCTAGTTGTAACACCATTCGGATTGGTACTTGAAAATTGATCCTCTTCATATTCGACGTCGTAGTTATCGCTACCGTACCGCATTCTACATATGAAAGACTTACGAGCGCCTGAATCAGATCTATTTAAGATACTGTCGTCTCCTGTCGATTTTAAATTTTTGACATGTTAAATAATGCTTTCTTAAAAAATCCGGAGAGAAAAGTTAAGAAATAAAGTCAAACTATACTATTACCTTGATTATTACAATCCTTTCGCATTTTGTAATCTAAATAGATAATAGTACAAAGGAATTCACTTAAAAATATCAGTTAAACCGGGTTGATATACAGCGCAATGATGCTTATTATTTCTTATGTGCCGCATGAAATGGCTATAAAGAATACAAGTACAGTAATCAGATTTACCAACTAGAGCTAACTTATTGCTTAATTACATGGCAACAATTGAAGTTAAGCTAAATTCTAGACTACATTAAATAGAAAATACCGTTTGTTAATTGAGAAACTTCGTTATCCGATAGCTGCTCCCTTATCTTAGAAGTATCTTCTGGGTGAGCGAGCTCATACAGTGACCTACCGGTCCAATCATCCTATATTATTTAAAGAAATTATTTTTAATCAATGTAGTTATTCTCATTTTATTGAATATGATTATAAAGTTTGAAGTGATAAATAAATCAAGTTATAAATTTTCTAAACGAGCAAGGACAACCATTATTTTATTATAATATAAAGCATAAATTTATCTAATGAGAATTACATAAATTATTTTAGACTTGTTAGTGTCATCGATTATCTCTATCAATTAACCTGTGATAACTTTAAAACATTTGATATAGCGTCTGAAACATATAAAAGGGATCCGTTATCGCAGGAAACTACAAATAAAAATCCATCTGCAGCCTGTAACAATAACAAATTAATTGGTATTAAAAAACGATGTATTACTAAAATACGTATACATTGTTACAATACCAGCAAATATCGTTACAGTACCTCTAAAATTAGCTGTTTAATTTCCTGATCAGATAAAAATGACGATCTGCACACAGCTCTTGATTCCACTACAATTGCAATGAAAATTTTTATATAACCTCTTCAATTGACACTTGCAAACAATCCGTCGCTAATACTACAAAAATAAAGATGACGCGTTAAATTTAATTATCATTAATAAATTTACTTTCTTCCTTTCTTAGTGATTTCATATGGGATACAGCCATTTTTAGTATAGTTAACTTGTCAGGTCGCCTAGGTAGGCTGCCACAATTAGGCAGCATATTAGATAATTCAGCAACATATGCGTTCATCTTATTTCGCCTGCGTTTTTCGATTTCGCTATGATTTTCTCTAGCGCACTTATCCTTGATGCTTGTATGATCGTCTTCATTACGATCTTCTGGCTCTCTACAGATTACATAACAAAAATATGCGTATTTAGCTGACATTAACTACGTATTTTACACGTATTTGCATTTGTGTTCTATTACTCATTGAATCAGGGACATGTATATCACGACACGTACAAGCTTAAACATATTGTATTGTTCTTTGAAAGAAGCTAGCTGGAGATACAATACATACGCATAGAAAATTCGACTAGATATCTGATAATAATTAAATACCCGTAAACGACAACCAATATAATAAAACTATTTTACTTATTTAGTATTTAATCTAAATCAAGGTAACAGAACACTATCCAGTGCTTTTAATTTTGATTAATTAAGTATCTATCAGTACAGTAATATAAAATTCCCCCAAATTTAAAAAGACAAGCGCAAGTGAACATCGAAATCGTATTGCACTTTTTAGCATCCATCAACAGATAATTATTTACCAATCATCATCACTTATTGTACTATCAATTTTATCATCATTAACACATGAATAAATTATCACAATCGACAGAACCATTATTACTTTTCATAGCCATCTAACCTTACGACATAATAACATCATCTTATTTCTGATTTAGTTAGAAAGAACAATTTACAGTAAGATGTATAACTAGTTTGCAATCAATTTATTTTTAGCGGAATAAGAAAGCAGAGATTTTCGCCAGAAAAGAGCATTAACGTACGTATGCACATCCTACGTAAGTATCCACTCTTTATCTACCTCATATTAATTCAAGGTAAAAGTACTTATCTTCAGTACAATTCCTTGTCGACACTTATCATAAATTTGTTGATAGAAAACAATAACAAAAGCAGTTTTAATAAAACTTTTAACGAGGAAAATAAGCAAATAAATGTTATAGTTGTACTTTCTTAAACACTCCTATTCATATATCCATCGGAAATAAATATTTAGCCATTATCCCAGTGATCTAATATTATTTTGCCTTAGAATTTATTTGGATTTTGCATAAAGAATGACTTTTACGTATTGAGTTTATTCCTTTCTTTAAACCACAAAAAGACTTGATATTTTTAATTAAGTGATCATTAGTTTTTGTTAAAACTTATATTTAATAAGAATATCATGTTTAAAATTTAGGACTAAAGGAAAAGTATCATATACGTATGTAGTAAATCGATCGACTATAGGGTAATTGCTGCTTAGACGAACTCACTCTAGTCAAATCCTTATCGATTAATTATACTTATTAATTAATATTTGATGCCTCTACTTAGATTTCTACGGACATATCCTTAACTATTACTTATTACTCGTACCTACAGTAAGTATTCTGCCTACTTATAAATTGCTAGATCTAGGAAATAATGATTCGTCGAGAAATTATACCAAATAGTTGAATGCAAGGTATAAGAATTTAGCTATCGTTGTGAAGTGGTTGTCTCAAGAGCAGTTGTCCCTAGTAAGTCTGGATACCAAAATCGATCATAATTCGTCAGTTTACTTAGTCCATTCGAAAAAAGACTATTTATTAACTACTTAAGTATCGTTAGAATGAAGTCATAGACTAAGTCTTAATAAGGCTATTTTATATCGATAGAGGGAAGTGCTGTTAAACTGTATAAATTCATTCAAACAACGGAGAATAATTATAAAAGAAATTACGTGATATCAGACTTCGATGAGATAGTAATTGTTTTCAGCCGATTTGGCAATTGCAAATTGACGCTTAGGATAAACAATGCGTTGGGAATCAATAAGACATATTTAAAATTAATCAAGCACTTCTTCTACTTCGTTATAACCGTTTCTTGAAAGGGTTATAAGTATCCAGGAAATACCGTAAATTAACGTCAGTATTCACAGATAATAATCTCTTATAAATTACGCTTCGAATATAGTTCATGTCTTCTTTGAAATTGGACAACTTTTAAAATAAATTTTAAATTTTATTTTATACTTATGGTTTAGATCGTGCATTGAGAGACTCCCAAGTTTCAAGTAAATTAAGTGTCTTTAACGATATTTTACGGAATTAATATCTAATACTAACACTTTTAAGATCTAATAAATATTTACCAGCTTAAATCAATTATCTGGCAATTTCATTAGTTAGTCCAAATGAAAAGAGATAAGATGCTTATGTACATGAGCGTACAACTTATCTGTATGCATGGAAACTAACCGTAAATTGAAATTGTATGCCTAACCGAACAGAACTTCAGACATATACATATACGCATTTTCACGTCTATTATAAGCGCCATAGTTTTAATAATATAATTCCCATCAATATTCGATCATTAAAAATGATGTAAATATTAGTAGAAAGAATAAATTAATTTTCATTATTTAAGGTTGAAACTAGGTTTTTAGCAGCCATTGCTGGAAGTTATGATAATGTGCTTAGTTTAAGTCAGGACCAGCTACGACATGCCAAACACCCCAAATGGATAATATCATACTGGACACCGAATATACAGTGTATGAATGAGAAAATTTTCAAATAAAATAATAATAAAGGAATACAGTTTATAGAAAAAGCTGCCTGTTTATTGTACAGTACAACATTTATACGTACGCCTATAAATATAAATAATATATAAAAGGTATTTTGCATTCAATAAATTTAATCTTAGGTCAGTTACTGTGATTTGTGTCTCGATTTATCGTTCTCTACATATGAGCATACCGATGAGCAGTACACATCAGTTCCTATTCGTAAGATAATTTTGTATCTATAATCGGGCCCAATTATACGATACGATGCCTGTACGTCAGCGAATTTTTCACTAAGAATGAATGCATCCATGTTCATTAAAAACTTCTAAGTGAGCCTAAATTAAAGTAATATTTATGACTGCTGGAAAGATTCAATATTAACAATGCAATCAGAATTGAGAAGCGATTATGTTGAAAAACAATAAACCGTCGCCTTCAAGGCTAGACATAAAGGAGATTGAATGTGGGGATGAATACAGAAACCGTCAATATTATTTCGGTACCAATTTTATATCTGGTATCAATAAATGAAATCATTCATAAAGGTCATATAATTGGCCGTTATACTATATATCAGTTCTGACATCTGTCCTTCAACAAATGTGAATAACGACTTAAAGAAGATTTTATTAAAATAGATAATCGGTAAATTATACACACAGTCTGCCTCTACCTATACTAAACAAGCAAGATCCCGTTAGCCAAACGAACGTACCGGGTACGCCAATACGAACTGTATACGTATATATTTGTCAAAGTTTTCTAATGGTATTACTGTATAAACATATTTCTACAACGAGACTAGAGGATATACCATGCATTTCAAACCAATTTTTAATAAATTTACTTAATCATTTACCCGGATGTTGATAATTTATCATGCTAAAAATTTAAGGTCATTATGATATAACAATTCCAAAAATGATATCTCATTTTGTTGTATTTGATAAATAAAATATTGAAAATCTCAGCGATGCACCAGGAAGATAAACAGTAATATGGGCAATATAGAATGTACTGTACAGTATATTATTGCGGCCACAACAACCCAATATAAGTGATTGCCTCTATTAAATATTTCAAATAATGTACTTGAATCTAAAAATTTACCCATTACGTTTCTTAATCGCAAGCGAAAAACTATTGTAAGACTTTTTTAACTCTATCGATTCATTCCATCAATAATAATCAATTGATTAGAAGTGGATAAGTAATGTGAAAAGTACCAGAAGTTTAAAAAATTGGATATATAGTACTCCACCAAGTAGGCGTATAACTGCTCTCACCACAGTTTTTATAACTAATTCATATGAGGCCACTTTTATGCACAAGTACATTTAATTAATCAAGTGCATTGCCTCTTAATGATGGTACTGTAATAGTAGGGATTTAGTAAGTTAAATTTTGGCTAACTTACAAAATACAGTATGGTAAACTGTACGTGTGCACCATATAATATACAGTATGTGCAGGCACGTATTATATAGAAATAAGATAATTTTGTGATTACATCTCGAACATTCTTTCCGTTGAGTATTTCAATTTTCAATTACAGCTATATCAATGTCTTGAATACTAGAAGTAGAAATTGTATTTCTTATCGCAGTGCAATCAGTGAGCTGTGTAGTATTATAATTATGCTCACATGGAATGGGCACATTTGGTAAAGGTAACTGTGTTTATCTACAATAATGCCGAAAGTTGATGTATAATACAGTACAGCAATACTAATAGCTATAATTCTTACTATAGAAATATTCTTTTCCTTTTAACATTTTTATTCGTGCTAAATCATTTAGTAGTCAACACTAGCAGACCTAGTACTGTTAATTATGAAACAGACATGGTGATAGATTAAAGACCATGGCACGCACAGCTATCTCCTAACTTACCCCTTAAGTCGACTCGTTTGCTTTCTTTTCCTTAATTTGCCGTCGGTTGGCGTCGCTTTATTCGTATTGTCCTTATTTGCTTTATAGCGATAACAAAAAAGAAGGAAGGCGCTATATTATTTTTAGCAATACTAAAGTATCATTAATTTCATAAACTAATGAAAAACTAAAAAAACTTATCAAATCGCAATTTTAATAATTAGTCGTGCAATTTTGTAAAGCAAATAAACTCACTACAAGAACTACACGATATGATGTATGATTGTGCCGTAATATCTGAATGGAATCAGAAGCTTCTATTTTCTACCGCATTTTACTAGTTTACTGTCAGTGAGAATAGCAAACGCAGCTGTAATGGCAAACTTCAGCAATCACTATTAGAATTATTTATTAGTCAAGTTATTAAGTGATCATGAATCATTCATTGGTCTAGTTATTAAGTGATCATGGTACTAAAAAGTTTGCTGTACCATAGATTACTCAAGGTCTTCTTTCAATTAGTAGTCTATAACTGCACGTATCTATGCATGTAAAACATTTATAATTCGCGACTAATTCAGAAGTATACGTGTGTTAACCTACGATCACATAAAGTTGCTAGAGTAGTTACTATTTACTCTATTACTGCACTATGGGTTACTGTTTCTTCTAGCAAGCTACACTCCTATCTATAGTATTACCCTTTCATCGATATATTTGATAATTGACAAAATCTGATCAGTGTTAACTAGAACGGCAATAATCTAACATTTGCTGAATTTCAGCAACGTGCCATACGATGTATATGATACTGTATGATTCAATTTCTCAATCATATGGTAACCTAAAACTTCTACCATTACATCATTTTATGAAAAAAGCACCAGTCTATGCCTGATTTGGCTTACTCATTTTACTATACATCATTAGCTGTATTCTACTGTTATACAGTATAAGAAATATGTAACTACTACTTGAATATTCTTGTTCAATCATGAACGATCAGTCGTACTGTCAAGGTAAAGCTAGTAGGTGGGTTTAGCTTAAATTATTCCGTTTAGTTAACGATAAAGTACGATATTTGGATTATTAGCAGTAAAAGCATGTATCAATAAGTTGATATTATAGATGGAGTTATAATATTAAGATTAAGATTAGTATTATTTTGCAATTTATAAAGAGTCAAATCTTCTTATATGATTTAAGTGATTAGAGTAGAGGCATTTAGCAATTAGAATTAATTATAGTCCATTGGAGTACAAATATACCTTAATAAAAATAACAGTAAAAAAATTAGTTGTCATTACCAGTAGTTTTAATGTCCTTTTTTAAATTATTTATGATGTCGTCGATTGCTAAAAATGAACTGTTGGTAATCCATGATCCATTGATCAACCAATGTATCATGTTGAAGTCTACGATCAGCCATCTATGATGAGGTGAATGAAATTGAATTTTTCTAGGTCGAACGTACACTGTACAAGTCCAGTAGTGATGCAACTGACGATGGAGTAGGTATACATTACTATCGAGATGTGTCAATATGCTGCAATGGTGGGTTAATTATAGCGAATCGATAAATGTTGCCTTCAAATATGGATATGTACTGTAGAAGTAAATAGGGTAATTCAAGTAGAGTAGAAATCGACGAGTTTGGCTGCTGTACTGTACAGTGTTAATTTAAAGTTGATATCTACCGAATGATTGCATGGACTTTTATTCTATTATCGCTACTGTAATCAACAAACTTTAGCTATCAAGGAGAGAGAAAAAAATGAAAATCCGCAATAAGATACACAAGCATCCTTGTCTATCAAAATTGGCTATATCTAATATTAACTTATGCAGTAAAGTACTAACCAGGCATCCTCAGATCGATGGCACCCCAATGGATAATATCAAATTTTTCTCCGACCAATAATCAAAAGTTGTGGTTTTAGTTTTAGCCGTAGCGGGTACACTGTCCACTGTCCAGTAATCTGGAGTAATTTTCCTTCTTTGGCCTTTCATTTTATACTCTTTTACCTTCCAGTACTGTACCGTACCGTACACTTATGTAAGGTGTAGTTGGATTACTAAATTCAACGATGAATTTCGTAGTCTATGGTCGGAACTTTCGTCTTCAGGTCTGCAGTACACTCTACAGTACTCAGTACTAATACTGTACAGTACATACTGTATTAGTCTTAGAAGTACTGTACACTGGCGTACTGTAAACTGTACACGAACAACTGCAATAATATGTCTTTCTACTTTCTACTTATAGAATGAGACGAGAGAGAGATGTTTCACAGAAGAGAACTTTATTACTCTAAGTCCGTCAGGTACAAGGTAGAGAGAGATTGCTACAGAGACATAGTGTACTCTACAGTACTAGGATCAAAGCTAACGGAGTGGCGTCTCACTTTTGAGCAATGCAGTATGGGCTTTCCATGTTTTTATTGCAGTATTGTATTGAGTATTTTATTTCAGCAAAATATCTAATACAAACTATCAGTCACTGATACATGCATAGTCAGTCTAACCATTTTATAACTAGTCTATACCAGGGACTCCTCAACTACCCCCTGCTTCATAAAATTAAGCTTCACGCTGAAAAAAAAGCCAACTTTTGTGAAGCCTAGGGTGGTTGAGGAGTCCCTGCCAAGGGGTCAGTTCATGAAATATCCTCAAATCGGGAACTCTTCGAAGAAAAAAAGGCGTTTTTTTCCGATCTCCACATTACGTACAGTGTACTGTACCTCTATGGCAGTACATTACAGTACACAGTCTGTACTCTACAGTATACACTGTACAGTGTACATACTGTAGACTGTAGAATAAGTAACTTATTTCACTTGTAAATCACAAATTAACTACAGTTATCCATTAATCCATAAGCTAAGTAATCTTCGAGATGTACTGTATGAATACTGTACGAATGACTGATTGATCAATGAACGACTCTCGATTAATAATATTAGAAGTTACCACGAACATAATAATTATACTGTACACCGTACTGTACTGAACCCTTAGTTATAACCCGAGGATTAGGCGCTACTTCGGTCAGCTTTCAGGCTAGTAGGGCTCTTCAGCATTGCATCAAAATTTCGGCTTCAAATTTCTCGGGATTTACGGTGCTCATGCTCACAGTGAGCATGCGTTCGCAGGTTTTTCCTTTTACTGTCTGCACCATAGAGAGATCTTCATGGATCTGGTCTGTAGAATTGAATTCAAAGATAGATCGGTACTGTAGACCACTCACCCACTGTACTGTGCAGTACAGTACACGTCCTTAGCGTAAAGTACAGCACAGGACAGTACAGTTACTATAGTCCTGCACAGTTATACAGAATAATAATTTTTAATTTTTAAATTCGCTCAGTTACGATTTTACGTTCAGAAAAATCGAATATACTTACAATACTATACAGTACACAGTATACAGTATACTGTACAGTATAGTATGTACTGTAATAAATATTATTGTTTCAGTAATTTTCAAAGGTACAGTACAGAAAATAGTCCGTCGCCTTTTTATAGGGAGAGGGATGGATTTACGTAAAGTATTCGAATATATGTACATTACAGAACAGTATGTACAGTATATTATTAATTTATTATGCGGTACTTTCTCTAGGAACTTTCTAATTTTTTTTTTCCTGTAGTAAAACCCAACATTGTAATAGAATGATATTAAAGCAGTTATATTCAAAAAGAAAATAGCACATAAATTCAGTGTTGTTTGTTTTGGCGTAAATTCGATTATCGCAACATTCTGTATTTGAGTTATACAGTAATTACAGTAGTCCTAGCCAGAGCCGAACTTAACCAGATAGCGCTAATCAATAAAGTCCATATACATTTCGGTACTTCATTACCGTATAATGCACACACGGTATGATTGAATCTATCCGGAGATAAGCACTAGTGCTTATACTGTAGTTTTAGTATACATTTTAATAAACAAAGCATTAATCCACTCTGTGTAAAAATATAAAATATTAAATAATACAACGATGAAAGTATTATACTGAGAGCCATATTTATTAGAAGTCAAGCTAAAAATAGAAATCGTTGCCATTACAACATTAAGAGAATGATACACAAACTGACTCAAATAAATAAGTACGTAAGTATTATGCGCAACTTTGCTATGCGTTTATTGTCATTTCGATAATCAATATAAAGGAAAAAAAATTTGAATGTAGTTAAACTGAAATTATAGTCATTAGTCACCTCTGCTTATGATTCAAGATAATAGTAAAAATACAACAGTATCTTCTTAGTTTCGTAATTAGTGATTGTAAATATCTATGAAAAATATACTTCTCTGATAATTTTTTTGGTTAAAAATTATTTACATACACGTATACAATATTAAGTACTTAAAATTTATTTACAAACCTGGTAACTGCAACTAAGTCTGTATATTTTCTTTCAGTGATTGAAAAATAACAAAGAATATGAAGAAATTTGAAAGCCCATTCAACAAAACATGATTTATATGAATATTATCAATTAGTAAAATAAAATCATTTAATAGATTCGATGAAATTTTCTGGTAATTCTGACAATTACGTCATTGACAAGATGATACAATAATTTTTGTAAAGTGTATAATTCTTGTTAGTGAGTTGTTAACAATCGTAAGCTAATTCATCTGATTCCGTCGACGAACTGCTATCTCCAGAATCGCTGTCAACAGATAAAACTTCTGTTTCGTTCGGTATGTGCAATTCAAAGGTTAAAGTTGAATGCTTAGGATTGACTCTATGCCTACTGTCTTCTTTACCCGCAGATTCCCGATCAGCTGTCGTTTGTGCGTTTAATCTACTTTTACTGTTAAATATTTATGAATATTAAAATATATTAGCTGTTAACAAGCACCAAGCAATTCTTAAGACACACTCGTAATTTAGATACGGTTAAATCTCAACAAGTAATAGTCTGAACCAAAAAACACAAGATCTTATTGTTACGTATAGTATCGTTCACCTAGGCACTTTCCGTAAAGATAAATCTTTCATTTTTAGTAAACCCCTACAAAAATCCTTTCCCATGTCCTCTAAAGCTGTAGTATTAATGTGGTATCCCTAACGAAATACAAACAATAGGAACATTAACTTTATTACATCGGATACAATATACATATGTATATTATACATAATAATTATAATTGATGAGAGAAAAATTAGCGGAAACAACAATTATCATTTGTCTTGCTGAAGTGAAACATTTGTAACGAAGCATATTATTAAAGTTGCAGAGTTAATAAATTCAAAAGCAAGATTAGCAATGCTTAAGGTTTAACCTTGTAAACTCCTTGATCCATACCACAATAAGTACTCTCCATGGTATAACTGCGCAAAATGCAGAGCTCTCTCCAAAGAACAACACGAGCAGTCGATTCTTTACACTTTTCTACCGCAAAACTACATAACTGATACGAAAAGACTGGCGAAACCTCCTGGAGAGCTCTTGGAAGTGCCTTTATAAAATAAATAGTTTGAAAAAAGGGGTTCTTTCATCGTAGTCAGATCTCACTAATATGTGAACTATAAATAAGATGGCATTAAATAGTGAAGACAACAGCCGTAAGTACTAACTCGAAGCATTTGATCCTCAGCTCGATGATTAGTATTCGTATATGGATAACAAGCATATGTAAAAATATTCTTTCTACGAGAATGCCCATGAAAATCACAAAATATCTACAGTGTTAAATAAGCACAAACAGTTACAACATTGCACCGCAATTGATAGGAGATACCAGAACATGTTTACGATACAGTAGCAATTATCGACAATAATAGTAACAATACATAGCTAGGTGTATAGGAATTGATTAGTATGCTATAGACGTAAATAAGCAAGCCACTTTCCAACTTACCAAAGGTGATTTACCAATAGTGACCATGTACTGTATTAGTCCCTTCGTATGATAAATAGTGGGATGTATTCGTGGATCGGGCGATATCCAACATCGGTTTAAATCATGACCCGAAAGTGAACATCGGTGGCTATTTCATGAATTTTACAAGAGACGTAAGTATTACGTGCAAAAAATGTGAAGAAAAATCTTAGCATGCAATCTATAGAATGATTACTTACCATCCGTTAACAACTCCATCAGGATTTAGCATAGGAATTATCTTGAAGATATAACTCTCTCTAAGTTGTATCGCACAATCATCATCGCTCGTAATGAAATCAAGTAAGCCTGCAATAATTACAATAATACCGTAATGCCAGCATTAGGAATTTCATTACAACTTGCAACATTCCAGAAAAATTACCTTTCATAATCCAGCTCGAATTGCTTTCGCCTGGATGTACTCTAGCAGAAAGAAATATGTAAGGTCTTCTCTCTATAGCATTGATCAGGCGAAAACATTACATCAGTTTTCAATCATGAAAAAGAAATTAAAGTAAGATTATTTGCACGTCTAAACATTACATACCCACAGGAACATATTTGTCATCATTAAGTCTTTCTTTATTCGGACTATTTGTAATGGTCATCAAGTTACAAACATTGCCGTTTAGAGTTAAACAAAGCTCTTGACATTTGAAGTAAATGGAGTTATTATCGGCAACGTTTCGAATATGTTCTAAATGTACCTAAATACAAATAACGTCGATCATTAACCTAGATCGAGTAGCTGATTTTTCCTTCACCTTACACAAAAAACTTTAAAACTGTGCAAGTTTATACCTTCATGGTAGAATACGTATATGGAAAATGATATGCTAAAAAGCAGGTATCATCGCTATGTGGGAAGTCAATTGCAAAACTCATCGTATAATATGATTTCATGCCACCACCTCCTGCAGCAATGCTACGAGGAAAGTGATTTTTATAATAGCAGATATTACTTCCCAATCTGATCCAACCGACGCCTTTATTGATAGCGTCATAGGCCGAATAAAATACAGGTTGCATTCCTTTCAGAATTACGGAAAAAGAATAGTAAACATGATAGCCTGAGCCAATATCGAATATAAAATTTATTTGCTACTATAGTTTTACTCACCATAATTAAATTGGCTATTTTTCTTGATACAGTTAATAATGTTGAATTGATATCGAATGCCCTTGAGCATATTTCTTATCTATAATATTTAATTTTTTGGTTTATGACAGCGTCTTAAAAACTTTTTTAACAATACAGTTTAACACAAGAACATACACCTAACCTCGAAATAAAACCATTGATGGTGCTGTTTTGTATTTATATCTGGGTTGAGCAGAATATCATATTCCTGCGGTCTTACCTATAATTTTAAATAAAAAGCCTTTAATTGTTAACAATAAATCAAACATAACTGTCATCCTCAAAGCCATGACGAATTTTTCATACCCTTATCACTTTCCTAAGATTTCCGCATTCAAATCGAGAGTTAAAACTGAGTGGGGGAATCTCTGTTTGATTTTGTCTGTAGTATTGAAGTGGTGATATACGAATTTCTTCGTCAATAAAAAAGAATACTCCATGTCTTCGATATCTCATTTGATCAGCTTACCTTAGCTCAAAATTTTTAGTCGATTCTTGAATATTTGCTTTAGATTTACTTCTTATTTCGATATCAAGATCATAAACAACATCACTCATAATCTTTCCGGGGAAAATAACGCGTTCAATATCTGATAATATTTTGTTTCTGTAACAACATATATAAATTTACATTTAAAAAGAGATTATACGTCACTATTGTTGAGTCATGAAGCATTCCACGAGTATCATTGACATTCCTAACCTTTGCATACTATTTTTTCTTTCAACTAATGGCTCTAGTGACTCCGGCGACGAATGTCCAAACAACTCAGGCATAGGTATTTCTGTAAATGGTACCACACTCTTTGTAGTTAATGACTCATTGACAATATTTCTTTTACCTCCGCGTAAAATATAACCTTCAAAATTTACATATCTTGAAATGAAAATAAATCATTATTATTAAAGTGCCAGAGCAGTCAATGACATTTAATATTTATCACGGTATCACTGCAAGATAAAGATACCCTAATTTTAGATTCTGTTGTTTCATGTAGTCATCCATAGTAGAGCGTTCTGATTCCTTAGAACTTGAAGAACTTGTACGATCACTAGCAGTGGCAATATCATCTTTTGAAGAGTTTTCTACGTTTCTAATCGGGTCTCCTATATTATTATGGATACCCTGTATAAAATATCTATTAATATTCTTAATGTGTATATATTGTACTTAAGACAAAAATTTCAATTTAGCTAGATTTCCTACAGCAATTAAATTCAAAGGATCATTCAATTGGTTATCATTCAGCTGAAAAGAAAGAGAATTGAGTAGTTGACATTGTTATCTACTTTTATGTCGGCTAGTTGCAGGCTTAGTCGAGAGAGAATTACTCCCGAATAAATTTATGAAACATTGTTACTCACATTCATCAATTCTATTTCAGGAAAGAACGCTTGATACGATGCTCTTAAGTCTTCCTCCGACCTAGTTATTTTAGGAATTCCTTGCTCATTTCCCTGTAATCCTTCGACGTCATCGTTATCTGAGGGTTGACAAGAAACACCAGTATCTGCGTCTTCATAATCTCCATCACTATCCGAAGGACTGTATTCATTACCATTATCTTGCCCGCTGTTGTGATCCATATATTGTTCACCTTCGTATTAACATCAAATCATAAACAAGTAATTACGTAATATGAAATTAATCATAACCCATTTCACTAAATGCTTGTATTAACTTGAAGGTAATCATTACGCTCACCATGTACAGTTGGAAGCTTAGTCGCATTTAAATTATTAGCATCAAGATTAAATTGTATCGGACTGTTTAGGTTTGCCACCGGTAGACTAACTTCAGGATAACAGCGACGTAATATTTGAGTACCAATGGTTATTAAACTGTCTAGGCCCTTGTCTAAATAGCAAATGAAATAAATTTAAATTCTAAATTTTAATATGTCCGACATAATTACAAGATATTTACTTGAATACATGAAGTTCTATCTTACTTTCGCAATACTCTTTACACAACTGGTATACAATGCGAAAACCATTACACTCTTCAAATTTTCGTTTACCAGTTCCTTTAATTGAGATTAAACAAATAGCTTGTTGCAGAAATAATATTTAACACTTGAGGTAAAAGCAAAACTTACTTGTAAAGGTTAAACTTTTTAATATTGTCAAAATAGATTTGCGTAATGATATTTGCTTATTTCTAACGTCAACTTTGTGCCAGCTGATCGCCAAATCTATTACTGTGGTTACGCCACTTTGATTGACTGTTATAGTAGCATTGTTTTCTATCATAAATAAGAACTATCAGTATCAATATCAGCAAATAATTGTAGCTGCGTGCTTATATCTTACTATTTTGCACCAATCGCGACATTACTGTGAGACATGATCTAAATAAATTTGACAGATGTAATATTGAAAGGTCAATAAAAATAAAACTGGCTAAATATTTACATAGATATTAGAAATAGCTAATATTAACCTTAAAGTTAATATATGACGATTACCACAACCCGATATTATTCGCAATAATGCAGTAATTGTTCCTGCTTTACCTAATGCAATCAAGTTTAATGCTACAAAAAATATAAATTCCTATGAATTCCTGTTGCAACCTTCAAAATACATAAATTGTGAACGCACATTTAGTTGCTAGCAGCTTGACGAGCTGCAATGTCGGCTGAAGAAGTTTATAATTAGTAGTATTTTGTTTCAGTAGATTCGCTAACACATCCAATAATCCTGATAGTCGGGCCTTCATAGCAATTTTCTTATCTAGTTACCGAAAAATCACAATGGATATTAATTGTTGACAATGCCAGTTAAGTGTACGTAAATGTAAACAGTAAACAGAATACAAAATATAATAAAAGAGATCCTCGATTAGCAGCAGAATCATACCTTTAGCTCCAAGTTTAGATAGTAATGTTACAAGGATTATAACAACCTCATCCTGAGAACTAAACTTAGACGCCTTAACTAAACTATCAATAAGGACTTGTGTTATCGTAACTTGTCGAGCAAGCAATGTCGAAATTGGCCGCTTCCCTATGTGGTTGATAGATAGTCAAAGAATTACACGCGTAAATAACTCCAGTAAATGTTCACAATCTACAGAGTAATAGAAATATAAAACCTAAAATCATGAATTTCACGTACCAAAGACCAACAATTCATCGATGGAAGAGGCAATATTTACCAATACTTGAGTATCCAGAACGGTCTATATATATTTTGTCGACAAATAGACATTATAGTTGATATACTTCCGTACCCCCTCGAAGTAAATCATAACAAATACAAATGCTGTACAATAGAAGCTAGGGTCTATTGTATAAAGATTATCAACGTTTCACACGCAATACGTTTCACATTACGTAAAACAAGGAGCTACCGGGCTACCAAATATTAGTAACTAATACAGGGTCAAAATAATAACCAGAAAATTTGCGGGTGGTGAACTAAAAATAATTTCTACGAAACCCTAACTAACTAAAGTAGCTTTACGGCAACATGGCTACTTTTAATAAACAAGTTACAGTAAATACTGACCTGAACACGTACACATGCAGCAGTTGGATAAGTACATGTACATAACTAAGAAACGTGTTTTACATACTACTTAGATATGATACCCTAATAATAAAAACGATTGTATGCATTCTCATATGTTAATTATCCTTTACTTGCAGATTATAGATATACAATAAGTGTACAAGCTTGAAAGATAGTACCTGTAAAGTCACTAACAAAACTGGAATGTAATCGGAATCTTCAAGTAACTTTTTTCGTGCCTTTTCTATATTTATGAGAGATCAGCATTCATATGTTCAACTTTACCATCCAAAAATATTGTATAATAAAATAGTATCGGTAGATATTTCTTAGAATATAACATTAGGTACTGAATACACGAATCGCTGCGACTACTTAGTAAAATTAATTATTAATGTTTAGGAAATCTATTCTGCTTCCACAGTACTTCTATATTCAATAGATTATCATTTGTAGTATGCCTCTACAGTATTCTATTTGCCTCCTGGATCAGTGTTATTGATCTGTAGAATATATTACACAATCATAAAATCATATAAGATCACTGCAGTAAAATGCATAGACTACATACTTGTAGTATTGTATATAGCACATACACTCACATTCGCTATAGTACAACAGACGAATTGTTAGTAGAAGCTCTAGTCCTAATCACTAACTAACAACACTCTATACTAGTAAGGCTTATTTGTAGGATAAATCAAAGCTTCTAAATAGTTATCACTATCTACTATAATTAATTGACAGTGATTGTAACCCGTAAGTTTAGTAAACAACGTTTTAGCATATTAAAGAGCAAGAGCTAAGCTAAATTTAAATAACCTGTACCTTGCGTGGCAAGAGTTTGCTTAATCTTCAAAGTCACATAGCGAATGTGATCCAAATTTTTTTCGCTATGGTGAATTAACTTTTCTAACGTCTCTATCAAACTCTCGATCTTTGACGTTGTGCTAAGAATACGAAAGGAGATATTTTATAAGTTAATATAAAAAACTTTAATATTTCAGCAGATATCAAATGAATACTAGAGTTTGAGGTTGTCCATCTTCATGTACAAAGTATCCTCTATCGCTGTGCTACACACAAAACGTGATCACTGTATGCTTCCAATAATGTCTTGACTATTTGACGTTTATTAAAATTAGGAATACTTATGGTCATGCGATCAGTTGAAGATATTTCAGAGACTCTATGTTATATAAATCTTTACTAACTTATTTCAGTCTACAAACCGAATATCTGAGGCTGCAAATGTATGAAGCATAGTGATTGCATATGCTTATCGTAAAGTAATCATTTTAAATTTAAATGTTAAATTCAACGATATAAATTTAAAACAAGCTACCTTGATTTACACCTAGCCTTGAGGTACAGTATACAGTAATATTATGGTTCTGTAACCAATGCGGATAACTCTGGTATGCTCTGCATTTCTTTAGTTAATTTATGCATGAGTGCACGATATATAAGTATGCACGCGTATGTTCTTCGATTGTGCAGTACATGTTATCAAATTATAAATATATTCATTTATTATTGAGTCATCGAACCTTCCCCGACATCTATTCTTCGCTTTGACTCTGAATAACGCACTGATATCCTTATTAACAAGCGTACACGCACCTGTTCGTGATCTATCTCTTTCATTAACGAATCTATAACATTACATACAGTAACCGTAAAGCACTTTCTGCAACTTTTTACTCTAACAATAGCATGTCCACAGTAAAAATACTTGTATAACATCAATATTGATAAACATGAATAAAATTATTATTGCAATTTACAGCTATTATAGTGATATCTGTGTAGTCCTTCGTATTTTTTAAAATTATTAATCAACTATCGCGTCAATCTACATGTTGTTTATGTACTGCACAGTACTGTATATTCGAATATTCTAAATCAGTAGAATCCGTAAATTATGCGGTGCAGACGATCAGATTCAGACTCTGACATTATATATAATTTATTAAACAATTTACGATCCTAACCCAAATTCAGTCCTGTGTCATTCATATCTAAATTAATTATAATTATTGGCCATAGCAAATTCAACACGAACTTATTGAGATAAAGCCTTGTTACTATGTTTACGTTCTCAGTAATGATCATTTTATTTTACCGTTATTAACGTTTAAACAATATTAGTATTGAAATACTAATAAGCGACTCTTTCGCAGCATCGTTAGCTCCAAGATTACTACACAGTGCCATACAATCAGTTCTGCATGCACAGAGAATGGCAGTTTCACCATGGTTCCACAATGGTATATTTTATTGTCATATTAGATATCCATTAAGTAACAGTACCCCTATACGTTAGTTTACAGAATTACGCAACTTTTATACAGTATTCTACCGTCACTGTTAAGTGCATTGATTCATCTTTCAGAAAAGAGCTGTAAGAACTGTCCGCACTCTGCAGCTTGACGGCGATCTAATAATTATAAATACTCTCTCATCCTACAGAGTGACAACAAATTTACTGAACTGTTAACCGTTGATTACTTAGAATTTACAGTAGTAATCCATGCCTTAACCTGTTAATGTTGTATACGTATTATTATATAGTGTAAGCCCACCGCTATCAACGATTATGAAATGCTGTCAACGAGCTGAAACTTGAAATTTATGTTACCATGACAGAGTACAGTATAGTAGATCTTGTACTACATTAAATTTAAAAATTAATTTCAATTGACTACTATTCCACCCGCCACAAAAATGTAACCTGATTTCTAAATGGAATGTGTTGCTGAGCATGAAGTGTATAAAAAGACGAAAAATGAGGCGTTAAGTTACACTCCAAGTGCCCTACGGCAGCCAGAATGTATTGCAAGATATACAGTCGGCTGAAGGCTGAGGGGTCAAATCGTATCATAAATCGTGAAGTGTTGCAAAAAATTTCTTGTCATTCGTCTGGTGCCGTGACTTGCAAAGCATAAGATAATCAATTTCCTCTAGTTAGGCTCTTCAATTTTGCTTTACAATGCGGTAAATGACAATGTTATGATTAGGATTGCTATTCGAATGTATTTCTTTTACCGTTAAATTAATAATGCAGCTACACAGTGCTGTATATCGTATCCTACGTTTTACAGTACTGTACAGTGCAAGTGTACAGTATAGACTATATAGTATAGTACTGTATAGTATACAGTAGGTACAGTAGTTGAGTATTGCTGTAGTTGAGATCGCGATACACCTAAGTGTGATGTGAATTAAAGGAAATTTGAAGAAACTGTCCGTACAATATATGGTATTAATGTATAAATAAATATAAATAATAATCAACTATCGGATTATAAAACTCAATCTTACCTTTGTAGTTTACTCATATTTCATAGTGAGGATATCATAGGGGTTTCCCAGTGTCTGCAATCGTTGGTTGTACACTTTGACTATGATGATGAATACAGTAAAAAAATGAATTATTTCACAAGTTGTCAACACTAGCAGGATTGTTTATGAGTATGTGTAACTACAGTAGTGTACGTACACTGTACAGAAGTGAACAGAACAGTCGTGTGTAAAAACTCGGAGTACAGTATGCCAACTACTGTAGTGTAATGTACTGTACTGTACTGTCTGTACTGTACACGGTACAGTATTGTACTGTACACTGTACAGTACAGTACATGTACAGTACTGTACAGTACTGTATGAATACAGGTTCTCGGGTGTACTGTACACTGTACAGTAGGCCGGGCCCAGCCATAATAACCCCGATTACTCAGATACTCAGCGTAAATGCCTTAGACTCTTAGAATAATGTACAGTATCATCGTTTAAGCTATTTAAGCTGAGTATCTGAATAATCGGGGTTAATTGTACAGTGTACAGTACAGTACAGTACTGTACAGTGTACAGTACAGTACAGTACTGTACAGTACAGTTTAAGCATGGCTTCTTTTGTAACGACAGTTTACAGTACTGTACATAAAGTTCTTACCAAGAATATTTATCTGAAACTGTCCAGTGTCCGTCCAATCCGCCAGTAGAACAGTTTCAGCTTAACATTCTACAGTAAGAACTTTTATGGACCAAACACAGTACTATCAACCTGATGCTGTACGGTACTGTACTGTACACTGTACAGTACAGTGTGATCCAGGTTATCAGCACATACAGTATTACTGTACTGTACTGCAGTCTGCCTATACGCGCATTTTTTTACGAAATCCGAAAAATTCATTTTTTATTATACTGTACTGTATGCGTAGAAATGTCGATTGATGTACTGTACGTATATATTATGTTACATTGGTTAATACTAAAGTATTTCATTTCATATTAAAGAATCGAATAAGAAAAAGATCACACTTTACAGTAGAAGTCCATGTACTATACTGTACTGTAGGTACGGCCTCTAGTTCTTCGTATTGTACCCCTCTGACAGGCATCACAGAGATACAAAAAGTATTTTCTCTTTTGATATGTGGCGACTACACAGTGTAGCCCTAGACAGAATGCATGGAACTCATTGTAAACTGTACTTCGCTTAAATTGCTCTACTGATACATTATTATTACATACTGAACAAAGTATTCCAAAAATCGAAAGTTTTTTTAGGGAAGGGATGCAGCTGCGAAATCGGGTTTGCGCTGTTGGCATTTTGGATATTTCGATTTGTTTTTTGAATTAATAAGTCTGTTCGATGTAATAAATCTGTAAATCTGTATTAATAATAATAATTATTAATACTGTACATCTGACTACGGACTAGCGTTCTGCAATCGGAGTTGGTATTTAGTCGAGTGGGGGGTACTGAATACTACAGTACTACAGACTGTACAGTACAGTACATTATAGTGTACTGTACAGTACCGTACTGTAGAGTGAATACAGTACAGTACAGTACTGTACTGTAAACAGTTTAAACAGTAAAGACTATAAAATCAGGTAGTGGCATACGCATGCACAGCACACGCATAATTATACTGTACTGTACTACTATAGTAATATTGTTATTACAGTACTGATGAAGCAATTTCCCAACTTGAAGTGTTGAATAATACTGTGAATAGTCAACGCTGCAGTAAATAAAAAGGTTTTGAAAGAACCCGATTGTCGCTTAAAGTAGTGTACACTATAGTCTATAATTAATTCAGGCAAAGTGGTCAGTGACACTGAATTTTAATTTTACATTCAAAGTGTGGTATAGCATTAGAATTAATTCGCATTTTCCAGCTACAATGTCCTCAGATAGGAAGAAGAGAAGTGAAAATTTTTCATATGAAGAGACTAAATGCCTGATCGCTATCTGGAAAAGTAAGGTAATAGAACTAAAGAGCCTTAAAAGGAACCATCACGTATTCAATGTCATATCAGAAGAAATGCATAAACTTGGCTACGATCGAGATTCACAGATTATACACTTCAAAATCAATAATTTAACACAACAATATCGGTAAGTGCTTAAAATAGCTACATTGCAATCAATAGCTTTGCATTTATGTAACTGCATAGAATGATATAGTCAGGAACTAAAGAATAGTACAAGTCTCTACAGTACAAGACGCATTTTCAATCACAGCTCGATTTACAGTATCTGCACAAATGAAATCATAGTCATCGTAGCATGGATTACAAAAATAGAAGTGGACATACAGCAATATTGATTGACGATACTGCTGTTCTATCGGCATAGTTTTACTGCATCGATATTAAATTTTATATGCCTTCGATTACTGCTATCACTCACCTTAAAGGTACTATAGCCATTTTAAAAACACTGGGAAAGTCGATTAGACGTTGTTTAAACAACGGATTGTTTTTAAATCATCTCGTTTATATCATCGTCTTATATACTGTGAAATGTGCAGGCTGCATAATCCGATGATCACACTGAGCACAATGCACTTCTCAATTTACTACATTGAATAGTATTTTTTTGATATGTCATTGATGCAATCATGCATTGATAATTTTTTTCACTCATATGAAGTCAGTAGTAAATTTAGTACCATAGAATAATAACAATCGTAACAATACAGTACCACAACGTTTATGATTAGACCAAACAAGTATCTTCTTGTTTTATTTTCTACAGAGATGATAATGAATTGTTTTGGACATAGTAACTATTTTGTAGTTACATTTCACTAGTCAAAGCTGTATATCGTAATATGATTAGTTCCAAAATTTGCCAATTTTCGAAAAAGATGCTATTTCGGATAGTGGCTAATTTCGAAAGTGATAATTCGGTACAACATTAAATAGTTCTTACTGCCCGCACTCTACAATAGCGTTCAACAATACATCTTTCATGACGTATATTTCTTATATATATATATATATATGTATTACCCGTGCATCACTTTATACGACATTGTGTAGCAGGTAGGATACCTGATACTTAACTCTTCTCCGCGTAACTTATTGATTAAACTAGAAAACTACAACGCAAACTACAATCTGGCGCGATTTCTCATGCGGATGTCAGCCTACTGTGGCCGTTCTTTTGCCCAATTGAAGAAATTTTTAATTCAGTAATCCATTTTTCAGAATCTGAACAAGATAAGATCTTAACGAATAATATATCCTTAGATAAAATCGAAACCAATAACGTAACGCACGACATTCATCAATCTATTCCTCTCTTTGCCGACATGACTCGTGATAATGAACGAGTTTCTATGAACGACCCTAAAGATAGTATTAGAGGTGAACATGACGAACATTTGGCAAGAATGCGCTTACTTAACAAGGCAGAAAATAGACAGTTATTGAGTCTTTCTAGGAAAAGAAAAAGAAATCTAGAAGTCGACGACGTATTGGAAAATTTACTTAAAATGCAACAAGACTTTAATTTATCGTTATCCAAAATTCACAATGACCAAATGACAGCATTAAATCGTTTGATTGAGCTACAACAAGAATCTAACAATATACAGAGCAAAATGCTGAAGTTACTAGACAAAGCCGGTTAACTTGATCTTAAAAATAGAAGTATATATCTATATATATATATATATGTATAACTTATATATTATATGTATTTCTGCCATATATTAAAGCGATTTATTCGATTGTTACAAGATCTGATTCCACTAAAATAATTGTAAAAATATAATCACGATGATATCGTATCTATCTATTAGATTGTCATGTTTTTCTATATCGAATTACTTACGGTACTCTTGCACAAATGACAGTTAATTAAGGTAACACTTGATGCTGTGAATAGCGATATGGCACCGTAAGAAATATATGCACATCTTATATTCATATCTACACGATTCCGCTTGATGCACCCGACCTTCAGTAATTCTCGAAAATTTTTTGGTAATAGTCGTAAATATTTAGACAGTGGTTTATTACTACTTTCAAGCTGAAATAATTGTATACACCTTCATAGAGATTCATGAAAGGTATCACCTATATATCTTACCATTTTTGAACTGATATAATTATCATTAATATAGCTATTGTATGCGTATTGCACACATGTTAATAGTCTCGTAACTAATATACCACGAGTACGTGATTGTATTTATCACCTTACTCTTAATACAATGCACACATATTGTACTAAATTATAATTATTTATTGAACTAATATGAGTGCGATATAATATATTTTATTTTATCGTGCATACTTATTTTTACAAAGTATTATGTAATTAATTACACTTCGTTTAGTGCATTGCAGTAATATACGTATAAGGAGTTGCGTAACTTATTTCGTTTTTATTTAAATGGTACAAAACTGTTCGAGCAGAAGTATAAAAATTCAGATACCAGAACACGTGCAGATCATTGATCAGATATTAGCCGAATACCAGTTGGTATCAAATCCTGAAACCTGGACGGTATAACTTAATTTCGGTGCGATAAAAATACTGTAATAATATCTAAGATTACTACCACAGAGAATTACAGTAACAGTAAATTTTATTATAACTAATACCAATTATCAAATTATATAATATATAATTATATGCGCATATGTACGTATCACACATATTATATGACGGTAATGTTTCACAGTAAAATATGCATTAATCTGTTATAAGAACAATTTCGTGTGATAGAAATAACTATAAATGAAAATGTGAGAGACTGATACTTTTGTGTGACTATGCATGGTACAATTTCTAATGCAACATGATTTACACGATAAACCGTTAGCCATACTACAGTATAACAAATATTACTGTATAGTACGTACATATAGATTAATTGACCCTCTGTTTCTATATCATAAATTAAAGCCATAATACGTGTACTGTAAGACCCGACACGTTATCGGTATCTTTTAATTAAAGATTTGAATAGAGAAATTTTATTTACCACTGATACTTTCGATATTACAATTCCACGTGGTTAGTAATAAATACCATACCGTTTCAGAGTATATACTATAGAAATAGACGTTTAAATATTTCTAAATGGAAATGATAAAGAAATTTCATTCGGCAATATTATTTGTACAGTATAATACTGTAATTTCCACTTCGCCGAAGCACTCAGCAAACTGAGTATTATACAAATCTGAATGATTTAATTGCTACATGTTATCATTGATTCGTTATTGAGCTAGTTTTAATAAAGGAGTTGTTTGATATATATTACGATATCAGTGTCTGTTTGGGACAAGTACGCTATACCCGTATGGTTATGACTCCAAAGAGCGCCTTTGTTTGTCAGCTAAAGATTATAGCCCTGCGCATACTAGAATTTGACATATTAATTAGATGACAAAGCGGTCATATTACAATCTCAAGTACAGTATAATCAAGATCAAGTTAAATTTTTCGTTATGGAATTGGTTAAGATTCTTTCATCACCCCCGCTGTTAGCTTGGGCGTATTCTGGAAATAGCATTTTTATTAACCCTTTAAAATTTACAAGCGATAATATGGATAATATCTTAATATCATTTAGCACTTCAGATTCGTATCCTGCTCCCTTAATAGCCCAAGCATCCCACCAGAATATTATTTAATAAATAATAATTATCCAGCAGTCAACAGTATTACTTCAAAAGGTTTAAATTTATTATCACGTACTGTACAAATATTTAAAATGATTAAGGAAAATGTCTGTCTATAGCATGAAGATCCTTTATAATTAAATTACTTAAAACGACCAATATTATTAGTGATTCTTATTGCATGGTTATTAAGGCAATTTTACTGCTTCTATATAAAATTGTGTGGCCTTATCGTATAATACTGTACTGAATCTGATATCTGATCGAACGTCAATACAAATCTTGGCTCTACGAATTTTAACAAAATAAGAAGTTATATTATCGCACATGTACGATTTGTAAATAAAAAGCAAAGTGTCGATAACAAAAATAAGCAGTAGTGTAAGTGATTAAGTTTAAATAACTACTAATCACTAAAATAAGCGCTACCTAGAGTCAGTATATAGAATTATGGACATATTGATTTTTCGTATCCATTATTCTATTCTAAGTCGATAAATCTGGTATCACCATCGTTCAACGCCGTAACCTATGTCGTATTCGGTATGAGATAATAAATTATTATTGATACATTTCCATGTTCTAGTTTTTCGTTGGCAAATGCAACATCCTATGTGCTAATCATGAATATTATCTTGGTTGATAATGAAAGTATCGGTCTTGCGACGATATATGCGGGTACTTTATGCAAGTCCAGAAGCTTGCAACTGGGCTTTAAATTCAGTAATGGTATTTCTTCTGCTAGCAATCTTTTCTTTACCAAATATTATGAGCAATGAATCAACTAATATTTCCATAAATTCGAACACTGTTAATACCGATATACCAATCCATAAGCCTAAGACACCACCGATGTCGCTAGCTAGGTCAATTTCCTAGTGGCAACAAGACGATTGATTTAAATAAATTGATCACATGAAATTTCTGGATAGAGCTCCAAAGTGATAAGCTATACATGGTTAGGGCTATATCATCAATCCCATGTTCGTGCTATTAGTTTTTAATATTACTTACTGAGTAGCGTGGTGTTTGCTCGATGGTTTCAAAATTGAGTTCTTCATAATATATATTTACCGCTACCAAATTTTTTCTGAGAACAATAGTACAGGATATCAGTCATGTCTGATGTTAGAGTATTCGTGACGGTAAATACTGTATGCAATCTTTACAAATTAATAGCACCTTGAAATATCTTGCAAGACTATAAATAAATTCAATCTTATCGTAGATCTTTGATATGTAACAAAAATTCTAGCTAGAATTAACTATTTTTAATTTTATGACACTGAAGACGCGATATACATATAACAAATCTTTCAAACTTGAATTTAAATTGTGATACCTGAGAAATGGTGTCACAGTCTTTCTTGTAAGTTGAAACTTAGTAAGATCTCTTTTAAAATACTCCAGTAAGTCGTTGTTGTTATCCTGTTATTAGTAGAAAAATGCAATACACTTTTACAGTTAATAATTGTATACCTTAATATTTTATATCTAACATAGATAAATATACCTTAAGGGAAATTACAAAATTAACGATATCGGTTTAAACATTTTACGATTATAAGTATATGGTATGCATAATTTCATATTTTATCATCTATATGTATTTATGAGGCATCCAACCTGGTCGACCACACCCTATTCTCGAATTGATGCCTCAAAGATTATCAGTTAGTATGACGATAGATAACAGTATTTCGGGTTATTTTTATTCTACTAATAAGCTATTAAACACCATCTAAAATATTTCCGTAACCATCATAAATCATTATTTTGGTAGACAACTGGCTATTTATACGTTTATGCCTTATGTCTTTGGTAACAACATATAATCTTAATTCATAACACTATTCTTACCAAGTTAACCTCCGATGGGAACTGCGCTTGCGATGTGGTAGCCTCGAATGATTGTTCGCTACATCAGGATAAACATACGTAAAGTACATATATCATGAGAATTGATAGCGTTGACTATTAATGTATTCAAAATGGTCCTTATCTCAATGTTTATGCATACTTGCATGCTCGCACACATCCACAATTTATTTTTCCAGCGATGAACCTATTTTGCAATCTAGACTGACAGTTGACTGTAAAAAATGAACCGTACACAATTATGCTATCATTTTTTATTTCGTTGAGTTTTGATTTATTACCATAATCTATTCACATAATACAGTCTAACAGTATAAAATAGAAGAGAGATTTAATATAAAGTACTTACTTTCCGTTTCATTTTTTAAGCTACAAACTTTCAGCCCTTTGGTTGAAGAGGTGAAGCTATATCTTGCAGCTATGCAGCCGCACGTTTTATTCTGCAGACTTGCAATACAGCTCTTGATACATCCCTTTATTTAAAATTTTTTTGCTATAATTACTGATATATGTCTTGATATATCATAGTAACAGCCAAACTTTGTAATAAACTGGAAACTACTTGTTGTTATTAATATATACTCGTTCATATAAATATGATAGCAACAGATACGATTACTATATCATTACATCAGACTTTTAAAACTTGTAAAAATTCTTAAAAGCTCTAAGGTCCTTAGGCTAACGATAGATAATTCTGGTAATCTAAAATGTACTCAAACACTCAAGTTTACCGTATATCTCAGTCCATACTATCAATATATTAAAAATTAATATACTGCAACATCATTTTACCTTATAGCTGTAACGGTCAGAACCATTTTCATATATGTTCAAAGTCTTATTATTTGGGGGATGTTTTAGACAGCCTTCTTTATTATAGGGTGTTGATAATCGGGAGATATTTCTCTAAAGATACAATGTAGTAATATCGTTTTACATTCTTATAGGTTATCATATAAAATGGTAAAAAGCCGTCATTTATAGTTATTAAGGAATTTATAGTAACTTTTTTGCCCTAATTAATCATCAGATTCTATTATGAATCATATCTTTCCATAGCAGATACTGAGAAAACGATAACCGAAACCTCTAATTGATTGCAATTGAATTCAATCCCCATGATACGCAATGGACGTCTCTTACCATTTTGAGTCCAATGGAAGTTAATGCGCCTGGAGGAACATCAAAGCCTTCGTCTTCAGGGTTTGGACGTACTCCTTGAGGAGTAACTGCGATCCTTACTCCTGCAGTTGGCACTTCTCGACTAATATATTCGGCTTTATTAATATCTAGATATAGCTGTAACCCTAAAAATAATATTTAATTAATAGACCATTCCTTAAATCCATCATTGATCTGTTATTATCAAGAATGGAATAGATAACAGATACAGACATGTAGTACTTTGATATTAAAGAATGTAGTATTAATTGAGTAAAATATAAGCAGTTTACTGCCACTCACCAAATAAAGGTCCAGGGTAATTAACTGACTCAATTCTTTTCCCCCGTGAATTGCCTGTGTTAAAGCTAAAACAATTGCCATAAAGGTAATTGAAGGAGATGGAAAAATTGCTTGTGAACAGTAAAAATAAAAACATAAGTTAGTACGATATTACAAATTCAGGCTGGCTAATAAGTGGAGATTACTTAGAATACAATATTGTAAGTAGCAGTCCGCATAAAATTAGAATTTTTTTAATAGAAGCATTACTTCGCGGCACATGGTTTCTGTTTAAAGGTACACTTTGCAATAAAATTAGAGGCTTGCGTTCCAAGTTCATACATTCTTTGATCTGTCAACCTATTAAATAACTCTGCGCTAATTTCAGAGAAAAGATGATAGTTTTCATGACTTTTATCCAAATTTTCAAACTGAACACCAGGTGGTGGAGTTGGACGATCAATATTTTCATTCACATCACTGCTCAGTGATTTCTTAACTCTCGGTAGTGACGTTTTAGTTCCTGTTGGTGTAGCTGTTTTCTCTGATTCCTTTGTTGATCCAGCTGCAGTACCTCCTTGCGAGTTTGCTGCAACCGTACTAGCAGCCGCAGCCGCGGTAGCATCTTGCGGTACCTTATTGGTAGGTAAGGGGGTTGATGAGTTACTATCAGACTGTCCCACAGTGTTGTTGCTTAGCGATGAATTATTAACTAGAGGCGATGTTTGTGAAGTGTTAACTGATTCAAAATCTCTTCCATACAGTGGTCTAAATATTGGACGTTTGATCATCTCACTTCTTAACATAGGATTGAGATTACAAATAGTAATAACTGGGAAATCTAGTTGAGGCTTGAAAGAAATTTTCAAAGTAACATCATATTCAAAACGATAGTATTTCTGAACAAGATCCACTGCCATAACAGTGCAAAGGGAAATCGCTGCTATGGTTAATATAGCCCATAGGATTCGCGCTTGTGTAGTCTGTGCTCTAGCCATATTGGATATACCTTGAGCCCCACAATCTTCAAAGCCTCTAGATACGGTTATAGCCAACAATCGCTTCTTCCTAACGGATATTCCACCGTTATGTTGACTGAAAATTATATTAAATTAAAAAAGGCGAGTAGCGAAATTAATTTTTTATCCTTTTCATTATAAACTATTTTATTGTATATATTACTTTACATCCTACAAAGCATAGTTTTTAGGGATCTAGAAGAGACCAATCAATTAATTAAAATTGAAGTTTATAATATTTACTAGTTTTTATTACTGAATCGAAAAACAACTTGAAATCAACTTTGATATTGTAATTAAAATACATATAAAATAGTGAATTGTCAAGTAGATACAAGTACGTATGTTTATAAAATCTCAACTGTATTCTTGTAGTCTTAAGACACTTGTAGCTTAGTGTGTCAATGCTAATGTGTATCAATTTTTATGGCTATGAACATGAAATCTTATATATTAATCATAATCTTTCAACTTTGTGCTACATCATTTCTAAAAAATTTCGAAATATTATTAATTTACTAAATGATACTGATTCTCTACACTCATTGAAATTTTAAATTGAGTATGAAGATGAGATAACTAATCATAAGAAAATATTACGGCACGATTTTAAAATATATCCCTTTTAATGAAGATATGAAACTGTTATAATTTTTTGATCCATAGGAATAGGATTATTACCTCATAACCTTTAACTGCTTGGTTGGCATTATAGATTCAATGTTCAACGCAACTTCTGAACGAAAATTTCAACGCGAAAGCTGTTTCAGTATCGTTAATAATCATTTACCACTATTTCCAATGATATTGAAAATATAATAATTTAGACTAAAATTGATGCGGTAAAGAACTTAATAACTGTAATATGTAAGAAGAACAAAAGAAATTTGCCTTGTTGTGATTATGTAAAGTTTAATTCTTGAACAAAATACGACAGAAGGTCGTTTGATATAAAAATATAGTATTATATTATCGCTATATTTACCTTAAAAAAGAAGTCATTGTTAAAGAATCAATTAAGTTAATATGCCTTTATTAACGCTTGCGTCATGTGAGCAGAGTAGATCCAGGGCATATCGAAGTCATTATTACGCATTATATAAAATAAAAGAGAACTACGTCAATTGTAACCGCTGCTATGGTAATAAACAATGGATAGATGACGTTTTAATAATATATATCCAATTAATGTTTTATCGAACTAATCAGGCTAATTTATATCGATTTTAATAACTATAATATAACTAATGCAGATAATTTAACAATAACAATAACAGGATGGACTGAGTTATGAGAGCCTATAGTATCGTAACCCCTTAAGTAAACCGTAAAGATTACTTCACTCGCTTTATGAATAACTATTAGCTATCTAAATTATGATATTGAGGTTTAGCTACGATGGGGCCATTGATTAATTTATAAATATACCACTGTAATACTTTCCTAATTCTGAAAATTGGCATCCTATAAGTATGAGATTTTAGCCTACAGCGGCAACTTATTTACATATGTGCACAGCTTCATGATTTCATAAGCAAATAGTTACTATCTTTGATGGTTATATTTAATTACGTATGCAGTAATTACTAAATTTAATGTAGGTTTTTTAATTGATATCACGTTTAAACCTACAAATAATTTTATTGTTTTAAGATCATTAACCATTGGTTAATAATTTTGACGGGATGAGCTAACGAAGCAACTCCTACGTAAAAATAGATAATGTTACACCGCTTGTTGTTTCATTATCTAAAATCGACTTACGTATAACTAAATTAGCGGTACAGAAGATAATACAATACTGAAGAAAAAGTATAAAGCAAATATTTCTGTTGTTCCATCCATGCGAATGATTAATTCGACATGAACTAAATCCTTAGATAATTTGCGATACAGATTTTAATCATATTGAAAAGAATTATCTAAAATTAATTTATCACAGTATTACAATAATTAATAACATTATTTAATAAGTCATTATCAATTATTTGATCATGCATTCTGGCATGCCCTTTCCAGTAGCAGTTCAAGATTTGAACTTGCGACTAGTTACATGTAATATAAACTATTCAAAACACTGCATTATATTGCTGGTGGTAACGAATTATAAATTTATCAGAAATTATTTAATATAAATTAAGAATTAATTGTAGCTCCTTACTTTTATTAATTATAATGACCATAATACAGTGCAAATAGTTCTTAGAAAGTATTAATTTACAGCTACTAATTCAGTTATACTTCGTCGGTATTTGAGATTATTTCACAGTCTATAGTTTGATATACTTACAATATACAATACATGCATATATCGCTACAATTTATTAAATTATTTTGATTGTCTACATTTTAGAAACCTTAGACAATCACTTCAGTTGTTATAATAATCTGTCATTGGAAGTTTAATTTCTATCAAGATACATCTTACCGATAATATATTTGTTACGATATTAATATGTTCTTTAATTGATACTGTAAAGCTAATGATCACTTTACTTTCATTACCCTAATATACCTTATATGTCGACGCTTTCGTTACTTACTCTACTCTTTAAGATAATCAAACAATACTATAATTTAAGCTATAGTAAATTATCAAAAAAATTTAAAACGAATAGGCAGTGCTGTTAACAGAAATAATAAAGAACTAATGCAGTTCTAAAGGCAGACACTAGAAGTTTTATCTAAGAAGAAACATCCAAAAACGTAGTACGTATTCATACAACCCTGCTTTAATGTACATTTATTATGTATTATTCTATTGATATCAGATTATTGAAGAATAATAGAGCTCTATCTACTTAAAATCCTACCATTTTTGTAATTGATCTTGTGAATTGTACAATAGTAATAAGCCAGAATGCTTAGCAGGGTATAGTAAACTAGACTCACGTCGTAATTCCGTAAATGTAGCTACTAAAAATATCTGAGTTTGCATTTGCAACTATCAAAATCGTATGAGAAAACCGAATGAGTACGGTATGCTGTTACAAAATATAACTATTCTTCAATCTTAGAGCGCTCTATTATGTCAAATATAGATACCAGTTACCAGTTTCACTGTGTTAAACAGGTGGTTTTACTTATAGACTGAATTCAGTATCGAGTAATTTGTGATGACTGGTAGGTCTAATCTTTCTCATACTGTTTTTTTAAATGATACTATATACTTTGCAACATCAAGCCTGCGATTTTCGCGATGACGTTGTGGTATTACTTTTCTATCAAATATAACTACTACGTACCAATATACCGAATATAAATACGGTATCTGTGGTCTTTTAATATTGCAATATGTCAGTACTAACTATAAAATAGTACCTTCAAACATAGCAAAATTTAAGAAACATTCAGATAACTACTTAATTTTGATGTACGTATTACATGTGCATTACCCGATCTTAGTATACCTAGATTGGCCTAGCAATAGTCATAATTATTTATAATGCACGTTACCGAGTGGCCCAATGCATAAATATGCTATATGTTAACGATGATAATTAATTAAGTAATTAATTAAAAATAATAAGATTTAAGCAGAGAAATGAGAGATATCCGACAGCTGGATTATAAGATATAAATTACAGAAACAATTCAAACTATTATTTTAAATTGAATATGCAAAATATGAATATGCTGTTTCAGAGCTTTTACTGCATAAAATTGTTATGCTGTTTTATTATACAATACTCGAGTAAAGTTGATAACCTTCGCGATAACGCAGTTTATCAAGAACTTTACAACGATCATAATTGCTTGCTATCTCATACTGGATATAAAACTTACAAATAGCAAATATAGCAACATGCTAATTACGTATGCAAAGCCACGATAACTCCATATAAACGTTCTATTGAGTACATGATGATTATAATGAATTTTCGATATACAGTATTTTCCCCATTACGCGTATAGTACATTATTCACACGAGCAGTATTGCACTGAAGCTATACCGCGCTTAAAACGTTTCAGTAATATCCATCGTTGCAATTAGTAACCGTGCATTTTTTTTTCGGCAGGGCGATTCGATCGCATCATTTTTAGCAGCCAATAAACCTAATTCATGACGTCCATTATTATATATTGCAGTTAAGAAGTTTCATTAACAGTAGTATCATTCAAGATAAAGATACTATAATATGTATAATTGTAATTGATAAGCAAAGTAATTTAATTCAATATGAAAGTACAGTACAGCACTGTAAGTCGCAAAATAGACCTTGATCAACAAAATATCCTATCAGCTGATCAGCCTTGAATGTAGTCATATTGTAGGAGATATCTGCTACAACATCACATAAAAGCTTGAGCTAATTATAATTATAATTATTATCTACTGATTGCCATCTCAAAATAATTACTTCGAATTCTGTAAAAACTAAGATTCATACTTATTGTTGCAAAACGCGTATAAGCTAAGAGGTACTGAACTATATTACAAGATAGTCTAGTAACTGTTACATGCTTTTTACAACATCGTTACAATTTTGAATCAGCCATGATTGAATCTTAAACCTGCACAAGGCCCGATTCAAACCAGGCTGAAACGCTAAAGTCCAAATCAAATTTCGGTAAATTGATATTCCGTACTATAAGTTGCAGCCATAAGCAAATGATCACTATTTGGTGTATACTAGCACTAGTATAGCCGTGAACGCCTTTGCTACTCACTGGTAAATCCTTCACTTAGTAACTATCTGAAATCAGTAGCGCCTATAATTAACATTTGTCGACCACGTTAAAAGTAACTCATTTTTGCATTTGCATATAATACGAGTATAGACCGTGAAATGAAATTGATGCGAAAGTACAATCGATATTGCAATCATTAATTTTAAGCTTTGTTCGCATATGTATACAGTTCGTGTAAGTCTTACTATACTGCAATTATAACAGAGCAAGCTCTAAGAAGTGAACAAGGCTAAAATTGCAGTTTGACTCCGTTCCGAGTCGAACCGTAGGGATAGCTAATAATTACAGTACAGTATAACTTAACCATAACCTGAAATGAGACAATATACTGTACAGTACTGTAAGGCATTAGAATTAACGTACAGTACTGTACTGTACTAAGTTAATTATAATTTACAGTTAATTTAATCAAGATGACGTCGTGGTTTTTAAAATTAACCTATTTTTCATTTATCAATGTCATTATTAAGTTTTTAGAACATAACCAAAAGGATACAAAAGCCACTATATGTAGTGAAACCATAAAAAATATGAACTCCATTGTATATTCCGTTAAAAATTTCGAGAGCATTTTCAAGCCGTGGTGTGGTGTTCCGATGAGCTACAGTGATCGATTTAGCTGACAAACCGTAAAAAATGCAGTACAGTACACTACAGTGAGTTGCTTGGACTGTAGCCCGATTTTCGTGCCACTCACAGTTCAGTGTACAGTACTGTACAGTACAGTACATAGTACAGTAAGAAAGGATTTATTTGTACTGTACTGTACAGTACAGTACAGTACTGCAAAGTACTTGTACCGTACAGTACAGTACACTGTAAAGTGCGGTGGCGGCGTGGCCCGAAACTGGAGTACTGTACAATTTCTCCACAGAAACGCCACTTTTGGTTCACTTGTAGTACTAGCTGGAAAGTTAAAACATAGACATCGCTGAAACACTCGTATGTTGTCATGTGCAGTACAGTATAGCCATTTCTTTTACTCGTCATCCGTATGGAACAGGTATTTTACCATGTAAAGCTAAGATTTTGCAGCTGCTAGATTACTGCATAACTGGACTTTGCTGGGTTTGTTTGTGTTTACAGCGAGCACTCATGTAGAGGCCCCGGCCCGGTGTATGTGGCGAAGGTATTTATTACCATGAATTTCTTTGGTAAATTTCTTTTTGGCAGCGAAACATTCCATAACACTATCATTTCCATGCGGATTCAACGTTAATGAAGATGGACGATCATACGATTTATCTGGAACAAATCCATCAATCACATGGCACTCTTGTTAACCTAAGTCATAGAAAATTAACAGTACTACCAAGTACGTTAGATAAAATGTTGGCAGTAAAAAAATTGTTTCTAAATAATAATAATCTTATAATGCCACCAGATGAGATCACAGCTCTTGCTAGATTAGAGGTACTAGTACTCGATCACAATCAGTTAACTATATTACCAACAGGGATATCGAAGCTAAAATACTTGCGTACATTAGTGTTAAGTAACAACAAACTTTGTCATCTTTCATCTGAAATTGGTCAAATGCAGCTATTAACTAATTTATGGTTAGTTGATGTTCAGTTAATGAGCTTTCCAGAGGAGCTGTGTAAGTTAAACAATTTACAAATACTTTCTCTTCGAAAAAACTCTATTTCCTATTTGCCGGAAGAGATTTGTCATTTGACTAACCTAGCCAGGCTTGATCTAGCTAAAAATCAGATAAAGGATTTACCAAAGACACTAGACCGACTATCATCGCTATGCTATTTGGATATATCACATAATCAACTTCAATCGATGCCGTATTGCCTTGTGTATATGAAGAATTTGAATATAATAATCGCACAATACAATTTTGTAAGTTCACTATCTGATGACTGGGTAATGAAATGTAAATATTTAACGAAGTTTGATCTAAGGGGAAATCCTTTGCAGTTAGCATTTGAGAAATTTCGCGATGTGCTTGAATTACGTACATTATTAATATGCGAAAGTGATGAATATGCAAATATGAATGAAATCAGATCTAGCTGTACATTTGTAACCGTTAGTATAAGCAGTTTGATTAAAAATAGAAGATACTTAAGTCAGAAGTAATCTCATGATGTAAATACAAACTGTATTTCTACATAGAATGCAAGGCTTTGTATCGTGTAAGAGGAAATCTGCACGTCGATATTTGTATATATTGTATAATAAAGTGCTTTAATAAATAAATATATCAAAATAAGGCAGTGTAGCAGATATTATACCATGATCGAGGTCATAGCGTCGTTCATTGCTACCCACCTAATGCAACTACAGTAATATTAAAATTCTACTATACAATTGGAAACGACAAACGAACGATTATATTGATTGAGCTCAGTATAAAATAATCAGATTTTCCTTTTCATATCATTGACCTCATTGTCTGCAGTAATTGATCGCGTCATAGAATGAATTATCTCTAGCTCACAAAATAAGTTCATAGCAAGTCTGTTTCATATATTTAATTGTTTTTATCCGCAATAACTTTAAAATGCACTCGTATTATGGATTGATAGTAATGGTATCATTACAGTATACAGCGTACAGTAAGCAGTATGGAATACTCGTATCTAGTAATCATGTAACTCTTTGTGGATCCCTCTACTTTAACTCAATTGAGGTAAAGTAAATTGACCGTTATCTGCTTTATTCTCAAAATGATGAATACACCCGTCATAAGATCTAATTTCATCTATCGTAGCTTGGGCTATGCTATTTGGAATAATAAAATCTTAAATCTTGAATAAAATATATTTTACTGTATACTGTACATTATCAAAGTTGGAGGAGGGATCTATTTCGCATTGCAATGCCCTAAAAGCTTCAAAGCTGAACTCTTTCTACGGTCTCACTAGGTTGGACTGGATTTAAACAATTTTTAGTCAAATTTCATATGATACTTAGTATTACTTAACAAATATGGTACATACGAAAGCTGCACTACGCTTTAATAATTTCTAGTCTAATTACAAGAATTTAAGAGGTCCAATACGGCATACCCTCACTGTACTACAGTATACTCTCTGCAATTAAATATATCGGAATTCTCTCACTTTTATGATTATACGTTCGCATGTATGAGTAGCTAGTGGATTGTTTGCCAAAAAAGTTGTAATTAGCAGGTTGTTAACGCAAATCATTCTTGAAATTAGGCTGGGCTACATTGGTTGATTCATTTTTCTTATGTTTATCGGAGTACAAGTACTGTACAACGCATAGCAATACTAGTGATTGCTACTGTAAATAATATACGCGTATACTGTAGTTAATTATTTTACCAAGCAATGATTGCAATTTACTTAGAGTGACAGAGATGTTTTGTTAATTTCCTTCTACCGCAACCTTTACTTACACCAGTGATGAAACTTCTAACGGCACATTACTGTCTCGTACTCATACACTTACAAAAATACAAACATCGTGCTAACTCAACTGTTCAAACTCGTTATTAAATCCTAATTTTCCGTTTACTAAATTTTCATAAAATAAAAATTTTACGCATCATCTCTGGCTTGAAGTAACTATATACGTACTCGTAGATATAGCATGAGACTAACTATTACTGTACATTTCCACGGTTATGAATCACTTGAACATGAAAGAAAACTCATACACATGCTCTAATATGCACTCAGATTAATGCCGTAAAGTAAAATTAAGTCGCAGTTCCTTGTCTAATAACAAGTATCATTTTGATTCTAAAGAACAGTGTATCAAATATGGCACTTTAAAACTTAATACTTTAATAAGGTACAGAGAACGCATGCCGTAGACGATGATGAAATAAGTTAAAATAGGCCAGTAAAGTACAGTACAGTACAGTACAGTAAATAGGATCTATCGTTGATAAAAATCAGGATTACTTACAGTAAATAAATTGGGAAATCACGATGATAATAAAGTTGTGCGAATTATACAAATTTCTAAATTCAGATTGTTTCATTGCTAAGGAGATAAAATTAGTAATGGATTACGGCTGATTCACTGGTTTATTTACTTTGAGATTTCAGACGAATTCATAGAAATATTATATAGAATAAAATTTAGTATTAGTCTCTAATGCATATGTAATTCTATATTATACAGCAGTTTCTTTGGGTGCAATGTAATCTTTCGGCTTATTTCTTCTTTGATTCATTTTACGCAGTTTACGTATTTCATCTTCATCAGCTAAATATCCACGAGTGTGAGGATCTGTATAATAGGTCATTTGCTTCGGTTTGGGACGTGCACGACGAGGTGGCAATCGATCAATAAATCTTTCCGGCTTTAGAAGATATCTCAATCCCAATTTGTTATAATGTGCACAAGTAACTTTACCTCCTGCTTGTTCTATCATAGATATAGCTAGCGGAGTTGCTCGAGATACCTCAATATCGAGTTTTGAATTGAATTTATCGGAGTTCTATAATTTTGAATAAGCAAATTTGATACAGTATTAATATAATTTACTGAAAGACAACATGTAATACCAGATTAACAAAGAGCTCATCCATTATATACAAATATCCACCGTTTAATAAGTTGTATTATGTATTGTTGCGCTACGTAAAATTTTATTATAAGATGCTCCTAAAACATCGCAATATGCATAAATTCTAAAACGATCTAAACTACTGTAGGTTTTTTATACCTTCGCTAGCAATTTAACACCGTGGGTAATTTTCTTGCTAACAGCCCCAGAATCGCGTAAAACTTTCATGTCTATCGGTGATTTAGGGTTAATACGGCCTTGATCGATCATTAATTGGAGCTTTCCTAGATCTACGAGCTCATATTCTTTACGAAATTTATTCTTAAAGCCATGTTCTGGGGTTCTTAAATAAAATGGTGTTTGACCACCCTCGAAACCTAAACGAGGTTTGCTAGGATTACGCTGGCCTTGACCTTTATGACCATGTCCGCAAGTTTTTCCACGTCCAGATCCTGGACCTCTACCTACACGTACTGCAGCTTTCCTTGCGCCAGGTATATCTCGTATATTATTCAAAGCTACGCGCGGTAAATTAGCTAAGAGTGATAGATTCTTCTCGATATGTCCAAGGACAGCCGCCATGTTTCTACGCACACCTTACGACTTTAAAGATTACTGTCATCACTATTGGAGTAGTTTTGAGTACGGTACTAGTGTTACTCCTTTATTACTGTCCTCAGTGTACTGTACAGTACTGTATCGTTCACAGTGCTGTACCACGACCGAGAGATAATCTTAATAACTTATTGGTCGTTCTGTTTCGCTGTACAGTACAGCTGTACAGTATAGTACTGTACAGTACAGTACTGTATGTACAGTACAGAAAGGAAAAGCCTTTACAGTGCTACAGTATTTGTTTGTACTGTGGTTTACAGTACTGTACTGTACAGTACTGTACTGTATTTGGACTACTGTACAGTACTGTACTAACAGGTGTAGTTATACTGTAGACCGTAAACGAGACTGAGATGGCTGTTTTACTGTACTGTACAGTACTGAATACTAGTGATACTGTACATGATTAGTGAATATATTACATATCAAATGACCCTAAAACAGTTCAACATTAATTCCGCCTATGTTACATTCGCGTACAATAATAATACTATTATATTATTTTTTTTTAGAAGACTGACCGAAATTAATAATTAATTACAGTATATTTCGTTCATGGGTTTCACTAGCAATGCTTTGTACAGTACTGTACTATAAAATAAAAGAGGGTTTTGTCAGGGACTACTAAAAGGAAAGAAACAGGGACGCAAAACGGCCGGCAATGCAAAGTAATGTGGAGGCCTATCATTTTTCCGGCCATTCCGACGGGGCTAATTTATATAATCGGTGATTTTATATAACAGCCTCTATAATTTTATACTGTATAGTCGCCGCTCGATAAAATCGCCCATTACATAAATTAGCCCCCTTAATTCTACTATACAGTACTAACGAAACCGTATACCATACTGCACAAAACCAACTTAGCAGCTAATTTGAATGTCAATGTTACGGACAGAATAGTGTGCCGATACGAACATGTGATACAGTTGAAAAACCAGTAAAATAAACGGCCTCTGCATTACTAGTCAACGAACGATTGATTGTTTTACGTCCCTATTAACCCTTCTTAAAACTTTCCTTTTTTAGTACTCCTTAGTTTTGTACTGTACTGTACAGTGTACAGTACATTATGTGCCAGCTATACTGTATACTGTACAGTGTACAGTACCGTACAGTCAAAGCAGAAAGGATACTGTTCCGTACCACCAAAAGAATACTATATTTTTAACTGGTACTGTATACTGTAGTACTGTACAGTTCACTAAATTACAGTACTTCATAAAGTGGTGGATAATTTGCGAACTACCGTACTGTACTGTACAGTACAGTGAGTGTACAGTACAGTACTGTATGCTTTTTCTCATTAGAACGAAGTTTATTATGTACTGTACTGTATGAGCGATTACAGTAAGCGTACTGTATACTCGTTTACCGGTATACAGTACAGTACGTATGTACTACACTGTACTGTATATTATTATTATTTTTTTATGGTCAACTTAGATGCGTAGTCTTATTCAGTTTATATAGCAAGAGAGTAATTAGCAAATTTTAAATTTTCTTTCTAAGGGAAATCAGAAAAGCTCTAGGCATTCCTATTATCGTCGCCGTAAATCAATACGAATACAGCCAGCATACGCGTATGAACTCAATCTTTCAAAATATACCATTATCGACATGAACGGACTCTCGTGTTCAGATATTTGTTGTCTCTTCTGCTGCCCTCCTTGTCCATCTCGGATCGTTTCAAAACTAGCTTTTATGGCCCCAGAACCAACTTATTCTATCATTGAAGACAGTAACGGAAGATGTAAACTAAATTTCAATGATAATGCAGATTGGCAGTATTCAGATCGTGAACAAGAATGTATCGAAGTATTTCATTGTCGTACTAAACGTGGAAATGTAATCGCTTGTATGCTGGTCCGTTGCTCGCTAAGTAGCCGTAATACTCTGTTGTTTAGCCACGGTAACGCCGTAGATTTAGGACAAATGGCAAGTTTCTATATCGGTCTGGGCACACGATTAAATTGTAATATTTTCTCCTATGATTATTCCGGCTATGGAGCTAGTACAGGCAGAGCTAGCGAAAAAAATATATATGCTGATATCGATGCCGCTTGGTTAGCTTTACGTAATCGTTATGCAGTTACACCGGACAGCATAATCTTGTATGGCCAAAGTATTGGCACCGTTGCTACGATTGACTTAGCATCGAGATATGAATGTGCTGGCGTTGTGCTACACTCTCCTCTCCTATCTGGCGTACGGGTTGCTTTTCCAAACACTAATAAAGATATTTGCTGCGATCCCTTTCGGAGGTATGTAAATTAAAATAATAATTCGGTGAGTAGCATTTGCCGAATACCTTCTATTATACTCTAATGCTATTACGATCGCCAATCTCGCTGAATTGCATAACATATACAGCATAAATTCTACGAGTCTTATTCTAACGTTACAATACTTCCTTGATTATATATATAACTAAGATATAAATATATCGATTATAATCATTACACATAGCATCTTGACGCGAATTTTCGTTAGAACTGAAAAAATTAACGTTAGGAGTCATACTCTACTGCTATATGGTTCTGTAACACAGTGCTAGTGCTGCCAGCACATACTTACTAATACAATTTTTGCCTTCTATAAGACGATGCACCATTATAATCATGATTATAGCAGTAAGAGTAGCTTCTTACATATCAGTTTAAGGTACTCACGCATTTCTTTTTCATGAAACACTTTCATTTTGTAATACGTCGAATTATTGTATTGTAGCATTGATAAAATTCATAAAGTTGTCTCTCCCGTATTGGTCATTCATGGTACTGAAGATGAAGTAGTAGATATTTCTCATGGAATAACAATGTATGAGAAATGTCTACACGCAGTCGAGCCTTTATGGGTGGAAGGAGCCGGTCATAACGACGTGGAGTTATACGGCCAATATCTAGAGAGATTAAAAAAGTTCTTTAGTCATGAAATCAATAGTAAAGACAATAAAAAGATAGTGACCTGAGCAAGCATGGCATACTGAAGCTTGTGTTTTATTATGTGGTAAGTACAATACTTATACTTAGTCGAATCTTTCTCATAATGTCTTTTTAACTTAAGTTGCTCTAATAAATCTCAACACGAGATTAGATTATAATATCATGAGTCTGATACAGTATTTAACTCCTAAAAAGCAATACTTTTTAGATGCACACTTATGCCACTTGGATTCTACTTATGATGCATTAAGACATTGCTACTGTACCTCACCGAGTTGCTTACGTACAGTATGTACAGTAGATGTATTAGCGAAACCCCATCTTCTAGCTGTGCTTGCTAGTAGTTGTAAGAGAAACCACATTAGCAGAATGTAGTGCACGTCTTTTTATGCAGTAGGCAATGGGCCAATGGTTTATAATACCATTTACTACTATTTTCATTGTAAATTGCTTATTTATCACAGTACTGTGTTCTTCATTTTCAGGATGACATAGTTACATGAGTTTAATAGGTAAAAGACGCTCGTGATGCATGATTATGTACGACAGTTTCTTATTTTAAAAATAACTCAAAAGCTGATTTTTACTTAAATTTGAATAATTTAATAATTTAAAGCTGTAAGTTAATTCAAGTTAGGTAGTTTTAAAACAATCATCAACTCATCGTAAAGTCTAGAAATAGTCAAGATTTGATATCGGTAACATAGTTTAAATCGATCTCGAAATAATGCGATTGGCACAATTTCCAGCAGAAATGGCACAAATTTTGCCAATCGCACCACTTCAACATCGGTTTAAACTATGTTGCCGATATCTAGTCTTGACCGTTTCTAGACCTAACGATCAGTTAATGACCGTATTAAAACTCCCTGACTTGGATTTAATTTAAAGTTCTAAATTATTAAATAAATTATTTTGATTTATGTGAAAGTTAGCGTTTGAGCTCTTTTTAACGTAAGAAATTGTGCCACATAATCATACATTGCTAACATCAGTTTCGTACCGTACACTAAGTATCAAAAATCTTGGTGCTCTTTACCAATAGTCCAAGTGTGCGGCACTGAAACTGTTGTAACTACGTCATCCTGAAAATGAAGATATTTTACGTTGAATGTCTTTGGAAAGCCCTGCCCTTCAAGAATTACGTACTATTACAGCACTGTTAACTGTTTTCGTTGGTAATTTTATACTTGTTTTCATTGCCTTTCAGTGATGTACGACGACTTTTCTCCTCACTCCTGCAGAAAGATTTCAATTTATTTGACTTCCTTTTATTCCAGAAATGCAATCAATTTATGGTTCCTTGTTGTTACTAACAGCCGGCGATTGAATTCTCTGATCGTAATAGAAAAATTCTAATAACTTGTCTCTATTAGCATATGACGCTCTTATTGTAGAGTTACTAATCATGAGTATTTTATACAATGCTCGATAGAGTCTCTGTCTCTAAGTCATGCTTATCATCGTGTTACTATTTTACTTGTTAGTCTAGTACTCGAATATAATAATTTCCTCTAGAATTCAGTTTAGTAGATGTAAAACATCTTCCTAATCAAGCTTATTGGTAACTTAGTTGTTGTTGTAACACTGCCTTACTACAGTTGATCGCCGATTTGACCGAGCGATGACTGCGGTTTATTTATAATTTATCAAATTATTGACCTACATAGCAATATAATATACGAACATTTTACAAACTTCGTTAAAACTGTGTACTAGACTCTGTATAATCTATATCGTATACTGTATTATACGCCAAAACTACGGTAGTACGTGACTATGAAAAAATTAATTACGTGTACTACTACATTTTATCCTTAAGACCATAAATCATTCATTGATCATCATATACGATGTGTAAATCGATTTCACAAAGAATTTATGATGCTTTTATCGTTTTATGTTTACAAACTTTATATCCGGTAGTTAAATCCATATAATGTATATCGCGTATGAACACGCATTGGCTTCTTATTGACAACTTTAATGATATAACTGCTGCTGTACTCCTATCTTTGGATGTAACGTTTGCATTCGGTTTATACGTATGCCGTCATGCCCCGTGATTATTAAATTGTATTACATAACAATTTAATATAATTATGGCATACAATTGTATTAAACACGCTTCAGCGGACGATTCGTACTTATATTCATGTATTATATTCCTATCCTAAGAAATCCATGAGATTGTTGTTATGAACATGCTGTCTTAGATTCGACAGATTAATATTGTGTTAATTCTTATGGCATTTGAATATAAGATATAGTGCTATACCATTGCATATTAACCCTAACGTAATCTGTTATATATCATTATTCAAAGCTTCAGGTTTATTACATGAATTGGATACTGATGACTTTATGTATAAGTAATCCATTCTTTCATTCTAGGTAATTAATTCTCACCTAACAACATTTAATATACTTCATCAGTCATATCTTATATACAAGTTTCTAAAGTAAATATCCAATGGTTTGTGTTCGTTCATTTCAGGCAAGGATAATTGCCACATAATTATTCCCAGTTTAAAACTTCTCTCAGATTGAATATCCAAAATAAGTTATAACAGAAATAAAATCTACTTACGCAGACTTCGGTATGAGAGCTAAAGATTTTCTGAGATATATCAATCAATTGCATTCTAGAAATACTGTATCAATATCGTTATATTGTAATTCTAAAGACTTTTAGACATACGATAAAGTCCAGCATATAGATTCGAAATGCACCACTGGAGTTACAAATAGTGATTGATAACTGTAATACTGTAGCTACATCCAACTGTACATTTCTCAAGTATCGATACAACTTTAACCTCATTCAAATGGATAACACAGACAGGAGTGGTAGAAGGAAATGGGTACTGTATCGTGATTGTTATTATTGCTATCATTTCCACAATATCGGAAAAACACTTGACGGTGACTAGGCCTACCAGGTCGGTACTCTTTTTATACTATACTGGTACAGGCTCGATCGTACTATAAACATTTTCTGATCGAAGGTGTGCGGCTACATGCTTCAGCAATGTAACAGCTTGCTGGGAAGTAGCGTTCTCGGCTTCCTTTAATAGTAGACTTGCAATACAAGCTATGACACCATCAAAACTATAGACGAGAGCATTTCTTCTCAGCTTGTTGACTTCCTATCATTAGAAAGGATTTATATGGTGAGAAGCATCCGGAGGACGTGATAACGAGTTTTTAAACGTTAACTATAATCTCTAAGAATCTAGAATGTATGTAGGTAAAGCATTTCCGATACAGAATAATATTTCTCTATTCCACACCTTATAAAATGCCTGCTTTTTATCAGGGAGTCTTCTGGCATAGCGTAGTGTCTTCTGAATATCCGACTGAAGTACAATATATCATATCTAATTATATCTCGTAAAATAGAAGCACTTTCTCTATATTTCTATGGCTTACTTGCAACGAATTTTTAGTCCAGATTAAAAATCCTTGGTGGTGATAGCTAAAATAGCCTGCCAAAGGTACCGGAAATGGTGACTCTTCTTCATCCTCATTGACGGTAACATAAGGATTTACATCTTCATCTATAGAAGGTCCTAATTGGGTTAATTCACCAAGCCATGACAATTTAATCGCAGGTTCAAATATGGACAAAACCAAGTTTGACTTCTTTTTAGAATCTGCCCACGACTGAAGTATGCCAAACCAATCGTCACTATACCAGAGAATACGAAATAAGTATATTACCTAAGATAAAAGTAAAATGTACAATACTATTCTAATATTCATAAACTACTTACTGTACCTTAATTTAACGAGTGCCACCATTTTCTCAACTTTCAAGCTTCCATGTAATAGTACACAAAATGATGGTGTATGACTATCATCAACGACTGCATCATCAAAACTACTATCGCTTCCTGAGGCGTCATGTGCCCCAGCTTCATCCAGATTATGAGGTGAAGAATAAGGCAATACCAAATGCCTGGCTATACAAGGCGGCTGCCCAACATCCACGGAATCAAGAAATCCGCAAATTTTTAGTTCATAAGGGAAAGGAGGAAAGTCGTAATCATCCGTGGAATTATAACCCATTATATTAATGGGGGGTGGCACGAGATTAACATTAGAACGTAAGTTTCCAAATTGTAAAATTCCCTTGTAAGGCATATAATTATTCTCCGCAAGCTGCATGAAAGCTTTTTCAACTGATTGCTGTGTAAGTGGTTTTTCTGGAAAGTAGACATGGCCACCGTGGCTGCTAGTTGTATCGCAGAGTTGTTTATACCAATGGAGGTTGCTTCCAACTTCCTCTAGAGGAGAAATGCAGATAATGTGCAATTTACTAGTGAATGGCAGGGTAATCACTTCCTGGCTATCGAGAAATTGACGAAGGCTACCATCACCCACTCCAGGTAGTCCATCGGTGACTAATATGACATGAAAAGGTGTAGAAGGCCCCCAACCATCTGAAATAACCGATCTGGCTGCCTCGAAAGCAGAGGCAAAGCATGTTTTGTCATAAGTTTCAGCTTTAGATAATTTCGATTTCAATAGCTCGTAATCGCGTGTGAAAGGAACGATTTCTTCCCACAATGAAGAAAAAACTACTAAACTTGTAAACTCCAAACGAAAATTATTCGCTAGATAATCAAAAAAGGCTCTCAAACCTTGGTGTGCTAACTGTCTACGCGAAATTTCATTGTCATTTCCTTCTGTATCAATGTGCTCATTAGTAGCTGGACGGCACATTGACAAGGATACATCTAACAATACCAAAGTAGGCATTAGAATAATTTATTTCAGTTCCAATCTATGCTAACATTAGTATTGCAGTTCCACCGATTCTCATGTAATAATTTACTTTATTGAACACAGGTATTAAGTATTTACTGTAAAGAATCACCTCATCTGTACTGAACAGTAACTGAAATGCAACTGCTACTGAGTAACTGCCAAGTAGAACTGCTTTCTAAGAACACATACAGATACTCACTTATACTGTACTGTATGTGCTTAATTAATTAAGCAGTACTGTATAGTACAGTACAGTACAGTGTACACTACTAGTGACTTCTAAGAAAAAGTCCCTAATCAGCGAACTGACGCGAAAGAAAGCGTTTCTTTTCACTGTCAATATCTCAGTACTGTAATCTGTCACCTCTTATGATTAGTACTGTACAATGTACTGTACTGTACATGCTGTTGTGAACAGTGAGCATCTTGGTTTCCACTATACAGTACTGTACTGTACAACACTGTACTGTACTGTAGTCACTGCATAAAGTCTCTACCGTACTTTTTTTCGAGAACCTGTAATTTGTACTGTACAGTACTGTACAGTACAGTACTGTATTCCATTCGTGTTGCTTAAATGCCTAATACTGTATACTGTACAGTACTGTATGTACTGTACACAGTAGATCGTAACTTCTCCAATAGTAGTTATTCAAGGTTATTGAAGGCATTGAAGGTTATACCTTCCTTCAAGTCTAAGTCACTAAACGAAGCAGCGGGCCAGAATTATCCTAATATCGTCAAGGAAATGGTACCTGAGGTTGTTATTAAAATATTTTTATTATAATATAGTACAGTATATCATTTTAGCAACGCAGATAATTTTTTAACGCTAGAGTACAGCAATTTGCTACTAAACATGCGATCCTTTCAAGTTCCCATAATACTGTAACCCCTAAGTAGTAACTTGAATTGTACACCCTGTACCACAGTACCAGAATGCGTTCGCTCTGTTTCACGTATGCTGTAAAGTCATTAATTAAAATCATTGCTGTGATCAACATTTACGAACATGGCAGCGGTTTCTACTCAACTTCATGCATATTTTTATATACAAGTACTGTATAATGTTTCATAAAATAACATATTCAATATGCCATCGAGTACCATCTTAGTTCGGCTTGTGTTCTACGAACAGATAATATGAAAAATTGATGCTCTTCTTCAGCTAATTAATCACCTATTGAGTTATTTTATTGACCTGTAGACAGTATAATAACATGCATTCTCGAAACTAGATAGTTAAAAGGCTGTCCTCGATTTTCCTCTGATCTGAGTTTACGTTCGGGTACGACGACTTTTCCTACATTACTCCTACAATACTGTACTGTATACAGTACCCTACCATAATACTGCTCTTTCAGAACTATAAACTCTGAAATTTTAATGTAACCTAATTTGAACTATAAAATGATTACTTATCCTGAGCATAATACAGTACGTGAATATCTGCAGTATTAGGACAGAGAATAGTGTAGCAAAACAATGTGATTACTTGATATGCATAACCATGATTCAATTTATATAACAGAATATCTAAGGTGTATTTGCATATAGCTACGTAGCAGTGCAATCCGATAGCTTGTAAACTAACAAGTCTGTACTGTACTGTACTGACTGTGAATATATCATTTGTTATGGCTGTCGGCTTACTTGCTCCTACTCAATATACATTTGCATATTGTTTATTCAAAATATTCCTTTAAACATATTTTGCTGTGTGAATTGTGAAGTACAGTGCAACGAATAGCGGTTTTTACACTAGCGCAAACTAAATCTTATCTAATACTGTAGATCACGATTTCACTACGGTACAACTAATTGCTTATTCTCTAACATAATTTTAAGGTGCTGTACTGTATACAGTATTCATTTCAATCAACAACTACGGTAAAACCAAAAGACATTAATTTTACTCTTGCACTGTTTTTAACAGTAAGATTCATTGCTGCCATCGAGTCGTTAGAGGTACCGCTTAGTACTACTATTAATGATGTAATGTCTCGATATTGATCGTCAACTTGTAGTATCATGATTGACAGTCGAAGTTCTGGAAATACTGCATTGCAAGTTTGCAACCACTGTCCTGTACACTAGAGGGTCTCTACTGTACACTGTACAATGTACATACAGTACTGTTTTACAAACTATGCAAATATCATTGTACGGAGTTCTGTAACGAAGATAAGTACTAACTCTCATATTGCTAGCTCATTTGCAATAAAGTCTGTTTCAATTGCTTACGATAGAAAAATGTAAAGAATTTGAAAAACCTGTAGTTTTTAGTTAGTTTTTATATTGTACTATCAAAGCATCAAACTTACACTGTACTGTACTGTACAGTACAGTAAATAGTTTACGCATTAATTTTAGTCGTACCACGGTACACATTGGCTGCAGCTTCAAAGTTCGAAAAATGTCTACGAACTGCAGTAGAGTACTACAGCGCCGTAAATGACATTATGACTTAGTTTGTGCTAAGTATTATGGATATTGAAAGGCTATGATGAAAATACTGCCCTGCAAGTTATACAATTTACTGGATCCATTTAAAATTTTTCGTATTCAAGGTTCAACAGACAATGTCGATATTTAGCTTAATAGTAGATTGAGTATACAGTACACAAACTATAAAACACAGCAGGACTCAATGTTCTTTTGCTGCGTGAGGCATTGTCGTAGAGTATTGATATCGGTAAAATTCATAATGATAGTAAGAGATCTCAGTTATGCGACAATTAGTACCTAAATTCAAATTAAATTGACCTTATTGGAGTATACGTATATCTAGAGCCACCTAGAAGTGACTCGTTGCAACGACCGATAAACGCGCACTGTGCTTAGTGCATTCATCAAGTTATTACGGTATATAAGAACATATTGGCAGGAATTAATAAACTATTCTGGGACACATAATTTTATGATTATATGCTGGATATAAACTATAAGATAAAATTAATCGTGCAGGCTTTAAATACGTATAGTTTAGTCCTCGTATATGATGATTTGAAACTAGAATTGATTCTACGAGTGATATAATTAAGTGTCAAATATTACGAAGTACTAGCACATAATGACAGTACGCGTATGCTTAGCCGTTGTATCATACTGTACCTGCTTCCTATCAATTGGACATCTAGCTTTAATAATGATTGAACACTTTCGTGATAACGCTTGTGCTGTATCCAGGGACCAGGGTCAGAATTTGGCAATTATATTATATTATAACTGTAGTAATGTACTGTAAAATAAAATAAAATTAAATTAATTAAAATTTTTTGACAGTGTTCGCGTCAAAAATCTCTCTGTAATTTAATCGAGCAGCACTCGGCTGTTCTATACTGTACAGTACCTGCAGTGCAGGACTATTATACTGTACTGTAATTCCTTGGTACAGTACAGTACTGTACATTAGCAGGCGTTAGCGTGAGATGCAATTCCTCATGCAAGACAGCGATGCGGTCCTATTGGTCCGTATTCATTTTCTAGTTGTCCCTGTTAGTATCGTATTTATTAAATGCGAACTACAGATCTAGAACAGTTTAAAATCCGAGATTCAAAGTAAGTAGCTACTTTTAAAGGACCCTTAGTTAAGCGTACATATTATACATTATATGAATATATATAGCACATATTGCACAAGCGAAATTTTTCACAAATCTCCGGTCAATAAATTTGAAATCTACTACACGATGAAGCCAATTCCCCATTGTAAAAATTCCGGAATCAACGGTTTGGCTTATGTACAGGTATCCAGCATCTACTGCACAGTAGTGTAAGGCACATTAACATGGACATGAACATTCCATTTCTGTAGTCCCTGATATCAATTACTAAGTCAACACAGGCTGTCTATTTAGATGATTGATGAGAGGAGAACAGACTTTCTTTAATAAAGTATTTACTCATTTATTATGGGATGTGTGATGGCATGTTATTCCTTTCGCACTTTTTATTGATTTGCTAGCAGTTGGTTAATTTAGGACAAATTTGTTTTTTTAATCTCTACTTGATATGTTAGGCTTCGTAATATAAAAGCTAAAAGGTCTATAAAAATAAGTGTACTAACTCGATTTAAACTTTATTACGATGTGCAGTCCGCTTATATTATGATTAAATTTGGTCATAAAACTGTAAAAAGGAAAGAGCTGACACCTGAAGGATATAGCCATGATTGGGAAGTTTATGTTTGTGGTCTTAATAAAGTAAAACTGGATGAAATTATCAAGAAAGTCATCTTTAATATCCATGAAGACTACGCGAAACCTCACAGGGGTTAGTTCCTATTTTGTGACAATGTAACTTATTTATAAGAGCATGAGCTTTCGCAGGTGTTAGGCTTAGCTATAGCTATTAATCATCAACTTTCAAAAGTTTTATTCGACAGTAATCAAACTAATGAAAAGTAATTGACCGTTAGAGTAATATAGTTCGTCGAGTAATACGACTCGTAGATCAAATTACTAGACGGGACTTTCTCGTAATTGATTTCTTTCAATCAATAAATCATAGCTAAATTTATTATCTTCCGATGCTCTTTCATATTTATAGTCGTTAAGAAACCTCCATACAAGGTTATGGAATCTGGATACGGCGGGTTTGATATGACAATTAATATCTACTTTAAATGTGATGATGTCGAACATCAAGAATACAAGATTCAATACGATTTAACATACCCCGAAAATAATGAAATCATCGAAAATCATATTGTAAAGAGAATTCTTTTCAATCAACCGAATAAAATTTTTTAAATAAGCTGTTAAAAGCTGGAGCTTCAATCCAAAATGTAGAAACCAAAACGTCCATTTACCAACCCGGAGGTACCTTAATAATGAAGGTGTAATTAGCCAAGCCTGACCATCATTCCATATAATTTATGTATATGCAACACCTACTGTATGGCTTAAACGCTCAGCCACATAAAAAATTGAAGAATTATAAGTAATGCATTATAATGTTATTGCATATTAACCATTTAATATTTCAATTTAGGAGAGAAGATATCCAAAAATGGTATGAAAAATAACGTTAAACCTAAATTAATAAACGAAGGTCAGAATAAACGACCAAACCATGTTAGACATGAGACACCAGAAGTAAAACCTTCATCGCTAGAGTGTACCTCAGATCAGAAACATGCACACAAGAAGAAAAAATTGAAGATGGCAGATCATCCTAAGATTGAAAGTGACAACTTATCAGGTAAGATAGTCTATTGGCTTAAAAAATAATCGCTTTTTGATTGCTGACGCGATTACTTGAACATATGAGTATAGAACACCGATCAAAATATGAAAATTCCTCGTCCTTGAACACAAGATTAAAAAACGGCAAAACCTCTAAAGAAATTAAACTTGCTGCAAAGTTAGCAAGTAGCTCTAATCGGAAATCGACCGCGTCATTTAATATTGCGCTAGGTTCTTTAATCACACAATCCAAAGATTATTCTAGCGATTCAGAATTGGAAGATAATTTTGTTAAGAACTCAGTGAAGCTTTCAAAAATGAGAAAGGATGTAAGTTTTGATAAAAAATCGAATGGTACAATGCCCAAAAAGAAGAAATTTAAAAAAGACAAACTCGATGGACATTCTGCTAAAAATAGCTTCTTGTCCAGTATTTATGACAGCGAAAGTGAGTCAGAAATTAAGACTAATAATACAAAATTCTTAAACGCTGCAAACGATCGATTACCGGTTAATACAGATACAATTAATTTCAATAATGACGATAAAAGAATTGATGTTCACGATTACTTCAGTCAATCTACTTCTTCGTCACCCTTAAATAGCCAGAAATCGTCATCGAGTTCGTCATCCGTTGATAGATATTTCAAGAATCCCCATGATCATGCAAGACTTGCTAAACTACATCAAATAATCATTTCATTAAAAGATGACGAACTAATTAATGGCGTTGCTGATATAGTTTACGCAAGCGGAAATTACGAAATATGTAAAGAAGTTCAAAAATTTCAATTTAAACTTGAAGATTTGAGTCAAAAAACTCTTTGCAATCTTGAAAAATTAGTATATAAATAAAACGGTCATAAGTTTTCTTAGCCTTTCTAATATTTATGTTGATGTAACAAATTATCATAATTGAAATTGATTTCTATTCTAAGGGTATTTGACATGTACTAAATCGACGAACAACAAATATGAAAGATAGATAATTTTTTGTTCCAAAGAAAGCGTTTCGTATTATTTTTGATTAAAATGATGTATTATACTTTTATTACTGATATAGAGATAGTGATTAATTACTATTGCATGTACAATTGTACTCTAAAAACCTTCCTTAACTTGGCCTTTATCAACATTAATGAGGCAGAATTTGCTAAGAAGTAAATGTATTAAAATGTGTTAAATAATTTGATTTAACTAAAATTCAAAATCTGATCTTTAATTATACGTATGAAAGTGTTGTAATGATTACATTTGCTGTATTGCGTGGATTAAGGAAAATACTAACTACTAGCTGTAAAGAAGAGTTGAGGCTACTTCCTGTGTTGAGCATATAACCGGGAATTGCATATTGTTCTCTTGTTTTAATAATATAAATATTATTATAGTACTTACAGTATATTATTTGTCGTTTGTAATTGCACCAAAGATTTAATTCATTGATCAATTAGAAACATACAATAGTTATAAACGTCCAGCTTTAAATATATCGCTGAAATAAAATGAGAAATATAGATCCACGTGTCGTGCATAAATATGGAAGATAACAATTTATTGCATAATTTTTAATTTTTATTCTTTTACGAAATAAATGAAACTTCATGCTGCCATTTTGAATTCGGTAGTAACAAGGTCCTTTCAAGTCGACATTGTCCCTCGAACTAACGTACCATAAAGCAATTTTGTATGCTAATAAAGCCTTGCAAGGCCTGTTATCTATTACAATCTGAGATTGCAATCTGGTAATACTATATTGCATAATGTAAAGATAACTTCGATGTATTGTATATCTGATTTTTCAATTTTTGATCGAAGTGATTCGGACTGCAAAAATTGTCTATGTACGCATATATGATCGGCTGTTATAAATAAAAGGATCTACGTTTATTTTTGTTTAACCAATGACTAGCAAACGGACAAAACACTAAAAAGTTGAATCATCCAATAATTTACTAGAAAGCTGATCAAACGCGTTATAAGTCATTGCTATATTGAAAACAATATTACGAATATCAGAAGCTATGCTTCAATAATTATATAAATCTTATGACAAATAAAAGAAATAATTAAAAACGGATATGATTGTAGCGAATGTTTCTAACAAGCAACACGATCTAGTAAAATATCTTTGTTATCAAATTATCATAAGGTATATAGATCATAACAATCTGTTATCGTGGAATACCATATAAATGCATGCAAATGAGCACTATAGGAATATCATTTTAAATGTAGATAACAGTATCAAGACAATATTATACACAATTGAACAAAATAATCATCTATCACTCAAGTTGAATTAAAACCGCTAGAGATTTTAACTTAATGCTAAGATGAATGACCTAATCGGGTATGAAAAATGTCGGAATATCTTGTACACAGTAATCATATCTATAATTTACAATGTGAACATATAATTGGGTAAAAATATGTATACAATGTTAATCATATCTATAATTTACAATGTGAACATATAATTGGGTAAAATACTTATACAATGTTAATCATAGCGCTTGAGATTAAATTGTTATGAGCAGCGACCATTAAATTGTTAATCGTAAAATAACAATATTATTTTCTACAAATTACTTCGCCTGTATTTGCATTACATCAAATATGATAATAAAAAATTTCATGTAAGTATATAAATATGAAAATAACATAAATTCAACCTGATTTCGCATTTTTAATGAGGATGTGTCATCAATACACATCGAATGATTTGAAGTTACATCGTACCGCATAAGTGCTCATAAGGACAATAGAAATCAAGTTTTAATAATAATTATCAAAATTAAACTCACTTATAATTGACACATCAATTAATACGAAGTTTACAAAAACAGTATTAATACATTATAGATTGTCTGATTAAAAGGAAATTAATGAATTAAAATCTATAATTTAGTAGTATTTAAATAAAGAGTAAGAAAAGTGTAACATATTGCAATGGTAATGAAAAGAATAAATATCATTGATATTCAAGCATATCTACTTATCTATATTACAAGAAATGATGAAATATCAATAGTATGTATATGCTTATTGACAATTAACACCGTAGCTGCGAGGAAAAATGTTCTCCATCTAACCAATTACAATCTTTTTATATGAGCCAACATTAAATCGATGCGGTCAGTACGATACCATAGTAGCAAAGAAGTACTGCCAATTATGAGCAATAGGATAGCTAAAAGTGTCATTTCATTCTATAAGAAGATTTCATCTTTTGCTTATTGATTAAAAGTGCTCCTTGTAAGTCTGTCATATACGAAAGTTAGGGTATTGTAATCAAATAGAAGCTTAATATTTATCTTCTTTATGATTTAAAGGTCTAGTCACAGCGATTTACACTCGATGAGTGCAATAGTCGTAATGATAGTTATGACTAATATTGATTAATTCTTATCTTGACCTTTCCATTCACTGAAATCTTATAACATCATATGCTCGTAAGCTGGCTAGTGTAATATAGACGGCCCAAAGTAAAACTAATGTAGCTGCTGTAATATATTGCCATTTGATATCTCCTCCAAGTTCACCACCAAGGACCTTTTATCGATAATATAATTGATAATTATAATTTAGATAAAAAATATTTCGGATATGTATAGAATCTCAAGATTAACACACGTAGATCCTTGGATAGAATTGGTAACTTACAAAGCGTCGGAACAACAAAATAGCCACTCCAGCTCCAGCTACTACAGTGAATAGAATAACAGAAAATTGCATATCCCCTGGACTAATCGCGTAGTCTGAATTTGAGAACATTATCTGACGGTAAGTGGTAACCAAAACCCAAGGCAATCCCAATCCAAGAAAAACATTAACACTATTACTCCCTAAAGAATAATTGAGATAGAAATTTTATTTCTGGAAGACATTAACTTGAACCATTCTATTGTCAAATGGTATTCCTAATTCAGTTTGAGAAAATTTACTTTTTAAAGTATAAAATTCTCTGTATCGTTAAGAAATTATCTGCGTTAATTTTGCATTTTAGTTTAATCAAAAGCTACAATACAACATAGAAGTATTTAAAAATTGTAGTAACAGTTAATTATACCGATTTCGATTAACAAAATATCATGACTGTATCCTTTCGTTGCCATTACTATTATCCTACTCAAACTATGGCTGCCTGCACAGACGCCTGATGTGAATGTAAAGCTTACAGTATCATGACAGAGGTCCTTAACAACATCGAGCTTGAATTACTTATTAAATATTGCTCGTTAGTGATATCATTACAGCTTTAAAGGCCACATAGATATTAATATTAGACGTAAAATTTCAAACGTATAAAAAGCTTTTATCAAATTTTGATAATGTGTGATTATTTGTTGTAATATCGAAATAATTCTAGATTTTATGATTTATAATTTCAATGTTTAACATATCAAATTTGTAGATAACAGATCTAAATTATAGTGGATACTGCTATGAATCAATAATAAGTCTAAGTAATTATGTACATAACGGTACCTGTAACATTTCCAATTGAAGCATCTGCACTGTGGTCATGAACTGCCGCATTTCTGCTAGCAAATGTATCAGGTAAACTTGTTCCTAGGGCTACTATTGTAATTCCTGTTACACTGGGCTTTAGTAATATAACGCATCCTAACAAGTTACCAAACTGAAACAAGGAATAATCATGATGAGATACTTTACTTAAAATTTGATAATCGTTCTAATTACTTCATGTACGCAACATATTTAGCATTACATTAGGAATAAATACTACTATACCTGTTCTATAATAGCTGTCAAGAAACCAATATAAACTAATGATAAAACAAAGGCTGGCCAACCCCCTAACACCGTCCTACAAATTAATTAAAAGTGTTTATGACATTAAAGATTACAATATAAAAGAATATTAACATAACCAAATTTCAAAGTAGTAGTCGATCAGAAGCTCTTTACCTCGGTGGAATAGTAGCTGCTATTATTTTCCATAAAAAGGCAATAAAATGCAGAATATAGTCAAGATTACTGGGAGGTGATTCTTCTCCAAATTCATCAATATCGCTCCCAACAGTTAATGCACTGTGCAGTGTCCATTTTGTAGGAATCAAAGTTTACAGTAAATATTAAGTAAAACTGATTGATATAAAAATTGCAAATATCACATGAATATGTCATTTTAGTTCGCCTGTAAGTAATATATTTCTTCAATCACTGCGTTAAAGTTACGATAAACGTGTTCGTTTAGCTATTGGTGGTAAATACTGTACATACTTTCCATGACAAGTGTTATTAATTTAAACATGAATCTCAATAAGCTATTCATATCCAGCAACTATCATCTACTTGAATTTTGCAAGTAAGTTAAAGCTGTTTTTAAATGAATATTTTTAGTAATTATTACTTTGTGAATTGTTCAGCCCAACTAACATCTTCTCCCTCCACTCCATTTAAAGCGGCAAATTCTGCAACACGATCACCTAATGCATCTGTAATTTTAACCAATATAAATTATGTTACGTATTAACAATCTTAAAGTTAGATTATCCACAATTTAATTAAATTTCTGGAAATTAATTATTGTATTTCATAATCGTACGTATAGCTTAAGATTTAAATTGTTACAAATAAATAAATATAACATGGTATTCAAAGTTGTAGTGTAATCTACCCTCTCATTGATTCTCCTAAAACAAAATACATGAAATAATTTGCATATCTATTATTACATTATGTAAACTAGCACCGTAATAAAGATCTCATGCTATATTTAAATATTTATGGCAGAGAATTACCAATAAAGAAATACATAATGCATGCATAGATATTTCATATATGGAATACAATGCTTACCTCTTTCAATATCAAAGCTAACAATAGTTGCTCCTATTTCACCAATTCTTGCTCCCATGCTTGCATTGCGTAAAGCAACTAAGAAATTCTTATCCAACTAGAAAGTATTAAATATCATCAATTCAAAACTAAAATAACTTGATTTTATCTAATTACTCTTGAATCAATGGATTAATATAGCATGAATGTATACTAAAAAATAGCTTAAAGTAGTTTATATGACAGTGAAGGCATTTTATGAATGTCTCTTAATTTAATAGCAGATAATTGCAAATACGGTAGTCTTTTTACACTAATACAACCACAAAGAGTATGTAAAATTAAAGTTATAATCAATACTCTAAAGCACTATTAGAACAAATGATATATTTGGTGTGCTAACATGAAAAAAAGTCGATATTTATACAACTGTTTTACCTTGACATGGCTAGCGACATTAATTACTATTTCCTTCTCAGTTTCGCCGTTAGCAAAAATTAGCATATCTGTTTTTGATTCATAATCTTTATGATTTTCTTCTACTTCGGGAATAATTCCGCCATGGGCAGTTCCATCTCTGAATAAATCAAAATAATGAGTGATTTAATACTATTAACATTCATGCAAGGGTTAGTACAAAATAAATGCCAATGCAATTTCGGCTATCAAAGAAATTATTCTTCAAAATCGCATGTAATGTACAGCTTAGTAACTATGCATAAATTTAGCTGGAACGGTGATGGTGATAATACTCTCGAGAATATTATTAGATAAATCTGTAGTTGCTCTCTCTTCATACTTACATAGTAGCAAATTCTAAATGAACAGTGCCATCTACTCCTTTCTTTCTGAGCACTTTCAATGATATCTGATTTGAATCTTTATCAACATGATATTTTGCTTTTTCAAATTGAAATTCTCCTGGCACTAAAACGGATAACAAAGGCAGCCGACATTGTTAAATGATAGATTCTTCTATTGCTTTTCTTTACTATGGAAACATTGCTAACTGTCATCAATACTATTGTATTACATCAATATAGTATTCACGATTTAATTAACAGTGGTATTATAAAATATTTATTCATCTCAATATATGGTACGTTATATAGTAGCTTAACGACTAGATGAGATTATCAACCCTTTATTCTTCGTATCAGCAATCTATTGTATTATCGCTACAGCAAAATTGTTTCTCATTTGATACTATTTAAATAAAGATAAGTCGTGATAACAATTTTAATCGTGAAACTAACCTCTACACTGTTATTGTATTAAAATTTTAGTAGCTTGAAGGGTTAATTTAAACTAGTACATCAGATGAAATAAGGATTAAAAATATAAGAAATAATAGCAAGCTTACCATTAGTGTCAATTATGGTCACCAGAGCAACGCTAGGATCTGCCAATTTGCTATACTCTGATGGATTTTTCAATATGACGTAGAAGCTAAGATTAGGATGATATTGACCATCATTGAGGATATCAACCGTAATAGTCTTTTGATACTCTGATTTTGTGAAATTCTAGAATAAAAAATATAGATCGCTTTACTAAGACTTTCAGATAAGTTGCACATACATTTATTGACGATACGATCGGACAAACTCCATCTGAAATTTTGTATAGAGATAGTATTTCATTCTGGCTGATTAGTACAGTATAAAATTTTACATTCCACAATCTAGAATTCATATAAGATTGTTAATTTCCTTTTTATCTTCTTCCCTTTCTGTATTCGACTGTTATTTGATATAATAAAATACAACTAGATTAAATAAATGAATTCGTACCAGCCTGCCAGCGGAATATTTGAAATTAACACCTTGCTTAGCACCACCATCCCGAGTCTCAAAATCTACAGAAAAGTTATTCTGAGTGGCATCATCTCCTTCCTCATCGCTATACCTTGACGATTCTAAATCTTGGATACTTTCTTCAGTTATAGGATCACATGACTTTATCGATTTATCGGTCTTGAAGCTGCTGCTAAGACTTTTAATGATGGTTTCAGACGTCTAGAGCATAAAAATTTTATGAATCGATTTCACTTTAATTTACGTTACTGCAAAATTTTTTGATCACAGTATCAAATATGAAGTCCCACTATGAATGATTTTGCTTTAGTACCACTAACAACACAATACTAGATTCCATTACCGATTTGCCTAAGCCAAATGTAACGGTCTTATTATTCTTGTTTTCTTGGGATTTTTTAATTAAGGCCCTATTTTAGAAAAAATTGGAAGTCAGAGGAATATGAACATAATTTTATTAATAAGCGTATTTATGACTGATTTAATACAAAGTTTCTTAATTGACACGATGTTTCATAAAATTATGCCAGATAGTACCTGTGACGATTTAGCAAAACAATTAAATCAATGGAACCGCTATCTTCTCGGACTGAATATGCCGCAATTTCGAATACAAATGTAGCTGCTATATTCCCTATTTGCATTAGATATAAAAAATTTTGATATTAAAACATTAATGAATGAATTATTTGCAGTTCATTGTCGAATCAATACTAGAGATTTATGCCCAAGTGTGTTAAATTGGATGATTATATTTGCGTTCATGAGAAATCAAGATAAACACCGTTTGCATTAACTAAATGATATAAGCGATTAAATAAATGTAATCAACGACATTATTATAAGCGTTAAAAGTAATGCGATCGTATATTAATAGTATCATAGTCTTCCTTATTGTATTAGTGAATGGAACTTAATAAATTACAAAGATAAGCCCAGCATAAAAGCGAATTAGCGTATAAATTTGATCTCCCTAATTGAAAATAAGGAGTAGTGTCAAGAAAAACTAATGATAATACAGGTCTTTTACTTATGCGCCAATAAAACAGCAAAGTACAAAGTAAGCTTTACTAACATTTATTAACTAATGTAACTTTTTGATTAATGTTTTTCAAGATGCATGTGCTTTTTGATTTAATACAATTTTAAATATGAATCTAATGTACAGTTTTACAATTATTATCCCCGAATAATCTTGTATACCAGGATAGTAAAAGAACATTACTGATACCCCAACTTACTGCTAGAAGCGTTAGATTGTTCGTTTAAACGATGCGTAATTATATTAACAAAATGGGCCATTTTAGGTTCAGATGAATTGAATAATCCAGACTCTAACTCTACCATCTTATCAGTAACTGATTTGGACCTTCGATGCCTTTTACCTCCCATCAATGAACGGATAGCAGCGTGACGAAATCTGAAACATTGTTCATTTTTGAAAATATCAAATTTAGTTCGATAAAATAATATACGTCATTTGTCGAACTAAAAGGTTTTAACACTGATTTTTCGAAATTTTACAGGAAAATTATAAGATTATAACCTCACTAGGAAGTAACAATAAGATTATACGCACTCAAAACTGCTTACCTAGCTCGAGCAAAGCTATTTGAGGGTTTAATATCTACTTGTATTTTACCATGGTCTTCATAGACAAAGCTACTTCTGGAAATACTTGTGCGGGCGGAACTGGATAAGTACCGGAATTAAAGCAAATTGATATAAATAGAATACGATGCAGCAATAGATCACGTTTCACTAACGGTGTACTGTACATTTAAATTAAAATAGCCGAGTCCTTAAAAGAAATGACAATCTTTTTGTGATTAGTTACTTATTACAACGTATACTAGTAGAAATTAATTTAGCAATAATTTTGCAATACAGCCTATTAATTATTTAATCTAATTTACTTTGCTCGACTCCTATTTTCGCCAGGATTCAATTTCGTAACCGACTCCAGGTCGTAAGTGCTATTATGAGCAGAAGCAACGCTTTCTCGGTGAACATTTGATAATTCTCTAGAAGTACTCCGTATGATAGAGGCAGATGGATGGCGGCTTTTACCGCCGACAACGCGTACCTAAAGTCATTCATAAAGGAAACCTTGTCAGTCATTTTGACAAATGCAGTACCGTAAGTATTAATAAATTCCATGTCAAACGATCTGTCTATATGGAAATGTTAATGTAACAAAAATATCTCCGTATGTACGGATCGCAAATCCAGAAAGAAGACAGTAAAGTTCGAATTAATTTACTATATTATTATGAGATTGCTACAGAAATAGCAAGATAGAGTAGTCCAGTATTGATACTATGGTATGATGTCTTATTGCATCATGCCGTTAATTAATAATTATCGATGAACACTTTATAAAACTTGCAGTATTTTTGCAAAAATTAAGCCAGGTGTAAAGCAGTATCATCAAAAATAAAGAATAAACTGGCTATACCAATGAAATAATTAAAAACCAAAAGAGTAAGGCTATTTTTAATACTGTACGATTTTACAAATTATTTTTCTATCAAAGCCAATCGTAAGTAGGATGAATTTCACCTCTAATAATTTTTTAATAAGCGTATCTGATTATTTTTACGTATGTATAACTATGTCTGTATGCTATATATATAAAAGCATAACATACTTGATTGTCTTTTTGATTTAATATATCGTACCATTATCCATTAGCATGATAGAATAAACAAGACAAAAACTAGTGACCTTAAATTAAATTAGCTACCTAACTTCAATTGATCTTTAACATCAAAACAGCGGTTACTACCATTTTGAATGAAAATTTAATAAACGTATAATAATGCTTTTAATCAAGTCTATAAAATGTGTTTTTAATTCATCAATAGTAAAATTAATAATTGGAAGGTCACAAAATTAAGTCCTCCGTTATCATTGCGATGATGATTAGATCTATAAGAACATGTACTGCAGAAATCTAAAATTTTAAATATCTTCGAATTAAACTAGACGCTTTTATAATATTACAAAAATCCAACGTCATATTTTACTTTGTTTTTATAGAGTTTTTGCTGTAAAATAGTTATCAGAC